GAGAGAGGTCTCAGGTGTCTTGCTAGGAACGCTGCAATACGGGTGAATCCTGGTTCTGAGTTTCATGTCATTGATACCCCGACTCACCCGCTGGACCTCGCTCTAGACCGAGAATCAGGTAGCAGGAGAAGTAGGGATGCCGCCGTCTACGGATACTAGTTATGGTGAAGTTTCTGCAATAAAAAAAAAAAAAAAAAAAAAAAAAAAAAAAAAAGAAGCGAGATGAGATATCCTGCGAGGGGTTGAGAAGGAGGTAAGAAAGGAAGTACGAACAAGTGAGACCAACGCTGGAAGGAATTGAGGAGGCAAGTTTGTAATAGAGGAAGCGCGAGTTGCGACCAATAGGCAAAGAAGGGATAAGTGACCCTTCAATCCTTTGATTGGCATGTATCTTTCTTTGTTCTCTGTTTGCCGACCCGCTCAAAAGATAGATTTTAAGGTTTGGTTTCCCACGCCTGCAAGGGGGGGTATATGATATGTGCCACCGGCCGAATCTGGACAATGGTCAAGTGGGTCACGTGTCATCTGAGTATACGAACGTGGGGACAGCCCTGCACAGCCTGGAACACAATCTCTGGGGTAGTTAAGTGTGGTTCGGTCCTACTTCGATTTTCCACGTTATGCATTTTTTGAAGTGTATGCACGGGAGGGGAAAGGGGGCAAGAGAGGGGGATGTTCAGAGAGACATAGGGCTATACGAAAAGGGAAAAATACACAACTTATAACCCGGAAGATCTTCAAGTGTCTCATAACAGTCCTCTTGAGCGACCTAGTCATCCAGTTTGGCTATACCTGAATCATACACAGCGCCATTCTGAAACACTCACCTTACAAAAGTTGTTGACATCTCGCGTCCGGATCGGAGACTTGCATAGCTCGGGGCCTTAAACTTTGAGACATCGGCACTCCTAGAATGATGCCGTGAGACTTCCTGGTTATGATATGTCCTGATACCTCTCACTCTAATGATTCATGTTACATTCCCGATATCAAAGCTGTGTGGAATGAACTGAGCCCCTTACTATATGTTATGGATGGACTCAAGGTCATCTCTCCAGCTTACAGCCATTCCGGACACTTACGCAGGCTGGTAGTTCAATGTATATAATGCTGGTGATATTATTCACCAAGACCTTTGCCAGTCTTAGGTCAATTTCTTCTTTTCATGTCCGCAAACATGATTTATCGTCTCCTTTCACGCGACTCATCGAGTGAAAAGTCACCCGATCCAGAAACCGGCCACCAGATGAGCAACCGATTATCCTTTGTTACATACTACCTTCTACACCCGAGCACCCAAATTACCATCCTGCTGATGATTCTCTTCCTGAGTCTGTTGAATCTGCCCATGTCAATCAAGCAACTTGATCGAAGCTCATGTGTCGCCAAATCCGACGCGGAAGACACATTCGCCACAACGTTCACACAAGATAAAGCGTTCCAGTCACTTGATCATGCGTATGATCACTTATGGGCAGACCTATCGCTCAATAAGTCTACGGGTGGTCTCATATACCTGTCCAAGGGTGGGAATAAGTGGGATCAAGGTGGCATTAGCATGTGAGTCAAGCTCCTTATTTACTTGAAGTAACTTTCGACCGAAGCGATATTGAGCGCCCCGCTGATAATCTTTTGGCAGGTTCCATCAGTTACACTGCCTCACGATGATGCGCCAAGCCCTGCAGTCTGCAAGTGAGGGTCAGGATATCGGTAAAGACTGGCATGACGATGGCCACTGGCCACACTGTATGGATTACTTGGTCAAGGTGAGTGATTCTCGATAGCTTTATGTTTCCATCGTCTTTCGACAAAACTAATACTGTGTCCCCCAACAGGCTATCCTATGTTGGGCTGATGGTTCAATTGAAAGACCAGTACAGGGGGAAAACGGCGGCGAATTTATAGATGGGTCCAACGTTATAAGGCAGTGTAGACCCGCACAGCCACTCTATGACCTATTTGCAGAACAAGCGGTTTGAAATGAATATGCGTAACGACATTCCGATCGATTGGGTTGAAGGTTGCCTTGAGTGAAAGCTCTAGCTGATGAGAGTCGAATCTTACCTCGAAGCCCTTGTAGCTGGTTTCCAAACCGTCTGCAGCCGTAGAACATTTTCCAAGGGGCCATCAAGGATGAGCTGGTCGCCGAGGTCTCTGCATCGCCGCAGTCGCGCCACGACCGATAATTGGAAACGCGAACCGTTCTACGGGGTGTGTAGGAGTGGGTTTGTCGGCGGCCAGAAGGACTTCGGTGTTTGTAGCGGACTGTAGGTTAGAGGGGCCTTTGTTTTGGTGGCACAGCCATACTTTCGGGGTTCTCGTCGTGGATAGCGAGGCATATCCCGGTGGTGACGAAACCAAAGGAATCAGCGCGACTGTCATTCTCGAAGATGTGTCTTTTATCTTACATAGGGGTCACTAGGAGTCGGTCCCTCGAGTCCCTCCTTGTATGGTTCGACGGAGTTGTAGGCTAATCTAAGATGCGGTGTCCGGAGTCCGAAGTGCTGCAAATAGGATGATTGACTGGGCAAGCTTGTCGAGACATATATATAGTAGGTAGTACCCAAGCCGTCCTATATCCACCGGAATACGCAGGTAAATTTACGCCAAGGACCCAAAAAAAACACCCAAGCCATTCTTAGTGCTCATCTCCACTCGGCATTTGCTTTAGCGAACCCATGTACTTACTGATAGATTCGATCTGCTCACAAACCCTCAAGACCCTATGTCAGTTAGACAGTGCTATGATACAGGTTTGATACTCATATGTAAGCCATTTCTGCCGAGTACCCAGCACATACGACCACAGGGTGTGGAAAATAGGGCTTCCCGTCCGCTCAGCCGTACTCAAGCCACACGCCGGGAGGTTAGTAGTTGGGTGGGTGACCACCAGCGAATCCCTTCTGTTGTATGTTTTTTTTTCTTCCCACTCTTTGCTGTACTCGACCTCTATCAGTGTTTAACATGCACAGATGCATGCGGGGTTATTGAAACGCTCTTTTGTTTGAAGGCGACTCAAATTGCTTGCAAGGGCCGACACTTCCCAACACGCGATGCAACGGGCCCTGGCATTATCGATCACTAATTTCTGTAGTCCGTCTTGGTCCTTAGGGGGAAAAACAGAAACATAGGTATTCAAAATTGCTCATAGATATCATGATGGTAGGGAACGACGAAAGACGGATAGCTGTACTGTCTGTAGAAAGTAGATGAGAAGAAGGAGGAGGAGGAGGAGGAGGAAAAAACAGGCTTCTCTGTTGTATGCACAGATTGAAGTCCGACCGGAAAAAAGTGAGTTTTGCTGTACTAGAAGATGGCATCTGCCCCTGACGCCAGTGCATATGATAAAGATGCATGAAAAAAAGGGAAAAAACCTCCCGAAGCGCTACCACCGCTTAGAGACCCAATTGGAAAGAATTGTAGTCTGCTCTTTCTAGTGGGAGACAAGAATGAAATGCGATCCCTAATTTGGTTCGGAATATTTAAGAACGCCCCGTCATGACGTCTTGATGTAACACACCATAATCAATATATGCCCGACATGTTCTCGCAGAGCCATGCCTTGCAAGCTAAGAAGAAAGAAAAGTAAGAGAAGAAAAGGAACGAAAGAATCATCAACACTTTATACATCATTTTCAACCCGGGTGCGGTCTGTCGTTTAGTAGTGTCGTAAAATCATAGGCCGTGCACAGGCACAGACAATCCCCTCGCATCAGGTCGTGAACATCAGCCTCAAGCGACTGGACCGCTTCGTCTTCTCCTTGGGCTTCTTGGCCTCCGATTTAGACGAGGTGTGATGCGACGAAGGCGCTTTAGAGCCGACATACGACTTCGGGGGCCGGTGGTCGGCCCGCGATCTGCCACTGCGTGTTTGGACATTGCAGTCTGTACAGCCTGCAGTAAGTAGTAGTGGGTCGCCAAGATGAGCTTCAGTGCGGATGTGGGGATTCTTGGCAGCTTTTTTTTTTTTGCCTGTTCTCGCAAGCTCCTACCCTTTCCGCTCGGACGGGACTTAATCCTCCACTTCATCATCGGTAGTTCTTCCGAGCTCGACACTTTGCCCTGGATCAGGCGTCCTTGGGCATGCATTTGTCGGCGGTTCATCCCTGAATAGGCCTAACAGCCAAGACCTCAAGCATCTACGGCGGAATGTGCTTCTCGGACCCCCGTCCATGCCAAGGAAATCCGCGACCTGCATCCGAAGACTAATCTTCGTCTCGGTTGTATATGAGTGAACAGGAACCACACTGGCCTGTGCAGAGTTTTCTTTTGTCTTTGCTGGTAGTCAGACCAGAAGGCCAAGACTTACCGGGCCATATTTGCCTACGCACGTTTATCCACTATACAGGTTGTCGTTGGCCTCGCTTTCTTGCCGAGTAATTTCACTCGACTTGCATTCATCTTGTCGCCCAATCCGATCCAGTAATAGCCGAAGACGAGTTCCTTCTGGCCATCAGGCAATCTCCGCAGCATTAGTTTCTCGACACATCGAAAGGATGCCATCCGTTCTAGGAGCCTTATCTCTCCCCAATTACGCTCAATATATCTAGACTTTAGATGGGTTCGTACGTCGAAGTTCGGGCATCGGAGGTTCGACCGTCCGAAAGTGGTAAGCTGTCGTGCTTCTGATTAATACAGCATTGATTATCAATCTTATAAATCGTGGTAATCCAATCTGACCATCTGATTTGGGTATGTTAGGTCCTTACGGCAGTGTCCGCATGTGACCATCAGAGTCTTCCTGCCCACCGACCATCGCACGCAAAACCGACGGCGGGGCCCGGATGCCATATCACCTTCTTCGAGGTGGGTTTGCACGAAACAGCATGCTTGGGCACATACCATACTTGCTCAGCGGTAGGAGCGTAATACAGTAGACTTGCAGTAAAATCAGGCTTACCCTGTAATTGCGATTCTCGTGTGTTGTTGTTGTTGCACAGCATAAAAAAGCCAAGGTGAGCCTCGTGTACAGTGGTGTGGGGGGATTCGCAAACTCCTATCGTTTCGGCCTCGGATCGGGCCTGAGGTCCCACTTTCATGGCCGGAAATTATTCCGAGCACCGAGTTGAGTTGAGGAGGGAATAGTATTGAGAAGGGTCCGCGGTGCCCGAATCTTCTATGATCCAAAACTTTCGGTCCAGCAGGTTGGCATACACTTTATAAAGTAATCAAAATCCAGTCAGTGGTCTTGTGCCGTCCTACCAACTGGTCGCATGCTAGTCAAAAACTCGCATCTTGCCAAGACTCACGCCCTCGTACTATGCATCCCGCCAGGTACATGCACACCAAAAGCAGTCTCGTGCTGGGGGTAGTCATTGGTCTCAAGAGGGAATAAGTGGAGTGGTTTAGTGACCCTAGTGGATATTGTTTTGGTACCGTAGTTACACCGTATCAGTTAAGTTGCATCAGGCGGGTCAGCCAGGCTGATTCTTGAAGAAGATGACCCAAGCAGCAAACCGCGGTAACCCTTTTAGATAGGACAGCCAGGAGACAAAGATGCAGTGGGTGCAGGACCAAAAACAAAAACATACAACAGTATTAATAAGATAGCGGTCACCAAGCGCCCACGGCTGCTATGTAACCTGTCCCGATTTACTTGTGGACGAAATTTGAACTACGATCGATTTGAGAGCCGGGTAAGATTTGGGAAATGAAGTTCCAGAGAGTGGATACTCGACTGTTCTCAGGATATTCGTCAATTGAAACAAAAGCTCTGTTCCGCAAGATCAATACTTCTGGAGAGAGTTCAAGTAGGGCTGTAGAGCGCATTCTAGATAAATACAGAAGAAAATAGCAAAGGCAAGAAGCATAGTACAGAATTTACCCGCTAAGCATAAAAAGGGAAAAAGGCCGGCCCTTCTACAGCTAGATATTGGACCCGCTGTAGCAGAGGTCCCCTAATCACATCATTGAAGAGGTTGGCCTAGTGTTTATTCTAGAATAGAAAATACAGAACCAAGCTTACAACATCAGATAAATCAAAACCACATGGAATACACCAAGAAAGCGGCAAAGCTGGCTCAAAAACAATGATAATCAAAACAGACTGTCCACTGCTTTTACTTACAAGTAGCTGGGCAAAGCTGAATTAATGCGTGCAATGCTTCTGCAAGGTCTGAAGTACCGCGTATCCTTATCTTTACTTTATTCTTCCAGCTGGGCTGATAGACCACCCGAGCCATCTACTGAGACTACTTTTTAATAGTATTAATTACCCTCTGCGCAGAAATCTTGAACTATTCCACGTATTCTTTTTAACAAGCGCTGCAGTTAACCCAAACACTTTCTTTCCAGAGATCTGTATGCTAGATACTCTTAATAAGCCGGGGATAAAGAATTGGCACGCTGGTGGCAGCTGGATTAGAGTAAAGACTTCTAATCTTCCAGTTGCATTAAAATTTCTACTCTGTATACCTGACGGAGACCTCGCGGGTGGTGTAGTTAATTTTAACAAATACTTTATTTGTATCTATAGTATAGTATAGATATAACCTGGCTTGTGATTTCATAGGAGCACCCTACGGCCACGAACGAACTTATCTCTAGCACTGAGGTCTAAATCCCTCACTGCCCCGGTCTACCCGTCCGCATAAACACATTCGAAGGCCGCTCGCGATCCCGGAACTCCTCATCCACCTCATACACAAACTCTCCGCCATCCTGCTCGAACCCCAGCTTGCGGTAAACATGCCGCCCCATGCTCGATGCCTCCAGCACAGCCTCCAGCCCACCGCGCTCCCGCGCCTCGCGGAGCCCCCACTCCACCAACTTCGTCGCCACCCCCCGCCGCTGGAACGCAGGGTCCACAGCACATAGATCTAGCACCAGCACCGCCGGCGAGTCCGTGCCCGCAATCTCGCGGACGTACTCGATGCGATGGCGCTGCAGCCCGAACACCACCTGGCGCAGATACCGTTGCTCGGCCGGGTTCCCGGGAATCAAGGCTTCGAGGTCCATCGTCTCACCGATATCGACAACGGGAGCGTCCCCGTATCCGGCTACCTGGGACGCTTGGACCCAGATGGCCACGCCGGCAATTTCCTCGTCGCCTGCTGCGCTACCTTCTAGTCGCGGGACAACGGCCTTGAGAAAGATGGTGTTGGGACGGCCGTGTCGGTCGGTTGTGGAGGACGACCAGCGGCCTGCGAAGCGGGCGCTGCCGCTCTTTTGCCCCTCCGGCGTGTCCCAGCCGGGGTTCATGGCACACCAGACGCCGTCGTTGACCTGGTGGCCGAAGGCGAGGGCGGTGATTTGGAACAAGCGGTCGAAGTCGGCTTGGTCCGTGATGGGCTCAACTCGGAGGACGTCCCGGGTTGACTCCGCGTTTGAGCTCATGGTGATAGCCGTTGATCCGGTCGATGCGGAGAACTTGGGGGGAACTGATAAGATAGATAAGGGCAGAGGGGGTTTTTCGCGAGAATAGTATATCAAGGTCTGAGATAGACGGTGATCCTAAATTGTAAATATTGGCAGAAAATATAGCCACGTCACCAGATTAGTTCATCAATTCCGTATGAGCTTACAAATCACCACGCCGAACAAAGTTAGTCGAGCTGGAATTTACTCCTTGGCATTTTGAGCCTGGTATCCCTCGCTCGACAGCAGTGGCATGATATGGCAGTTCCGTCCAACATTGGAAACTGTTCAACCACCCCCTGGATTCTCGCATCGTGATTCCCAACCAATACCCTCAAGCAACGTGCCATTCTTCACGGCGCCTAGACCGGTACACGATATCATGAAAGCCTCGAGTCTCATCCAAGCAATACATACACTCTTCTCGGTCATTTCAGAGCAGTTCACACTCACACCATGAATTCAGGTTTGATCTCAACGAGCAGAGCAATTGGCAAAGCCATCCTCATGATGGCGACTCACGCCACAGAAACGCGCTCTCGCAGTCTAACCTTTGCCAGTATACTCGAATTTCAACCCATCGGGCAATTTCTTGACATCTCCGCCACTGTATACCCGTGCGGGATTCTCGCGGTTCAGACCAAACTCCTGCTTGGTGGCACCGCACTCGAAAGGTAGCTTGTCGTGGTTGGCGAAGTTGTGGGGGTACTTGTCTGCACAACGTCGCTAGCTCGGGTGTTCAAACCTTTCCCTGGGAATTCAAGGGGGAGGGGTGGGTACTGATCGTAGCTCCGTACTCTTTTCAAGCTGTTTACCCTCGTTGGCATACTTGGCAGCGTCAATGTATGCCTTCGTCAGCTGTCCGGAGGTGTAGGTGGTCTCCGTATACGCGTCGGTCTTGGGGCAGGTGTAGCTCTTGCTGGGGAAGTCCGCCGTCGCCAGTTTTGGGGCCGTCTTGCCGCGATTGTCAAGCTCATCGGTGATGTAGTCCGGTTGTTCGCGAAGGGCCTCGACAGGCATCGTGCCACGGAGATGGAGGTCGCCGAGCGGGCTGGCGAGAACAGCTTGGCTCATAATTGCGTCGGCCAGCAGTATGTGTAGAACAAGGGCTTTGATCATGTAGGGCATTCTTGCGGCTCTATTGCAAGTCGAAAAGGTTGGATTGTGGCTCAACCCATAAAAAGCCCAAGGCTCGAGGTAGAGACAGAATCCTGCCTATCAGTCCTTTCCAGACTCGCTACAAGCAATATGGAGTGCCAGAGACACGAAGTGGTCGTCTCAGCTTCGAAGTCAGCCCGGGCGGTTACGATCCAAAATAAGCTTTCGTTGCCACACGGAGATGTGAGTCTATTTGACACAGCAAAGACTAGCCAGTAAATACTGCACTGGAAGGATATGGCTCAGACTCTGCCCAAGCACTATCAAAACTCATCCAACACCCCAGTACAGATAGAAATACAGATAAAAGTTCAACCATCATGACGGACCAACCATTTGGACCTCAACATCAAGAGAAGGGCTTTCGCCTTCGGAAGACATATAATCGTGCTCCCAGTCTTCCTCTTGCTGCAGCTCCACCGTCAGCCCGATACTGGCCAATTCGAACCCCGTTCTCAAAGCAGCCAATAGGCCCTCGCACATGTCGATCACGAATAAGGTGGACTTCGTTCAGGCGGGGAAAGAGATCCGGGCCGTGCCGTACCAATCGGAAGAGCTCCGCCACCACGTTAAGATAATCGTCGGATTCGATATCGGTGATCTCCAGGGACTCCAGCGAAGCGGGCAGTATATTCAGAAGTGGCATCTTGTCATCCGCCGAGGGTGATGCTAGAAAAATGGTATCGCACGATCAGTGTCTGAAGGTTGGCGAACTCTTTGAATGACCCAAATGCGGCCCACTCATCCTCGTCGCGGTCATCGTCATACCAGACTACTTTGTAACTACAGGCGCCCTCCAGCCGAAGAGACCGGAGCGTTTTGGCGCAAGGAAAAAGGGCTTGCCGGAATCTCGAGGCATGGAATCTTTCGTTCGACGGCATATCCCAGTAGTCATCGGCGGGATGGACCGCGATCTTCAACGTGACTTATTCGAGACGCGCGCTCGCCGCGAGCCAGTCGAGCATTCCGCGGCAGTAAACGGCATTCGAGACCACTAAGATTCGCACGGGGAGCGGATCATGTTTCACGACTAGCGATTCAGGTGCGGCGGAGGTCTCGGCTACGGCGAAGACATTGACCCGGCGGACCGCGGGGAAATAGAAGAAGGAGGTAAGGAGATCCGACTCAATCCAATGTAGGCGGCTGTGGGCAGATGCGGTTACTTCAGTGAGGTACGGAAAGGGCAGGGGGCGATCGAAGGGCTGCTGCCGCTGGGCGCCGCCTTGCGCAGGATATCGGCTATCAGGTCGGAATGGTCATATCTCACGAACAGGCGTCGCAGATGGGATAGTCGAACGAGAAGAATCCCCGCCCAAGCCTCTTGGCAGCGAGCCTGCAGATGGTGTTCCCATTTGTCTCGAGTCCGGTAGAGGAGCGCATCGGAGCCGAAAATCTCATCCAGGGCCGAGTTGATGAATGCGACGATTTTGCTTCCGTCTTCGAACTTGCTCACGTCACTCGAGCCACACCCCTGCCAGTGAATTTCGAGCCGATGCACCTGCCTGGCCAACTCTGCGTCACGCCAGAGCCGTAAAATCAAGTCAACGTCATGAAGAGGGATACGATCACCGTCATGAGTGATGCGAATTTCCGAGTATAACAGAGGTTTGAACACGTGATAGAAGCGCCACGAGCATAAATATAGCGCCCACAAGGTCCTGAAGGCGGGGTCTTCCTCTCGGCTGTACTGACCAATAAAGTAAAGTAACTCAGTGGGTAAACGTTTCATCTGTCAGGGTGGATTATTGAATCATTTTGTGTTGGCTGAAAGGGTATTGAGGTAATCAAGATAAAGATGTGTGCTAAGTGGTGTATGAAAATTATGATAGAGCATCGATCAGAGCTGATGACGATACTTGAAAGATGGCGAAGGGAGTTGAGGGAAGGATTGCCGCGATTAGATGAGGAAAGCGCTGTCCACATTCGATGTCCCTGAATAAGTAGTTGTAAATGTCACCTGACCAGGACCTTGTATCTGTCGCCATCGAATGTTATAAAGAGGTGTATAGTTCTAGAGTCATTGTAGTCCCAGACACGGCTCAATGAGCTGTTTGGCCTCCTACTGCAGGCCAGGACCTTAATTTGTTGATTCAATGACTGGGAAGTTGGGGTTAACGGAAGTTTGTACAAGAGCTAAATCATCGAAGATAATATCAATTATTTATCGGGAAGAAGAGAATTTGCTATTACTCACATGTAAATTGATTAGGGTATCAGCTATGTTCGGACGCATTGAAGGTTAACCGGGAGTTGTATACGAACCACAAGCGAAGCACCAATCAGAATTTTGAATTCAAAGTACCAGCCAACCGTAGCTGACCTATCGCGGTACAGGTCAGCATCAAAGGCCGCCAGGCTTATGGAGCTCAGTGTAGGCTGGCCCTGAACCCTCACCACAGGATTGATGACATCTCCATGACTCTCCAGACCTAGACATGGAGATTTGCCTTGCTCGCGCAAGAGGTGGATATTTATGGCTGGTGCTCCATGGACGAGATTGAATGGGGCCTAGCAAGAAAATTGCTAGCTGCGAGCATGGGAACAGGAATACTTGGAATGTAAAAAGATCAAGAACATCCAGGGAGAAAAAGGCAGTACCATAGCACATGGTACAAGGTACAAGGTATGAGATAGCTTCTGGACACATGGGGAACAGCTAATCACTAGGTCAAAAATGGCATAGGCTCCAGAGTACTCATACTCGGTGACTCGCCTTGAGAAAACAGAAATTTCAAGCTTTCTCTGGTGTGCCACAGGCATTCAGCTAGATTAGTCTTGCCATAATACAATTGTTTTGCTTTTAGACTGCTGGTCTTCTGGTGCCTTGTAGCCGGAATCACATACTCCCACGTAACAGAGTTTGTCGAGAACAGCCGCTGAAGCCACCGCCCCTTGCCATGAACTACGTAGTCAGAGACTCCTCTTCTCCATTCATTTTGAGATCTCTTTGCATAATCAAATAATTGTGAGCGGGCCAGGCGTGTTCGGGCTGTGCATTGAGCTTACTTATCATCACATATTGCTAGCCACCATGAACAGGGCCAGTTCAAATGGTAGATGAAAGAGGTACACCATACAGCCCGGTACTAACACATGGTAGAACGACCGAATCAGCAGGCACGAGTGGCCGTGATAATAGTGGTGCCTGGGGCAACAACCGCGCCGGGCCAGGAATGGCAGTCACGTGGGCGCCATCGTGCGTTTCTTCCACTGAGACTCAAACCTCCATCTTCATCGCCTCGAGAATTGCCACCACACGGCCTTTCTTCAGTATATCACTGAGACGTCGTGCACTTTAGACCTAGCTGCACTTGATAGCACCGCTTGCATATGTTTCGCCCAGCAAGGAGATTTTACTAATTTGACTAGGGGTCTAGTATATTGGTTAAGATAGCATGAGTGACGTAATGCGCTGCTGCACTGCGACCGTTTCTTATGATATTTATGGGTCTGTACGATCGGCGCTTAGCTGCGGGGTTCGTTTTGGAAGACCGCCAAAGGCCTTTCACTCCGTTATAAATGTTAAGTTTGCAAGACGTCTTGTTTGCTTTGAAGCACTAAACAGTCTCCACCGAGACAAGAAAAAGAACTGAAGGTAGTGATCAGTGTATTGAAATGGACTCGAACGCTAGGATCCATGAGGGTGGATAAACAGTGAGCATAACACAACCTCAAGACGAACCCCGAAAAGCTGGGGCAACACATAAGTGCACAGCAGATACATCTGCCCGGGGCAGTCACCATGTTGAATTTGCACGCACTGAGCCACCTCACAGACCGTGGAAATCCTTCTAACTACTGACCAGCGGCTCCCCCAAAGCAACGAAGCAGTGTTTTGGCTGCCGAAAGAGCCCATCGACCGCCGCGTACGTTGCCAGAGCCGCGGGACACGGTCTCAGCTCGAAATGCCACACCAGCAGCGCGAACGTCATGCGCAGCTGCAGCTGGGCCAACGGACGCCCAAAGCAGCCCCGGAGTCCGGCCCCGAAGGCCAGGGTTGGGCCCGCGTTCGGATCGAAGGTCGATGGGCCGTCGGCCCCGGAGGGAGCCACCAGCCATCGCTCCGGAACGAATCGATCGAGATCGTCGCCAGCCCACTCGTGACTGGGAGACTGCCGGGCGTGATCTGGCTTTGCGGCGGGCGTCGGCATCGCCGTCCGAGACACAGCGCTACTACGCTTGTCGCTGGGGACCAGCCACGCCGGTGACGTGAATCCGGGCCCGCTGCTCAGGGCCCAGACGCAGGTGCCCTTGGGAATGGCGTAGCCCAGGAGCTCGGTGTCCCGGGTGGCGATGCGGTCGATCATGAACGCGGTCGGGGTAAACCGCAGCATCTCCTCGACGGTTGCGTAGAGATAGGGGATGGTTCGGGTGGCCAATTCCAGGGCGCTGGGCGGGCGTCCTGCCGTTAGGGCTTCGGGAAAGGCCGCGCGCAGGCATTCGCGGAGCTGGCTCTGCACATGCGGGTGATCTGATAGAAGCTTGACTCCCCAGGCTAGGGTAAACACGGTGCTATGCGAGGCGCCGAAGATGGATCCGTAGAGCTGGTGGTGAGCGGGTTAGCAGTTGGTTATGTTTGTCGTTGCATGTCACGCACCTCATCTTCCATCGCCGGGGACAGGTAATCCGGTTTCCGGGATTCTTGTTTCGCCAGGTCTCTCTCGTGCCGAATCATGAACTCAACCGACGATTGAGGTCGGTCGGGAAGCTCTGATGTCGAGTCCGTGGGTGCACCGACGGTGCTGGAGACCGCAGTCTCGAGCCATTCCCGCGTGACCCGGCGTTTGACCCGGAGGGCGTGAGCCAGTTGGGGTAGCTTGGACATCAACCACCATGACTGTCGTGGAAAGAGCGATGTCCCGCTCTTTTCAATGGCTTCACTGAGCACTCCGTGTGCACGGATGAACTCGTGAGGATCTGATTCAGGGAATGCGATGATCTGCGGCTGACTGCTCACTCTCGCCCTGCCACAGGCTTCGGCGTCCTGGAGAAGCTCGATTTGCGATGAGATCCCGTCTTTGGGAAAGCCCCGTCCGAATGAGATTTCCAGCAGGGTATCAAGGACCATGCGTTGAAAATCCTTTTGAGGTGCAAAGCACGCCGCTGACGCTCGGGACACCCGCCCCTTGATACTCCACAGTTCGACCAGGCGCACGACAGACGCGTGGATCGCAGGCGCAGCAATGTCCTGAAGGAACGGCGTTATCACCAGATGCTTCACCAGATTACGGTGTCTCTTCCACTCGGGTCCAGTGCTCATGGTGATATGGTGAGTGGGGGACAGGCCGGAGAAAACGTCCTGCACCATGGGTGTACGGTCGAAGTCTCGACTGCGATAGAGCAGTAGGTCAAGGGCCTCTCGTGGATCACTAAGGACCACAATTGGCTTACCCAGCGGGTCCAGAAACAGTTGAATCAGAGGGGACTTCAGCCGACGGGTCTGTTCTAGAAGCCAGGACTGGATGTCCTGTGTACTCGCCATTATCTTCTGCAACTCAGGAAGGTCTCCGAGTAGCCTCTGGGCAGACGCCGCATTGTGCGGAATATCGCGGATCGGTCGAGGTAGCAGGAGGCGGTGGTAGACTTGGTGTAATGCCACAAGAACGAGGCCTACAGCCACAGCTTTGACCACACCATCCAAATCGAAATCCATCTCGAGGAGAAGTGGGAGGCGCTAGAGCTTGAACAGACTGTATGCATGCTTTTATTACGAACGAACGACTATCAGGTACCAGCGGCCGGCGTCCGTGTGACATGTCTATTGGCGCTGGTCACAATCCCTTGCAGGCTCGATCGCTGTGGGGTCATGCAGGATGAAATGCTGGGGATAGCTCTGTCCTAGATTTAGCTTTCTCTCTATCGTGTAGAGGTCTATATGATACATCACACGGCTCACGACCCGAACTTCTCTTCTCGCGCTTGTGTTTTCTTTTCCCTATGAGGTCCCTGCAAGGTTTGACTTTCTACGCAGTGACATTCGCTACGTTACAATTTCTGCGGAGGGCAGCGGGCATCACACCTAGACTTTCTCTTCTACTGTACCCGCGAAGCCAGTAAAATACAAGTAACAACCAAAACACACCACTCAACCCCATCAATGCACCTCCAACAACAACAAAAGTCTACCTCAACCTTGAGCATACAGCCTCCGAAAGACTAGGTTCCTTTCCTTGCACCGGTCCTGGTCGCCTCCCCAGCGCGACATTGGCGGTGCACTTGGACCGCCACCCGAACGAAATCGCGCGTCCAGATCCAAAACAGCCCCTGCAACGCGATCGAGATACCAGACAACCCCAACTTCACATTCCGGGCCAGACAGACAGTCCCAGGCTGCACATGCGCCCGGGGCGCCAGTCCCTCCCACCCGGAAGCCCCCGGATCGAGCACCATGCGTCCCGTCACTACGAGCTCACAGTCCCCAGACATGGGCAGCAGGCGGTGCAGCGTCCAATGAAGATAGGCGAACATCACGTGGCGGGTCAGAACCCAAACGACAATGAAGGCGAGGAGCGAGGCCCGGAGGCTCTTCCGATGCCCCAAGCATCGCTGGATCTGCACGAACTGCTCCGCCAGTTAGCACAGTCTTTTGATGTAAATTCCGGCATTTGCTTTGTTTGGATCTGGTGCTGGGCATGGACATACGGCCAGAAGGAAGTCCGCCAGATCGGCGGTAAGCAGAATCCCATAGAGCAGGGCATACACCCGGCTGTTGCAGCAGGCGATCACCACCGCGCAGGTCAGGATATGGTGAAGGAACTTGTCGAGGAAGTCGTCTTTTATCGGTTCGACGACCATGATCAGGCACTGGTGCAGGTAGAAGGCGAGCCGAAGCAGGAAAAAACACTGCATGGGGTGGGTGATTTGGGATTGTGGCCAGTCTTGGAATAGACGCTGGGGGTTCAGAAGGTCGGGGCTGTCGTACCACAGGCACTGAATGCTCGGAGAATCAGATGCGAACAGTGTAAGCCTGGCTGGGAAATATGGGTGTATGGATTGAAACAAACCAAAGCATATAGCATCATCATACCGCGGGAGACGGCCTTCCAGCCCAGGGCAGCGAGATGGGAGGCAGCCTGTGGTCCAAAGCCATACTTGCGCAGAGTCGGCTGTAGGAGGTACCCTGCTATCACGGGACGAGCAAGCGTGAAAATGAAGCAGAAGACCGCTAGAAAGCCCCGGTCATCTAGTACATCTCGTGGATGTACAGTGCCCTGCTCGGATCTCCAGCACAGGATCGGTGCCTGGATCGCTGCGAGAAAAGCATGCTTATCCGCCAAGGCATGCGCGCAAAGGACCAGGAGCGAGAATCCTCAAGCGATCATCGTTAACATTCAAAATGGTATTTCGAGTTGACCGGGCAGGGAAGGAATTGCGCGCTTACCGAGCTGATGCGCCGCAATGGACTGTCGCACATTCACCTGATCTGAAGCTATCATCGTCACGAGACTGTATCATTTAGGAAAATGACAGAAGCGTGTCTCTGACACCTCGCCTCCCAGATTGCGATGCTGATTGAGATGAGGGAAAACCCAAGCAGTCTCACGGCAGAAGATATCGGTTACGGTAGCTTAGCTGTCAATCTGACCTGCCAGTTGTCCTTGACAGCTCCACCCGCATAAACCCTTTACATACGTATCACGCGAAGGAATATGACTCGGGAAAGGACCCACTTTTAACCCGTAAATGCAGAGACGAGTTAAACTAGGGGCCGGGACAAGGTATACATCGCACACAATGAACGATCTGACTGACAGAATTAAGTTTGGTCCCCTATCCCCGCAAGCCCATGCATGACAGGTGTTCATTCCCGAAGCTGGTTCATGCGCTGTCGCTCTCATTCCGGTCTACTTACTCTATCCAGTAAATAAACCTCACTGAGACGCGAAAACTCCTTCTGCGGAGTGAGCCAACCCGGGTGGAAGACGGCACAGATCCCCACCAGGAGCACCATCATCACGGCATCCAAGGCAATCAAGTAATTTTCATGCAGCAGAAGATAGCCGCCGGGCCCCTGCCCGAGCTCGACGGTGCGGTAGATACATCGGATGTAGATGCAAACCGTAGCCGCGGCCAGCACCCCGCGCCAGAGGGCGATGGATGCGCCCGAGGCAGATAGGCGCAGTCTATGGACCCGATAGAAAACATCACAGGCACAGAGAATGAAGATCGTGATGGATAAGAGCTGGAACACTACCCCGGCGAGCATGATATTAGATCCGTGATCAAGGTTGCCGTTGACCTTCTTCGAGTCCGCGGAAGCAATGCCACCCCCAACGGCCTGAATGACGATGGAAGTGAGATCGCAGGCACTGAAGATCCAGAGGTAGCTGCGCGGGCTGAGGAAGGAGGACCTCCGACCCATGATTTGCACAAAACACCCGAGCAGAACGTAGATAGCGGCGGTGAAGAAGGTGGGGGCTGATCGACACGTCAGTGGGATGGGCAATATGTGTGATGGGTCTGGTACTTCCCACGAAGAGAAACCACTAACCGATGATTAGAGTGGAGAACTGAATCAGGAATGCATTCAGGTTGTACGGGCATCGCGTGGTCCAGATCCTGGCCGCCCACCCCAGGACTTCAGCTATCGAGGATCAACATATAGCGTCAGCCACGCCACCGGGCAGGAATGCTTCTTGCGCTTCTTTGGATGGGACATACTCAAACAGCCTACCACAAACAGTATGGTCCACCAAAACCGTCGGTATATCATCATTTGGATGATGTGTATACCTGCTAGAAGGCCAAACAACGCACAGAAGGCGACGCCGGGGGCAAAGGCCGGTAGGTAGCCGTACGGGGTGGTGCCGTATCCATCAATTAGAGCATGGCAGCCAGTCGTCAGATCAGTCATGGCATTCGCCATTGCTGGATAATAGACTAAGAGCGGCTGAAAAGTAACGATGAAACAAATGCTACAGATTCTTTCATGTGTGTGTCCTCACAGCGCTGATTTAAGGGCGAGCACGACGCAAGGGGCTGAAGGCCTTTTCCCAATCCAGTATGATCGCCTTCGGGGCCATCTCAGATCTACCCTCATCATTGATACACCCTGCAAGTGCACCAACGTGCCCCTGGAGGAGTACCTTTGGTCAAAGCTGAGCCTCGGAGGATCTCGCTACGATCGAAGCTCGCTTGCCCTTGTCTGGCATCAAAGCATAGGTACTATTCTCATGTGGGTATGTGATAGATCTATTCATGATGGATCGCTTGAGTGCCCAGCCTCCACCCATTGACATTGTCAACCTATCCTATGATAGTCCACTATGCAGGAGCAGCGAAGAGCCTCGTTGCGAAATACTCCTTCCTCGGGCTTTTATTCGCTGCATTATAAAGCCTCAATTTTCGCAGCCCGCCAACAGGAACTACCAGCAAGGCATTTACCCCTTATGGTTGGCCTATCCTCCCTCCCCGATGGAACAAGACCCTGCCCAGTATGGTCTGATCAGCCATGCCAGCGATCGATATTCCTGTCGCCCCTCAAACCAGCCCTTGAACAACCCTACCACTGATCAGGCCCCATACTTCTACGTCATCACGACATATTTGAGTTATACCATCATCCATCTCATCGGCCTGATCCGGGACTTGTTCGGAATCTACTTCAAGCCGGCGAATTACCGCCAACTCCGCCCATGGGACGGATACGCACCCTGGTTCACTGCCCGCGAGAGCGTCTATACACGGCGTATGAAGGTGCGACTGGCCGACTGCCTGGACCGTCCCACCACGGGTGTCCCAGGCCGCTTTATTACCCTGCTTGATCGAGTGACACACGACAACAATAGATCCTTCAAACTCACCGGTGCGCGTATCCAGACCCTGAACCTGGGATCCTACAATTACCTGGGTTTTGCTCAGTCCAAGGGGACATGCGCGGATAGGGTCGAAGCGACGATTCGCGCGTATGGCATCAGCGCAGGCGGCGCCCGGGCTGATGTCGGGGGTCTGGATCTCCACGTCGATGTAGAGCAGCTGGTGGCCAGGTTCGTGCGCAAGGAAGCGTCCATCGTCTTTTCCGCGGGGTTTGGCACCAACGCAACCATCTTCCCTGCATTGGTGGGGCCGGGCTGCCTCATTCTCTCAGATGAGCTCAACCATGCCTCCCTACGGTTCGGGGCTCGCCTTTCCGGCGCATCGATTGTGACGTTCCGACACAACGACATGCACGCCCTGGAGGGGAGGTTGCGGGAGGCAATCTCACAGGGACAGCCGGCCACCAAAAACGATACCGGCAGCAGTGGTGGCTATCGTCCCTGGAAAAAGATTCTGGTCGTGGTCGAAGGTCTGTATTCGATGGAGGGGACCTTCTGCAATCTTCCAGCCATCATTGCGTTGAAGCGCCGGTACAAGTTCCACCTCTTTCTAGATGAGGCGCATTCTATCGGCGCGCTTGGTCCAGAGGGTCGGGGCGTCTGCGACTACTTTGGCATTGATTCGAGGGAGATCGACATCCTGATGGGAACCTTGACAAAATCATTTGGTGCCATCGGAGGATATATCGCAGCGGATGGAGAGACCGTGCGCAAGCTCCGCGCGGTGAATGCGGGCGTGCTGTACAGTGAAGCCATAGCCCCAGCCCTGTTGGCGCAGATCTCCGCTTCGTTTCGGATCCTGACTGGTGAGCTACTGCCGGGTCAGAAGGAAGAACGATTGCAGCGCCTGGCCTTCAATTCTCGTTACCTGCGCCTCGGTCTCAAGCGACTTGGGTTCATCGTCTACGGGGACGACGACTCCCCAGTCATTCCGTTGATACTGTATAATCCAGGCAAGATGACCGCGTTCTCACGGATGATGCTCGCCCGCGGAATCTCGGTGGTGGTGGTTCCGTTCCCCGCCGTTCCGCTCGAGCTGTGTCGAGTGCGATTTTGTGTCTCTGCGGCGCATAACGTGGAGGACCTCAACCGAGTCTTGGCAGCGTGCGATGAGATTGGAGACATTCTAAGGCTGAAGTTTTCCAGTGGCGTTGCGGGTGGGTTGCGCAGTAGGACTAAGCAGTTGTCGGATGGAAACCCTGTCCCCCCGAGGTGGAAACTGGACGACGTAGTACGCTGCGGAGCACAAGACGTACAACAGCCCCTGTATTGATGAACAGAAACTTGACTAAATGGAAAGCTGTAGGGAGAGAATGTTCCATCAGATCGTAGGATGGCGGATCGTCGGGGATCGACGGCTCATTTACCGCATTCACCCAATGCTCGTATTGTGCCAGACAGGTCATATCATGAGGGGTACCGCAGAATTAAGGCCATCAAAAGCTCATTTTTTCCGCCAGAAACGATAATCCCTACGGCACCCGGTATTGTATCTAGTAACTCGATTTTCTTGAATTCCCAACATTTTGGTTGAGCATATCAAGATCTCGGGAAAGCTTTGCCACCGCATTCCATACGCTCGGTTTATATGTCGGTCATTCCATGGTCGACACCAATGAGTATACAGCTTCCCGCTCAATAGAATCTAACTCTACAAGCGTTCTACCCTGAAGACCACCGGTCAGCATCACCGTAGTTGTCTATTATCTCTTGTTCCTTCGAGTCTGTCTCGCGATGGGCTGGCGTTCCCGTGGAGCTCTTCTCTTTCTCGCCAATGGACTGATAATTGCGTCTACTATTGTGTTCACCATGGGCTTTTTCCGGCCCATGCCCCCCTCATCGGCAAGCAAAGCACCGCGAGACAGGCGCACTTTTGCCCAAAAGGCCCCCTTCGAGAAAGTGGTATTTTTGATGATTGATGCGCTCCGTAGGTAGGTTTCGAAACAGATGCCAGCGACTACTTTCAACCCTACCACCTGATACTAAGCCAAAAGGTTACAGTGACTTTGTTTACAGTCCACAGTCTCGATTCACATTCACGCAAAAGTAGGCAAAGACCCGTCGCCGAATCCGTGAACCACCTGAGCTGATATGATACCCAAGTCTGATCCGCTCCGGCGCAGCCATTCCTTTTACTGTGAAAACGGGCTCGCCAAGTCTGACTAGGGCATGTATAAAGGCGATGACTGTTGGCTCAGCCTCCATGTTCTTGGACGTCTTTCACAATGCTGATGACGGACCCGGCACGCCCGAACCTATGGATACGTGGTTAGTGCACCTGAAAGCTGCTGAAAGGGGAAGCCTTCTCTTCTACGGCGACGACACGTGGGTACAGCTATTTCCCGAGGTCTTTGACCGAGGATGTCCTATCTCGCCGTTATTCGTCCCAGTGAGTCTCGAAGTCCCAGGGGCTGACCTCTTCTGCCGCTGAACGCCAGAGGGAAAGGACACATCGAACGACTGGTAGATCGCTGAAACCTGCACAGGACATTGATTCACCAGACCTGAACGTGTCCGCCAATGCCATGATGGAGCTTCAGCGCGACGACTGGAGCGCACTGGTCCTCCACTTTCCTGGCATTGACCACGTCGGGCATATGGGTGGCGCGGACAGTGAATTCATGGCACTCAAGCAAGGTCAGATGGATGCTATCATTCGAGAGACCTATGAAGCTCTCGAGACGGAGGCTCATCTGGACTCAACACTTTTCGTGGTTGGAGGCGACCATGGGATGGATCGGTGGGGGGGTCATGGCGGTGCATCGGACCCTGAAGTGTCGGCCGCGATGATGTTCATCTCGCCACATTTCAAGTCGCTCAATCGAAGCTATGAATCACCTGCAGTACCCACCGCTGGCACCTTTGACTACTACACTGTCATGCAGCAGGTCGATATTGTACCTACCATGGCAGGGTTGCTGGGTGTTCCTATACCTTCCGCTAGCATTGGGGTATTCATTCCTCAACTTCTTGATCTGTGGAGGGATTCCAAGGATCAAGTCAATCTTGTTCTTGAAAATCTCGAGCATCTTCGAGCGTTATCTTGTGAATCTGATACCGGGATGGCTGCTTGCGAGATCGACCTTGACTGGCATAATGTACCACATGAGTCTCTCAATGAAAGGAGCCTAGGAGAGCTTTCTCTGGTAACAAATCTATTCCCCGGTGGCAGGCGCGCAACATGCATGACTGATATGACTGAGAGACGTTCTAGATGAGCAAGGAGCTGCAGAGTAAACTAAAAGATGCGACGGCCGGAAACATGCAAGTGCCTCTTCTCCACTATGGCATTGCAATTGCCGTGATCGCACTTCTACTTGCCGGGATTACTTGCAAGTCAACTCCTCCGCTGAGCAAGAACTTCATGGTCTTGAACCTCTTTCAACTTGGCCACGGCCTTACTTTACTGTTTCCATTTCTCGTGGAGAAAGAGCATCTCTTTTGGTTCTGGGGTTCTACCGTATGGATGGGCTGGGTAATCTTCACTACCGGCCGCTCTTCCTACATGCTAGGCCTCGGTAATTGCTCCACCCTTCTCTTGCATATACTGTCGCAGCGGTGGAATATCCATGATCAGGAAGCAGCCGAGAAAGTGTACAGCATGCAAAGTCTCTTCGACAGACGTCCCCTTTGTCTTTGGTTTCTGATTGCAGTGACCCTTCTCCACACCTCCTACACATTCGCAGTGCACCGTAGGAGGAATGTCACTCGTGACGCTCGAGAAAAACCACTTCTTGTATTCGCCCACCGAGCAGTACTCCTGGCCGTCCTTTTGTTCAAGTTCGCCTCTGCAGCCCGGGCTGGCCCGGGTCTCATTCACCGCGCCCCTGAATGGCTCCAGGGCATTATTCTGGAGCAGCTTCCCCTAACGCAGATGGCTCAACTTATCTTTGTGAGTCTAGCTATAGGGGGCGGCTACGAGATCCTGCGCTCTTCTGCCCGAGAAGCGTCGCTGAAGAGCGTAAATGGTGAGTTGACAGGGGCATTTTGCCCTATCAGCGATTATTGGGACTGCCGCTAATGTTGGCCATTTGCCAGCGGTCGAACTCCCCGCTCTACTTGAAGTCCTGAACCTATACTTGTTCATGCAGACTATCCCCGGCAATATCCCGCTGCTTCTGATCTACCGCATTCAGCTCGAGTGGATCGGTGCGTATTGACTTTGTCCCGAGGTGAATGTAATCTCCCTGACACACATGTCTCTGACCCCGTCTTCATATCATACAGTGTCTTCGGCCGCCAACCTCAGCGCCTTTCAAGTTTGCTTCTCCATCGTCCTGTTCACCCACAGCGCATTCTTCGCCTTCGGCAACGCGAACACGATCGCAGCGCTCCGATACACCGAGGGCTTTAACGGACTTCAAGCCCACCACTGGCTGCTCAGTCCCGTGCATACCTTCTGCAGCAATTACGCTGGTCCGATCTGGTGGAGCGGGAATGGATTACGATTGCTGGTCGCGACCAGGCAGGGAGAACACACTGGTCGTAGTGACTTTTGCGAGCACCTGGGACTTCGGACAGTCTTCGTGGCGTATGGTCTTGTTGGTGCGATGGGAGCATGCTACCTGCTTAGGGAGGAGGCCGTCGTTTGGACCGTCATGGCGCCCAAGTTCCTGTATACAGTCTTGTGGACGGTGCCCTTTCATCTGCTGTTCAATATGGCCATGCCGATAGTGCTGTGGGTGGGTGGCAGGTGTTGAGAAGACGTTCGATGGTGGAGTGCTCTAGCTTTCATTGGTTAGTGTACGTCAACTGTGCGAAAGAGATAATGGCGAGGTTTCTTTCTTGTGGTCAGCCACTGCCAGTGGTGTATACACTTCTTCAGGTTTGACAGGATATTCCATGTTCTTCGAGTCTGCCCTCTATAGGTCTTGTGTATAATGATCCATACGGTGAGTGGGCTTCGTGAAATAGAGGCCTGGTTGTGCCTGGAGCAACCTGTCCCCTCGAAGACGAGCACTCTCAACGGTAAAGCTTGTCAATGAGTCGGAAGGGCATATGTGTTTGCTTCCGGAAATACCAAGGCAGGAGTAGAACACGAACAGCTCTGTCTTGCCATTTCCCTTCCCGGGCTTGGCAAGCTGGAGGTGTAGTTGGAGGTGCTCGCAAAAGGCCCACCTCTCCCTCCAGCACCTCCACAGAACCTCCAAATCACCCCCAAGCATCTCCGAAATGCCAAGCAGGTCTTGTCAATTTTCTGTGACGAGGTGGCGTGTGTATGGTTGACACGATTCAACGCATGGAAGGAGGATGGTGTTAGTATGGCAGAATGATAGCTAGATTACATCCATTATCAATCCAGCTACGCCTCCCCCCGCTTCCCCCTCAACCTCGGGATCATTTTCCTAAGGTGAGGGCCCACAGAGCGCTCCGCACGATGTAAATGAAGAGGGTTCCTTCCTCACCAGGAATCTCGATAGCTACAAGACGGAGGCGGGTCGACCATGGAATACACCAGGAGGACCCCCTTCACCTCCAACCCCGTCTCCCAAACCGGCCAGTCAGCCCTACGTGGACGGCGGGTGGAGGAAAAACTAGGTAGTGTTGGTAGGCGACTCCTTCGATCCAGATTTATCATCGACAGATGGTGGAGTACTAGGAGTATCTAGCAGTCAACTATCTTTTTTACAGTTGGGTCATCTGTCCTGGATCCAATTCCCTGACTCTAGTCAATTCGCCCTTAGTCTGCGTTAAACAGGTCAACCAGCAACAACCCTCGCTTCTGATCCACGAAATCCCTCTTTGCAACCAGTTACCCACAGCAATCTCACAATGCCTCACGATCAACAGCAGCGCCACATAGTCTTTCGCTTCCCTAAACGCACTTCGTTCTACCATCTGGTCGAATGCGAAGAAGCTACCCCGGAGGGTCGGCCGCCATGAGGTCCTCGTCAAGATCCGCGCGGTCGCTCTGAACTCACGCGACCTGCAGGTAGCGACGGGACAGTACCTATTCCCCCGTGTACTGATTGATGAGGGCATTCAGATCAATATCGACCGCTTGTGGAAGTCATCTGGGCCACTGAAAGTACTTTACAGTGGCCAGATAGGAAAAGCATGCAATGCTAGGATACCTACTTGATGAACAGGATGGGTGTAGTATCATGCTTAGGTAGTCTCGCCAGGTAGTCTCGAATTCCACGGTTTTCACCTTCCCATCCTCACCGTCTTGCACTATGCAAGTCAGAGCATCTTTCGTGTCGCGCAAAAACATCAATTTCGCAAGCAAGGCTATCCTTTTGACGAGATGGTGGAGGAGCTTCCAAACTTCTATCGTGGCCAGGGGCTGGACTTCTATTGGCGTGACACGGGTGACACCCTAGCCGTGTCCGCCTAGATGAAATACATCGAGACCAAGCTAGACAAGACTGTGAAGCTAGTTTTGCATAGCCGCCAGACTCATGCAATTGGGAAGACACCAGGCTTTGGTTTCGCTCCCTTGCTCGAACTGTAGAATGTAGAGGCCGAGGCAATCCACTCCCCGCCGTGGCTGCGTCTCGGTAGCGGACCTCCCCGGCACAGTCTTTTGGATGCGCGACGACATCCTTAAACTGCAGGCCGACACATCAGCATAAAACAAGTCCTTTGGCGAGGAACTCAGCAAGCGTGAATTGCCTTTCGAAATAAAGATTAATACTATCCACTCGAACCCGACTGAGCTGTAGCTGCTGAATATCCTCAAGCGTAGGGGTGAGGACACTGCTGAAGGCCTAAGCGGTCAACTACCTCACCTCACCCCAACAGAGGGCTTGATGTACAGCACGGCAGGCTGGGCGTCTTGAATTTTGACACCGAATAGAGCAGGCACAGAATGCACAGACCGGTCCGTAGACGGGGATAGCCGGGTTATTCTATTCCTTAAAGCTGCATAGGTCATGTTCTGACGATGGTTTCTAGTGCACTGGAGGTATTCAGACTCAGACCACACCCAGGGTACAAGGACATTTATTGGCCTGCTGCCCAGTGCAACTTGACCTGCTAAATGAACCTTAATCCGATCTTTCGTATATTAGATAACAGTCCCTACCGCAGCCCCGCCCTCACCATCGAGCTCTTCTCCCTTGTAAAACACATTCAACCCCTCCATCGCCTAACCAGAAGAACCGCCGTGCCAGCAACACCCAGAATTCCAACCCACCGCACCATCGCGCGACGGATGTACTCGCGCCCGGTGCGCGCAATCGCATCCGCATCGTTGATCCGCGGGAAGGGAATATCGGGATGGACCTCCTTCCCCAGCGCGCGACACAGCGGCTCCCATCCGTCGCGCACGTCGACGAACACCACGCGATCGGCGGGGACGTTAGCTTCCAGCCAGGCGATATGCCGCTCGTAGATGCCACGGTGAATCAGCGTGCCGCTGACTTGTTGGACGGAGGTCAGGCTCTGATCGTCCGCATAGAGACGGCACCACTGCCGGCGCAGCAGCCAGGTGAACTCCACGAAGTGTCGCATGCCCGGCAGTGGGAGGAGGAGGAGCTTAAGACATCCCAGACGCGTGAAGCTATGCACCTGCGCCATGCTCTTCTCCCAGGAAACCGGGTCGCGCACCGTGCAGATGACCTTGGCGTCTGGGTAGAGCGCCATCAGCTCGGGGAGGAGCTGGCAGCCCGGGGCGTCGGTGATGGCCGCATAGCCGTCGAGCTGATGTCGGAGAAGGCGTTGACATTCCCCCCACTGCTGCTCCCCGCCAGCTAGCCAGCAGCGGAGGATCCGGACCCAGGCTTTCAGCTCGCCCGGTGGCCCGCGGGTGAGTTGCGTGCCGCCGTGGTAGACGGGGCCGTCGAGGAGGATGCTTAACGCCGCGCTGAATGAGGCGGTCCCTGTGCGAGGCAGGCCTGCTCCGATCACTTGGAGCTGTGTTCCTGGTCGCGGTGCTGAGGCGGTTTGGCCCATTGTGCTCGGGTTGGGGCTGATGTGTGGGACCCGGGGGGGAGGGAGGTAGAGGTTGAGGGTAAAACTATGTGGGTGATGTGAGTGCTGAAACCACTTATAAAATCACCAACCCCAATGGATTCTGACGCAAGGGGGAGAGGCGGGCTGGCCAGGGAGGTTTTGCCAGTCAGGTTTTTAACCCGCCGGCTCAAGATAGCACGGGCAACGATCGCAGGCGTGGGTGGGTGATGTCTGCGGAGTTGCGCACAAGGCTAGTCGGTGTAGACTTCGCGAAATGCATTTCCGCGGTATGGAACAGCATCGTTGTCCCTTCTTCTTATCCACTAAAAGTCTTTCGACCGTAGAAGTAAGCCCCATAGCTAGATCATCTACTCGTGACGTTACCCAGCTACTCTTGATCTACAACTTACGACCCAAGTACAATGCCTCGATGGCTTCTTCTCGACCCCTCACTATTTCCAATGCACTGTAGAGTAGACTGCACCCACAGTAAGTGAGTAGAAAAGCACCTATTCTTCAACAATCCCAGCCACCTTGACTCGCACACGCCATGGTCCATCCCTGCCTCGCGGTAGCAATTTGTCCCGCACAAAGTGTACATCCTCTCTCGTAGTCTCGTAGAGTTCCAGATCAAATCGACGAATCACCGTAGCCAAGACATTGTACAGTTCCGCGTAGGCCAGGCTGTCGTGCAACAGAGGTGGAAGGTTAGCCACTAATGAGAGACCCCGAAAGGGAGTAGATAAACATACTTCATCCCTAGACAGGCCCGATTGCCCCTGCCAAATGTCACCAGATAGCGTAAAAGACCCTCTTTCCGCTCCGCGGCGAGGATCCATCGTTCCGGGTGGAATCTCTCCGGATCGGGGAATAGGGTGGCATCTCTGTGGACAAAGTATGCGATCGTGCTGACAGGTGTCTATATTGCTTGCGTGAGCCAGTGGTCAAGAGGTAGCTAACTGGGTTAGGTACGACTTACCCCTGGTGGAATGACGCAGTCCTTATACCTCAGTACCTCTATCGGCGAGATCCTCTGTTGCCGCATCACGATCCCGGAAAAGCGGAGAGCTTCATGAATCACTGCTGTCTGCACCACATGGAACGGTCAATTCAATCAGAATGGGGCCTCTTCGGAGAAAAAGAAGAAGGAATAGCCAAGGTCCTAGTATAGGAGAGACAGTACATACCAAGTACGGCAGCTTCTCCAGTTGGCGCCATGTAACCGGGTGGTGCGGAGTGGGCATGATTTGTTTGAGTTCAGAGCGGAGTTTGCTCAAGACCGCTGGATCATTCAGAATATGGAAGATGGCCACAGAGAGCGTCGTAGCCGTCGTCTCGGTACCAGCGGCAAACAGCACCAGTCCTTCATCCTCGAGGCGCTGCAGCGTGCGTTCTTCCAGTGGAACCTCAGGATCAGTGAGTGCATGAAACATGGTGATCGCTTTGGCGGCACCGCCAGGCTCCTGAACGGTGCTTCTCGATTCCAGCGCGGCCAGAGACTGTTCTCGCACCCCGTCTAACAGATCATAGACCCGGGCTCGGGCGGGAAAGACCCGCGCCATGAACCACGAGGGAATCAGGCGTAGGAGAGTGCCCATCAAGGGGAAGAACCGCTGCAGGTGGATCTGGTCGGTCCCCTCCTGAACCACCTTGACGATTCCCTTGCCAATGTTCTCCTCCGCCTGGAGCTCGTAGCTGTTGCCGTATGCGTACTGCGTGATGAGGTCGCCGGTCAGCCCCTGCAGTCGGTCGATCAAGTCGAGCACTCTCCCCTCTCTGTGGGCAATGACGAGGGCGTTAAGGAATTTTTGGAGCGACGCCTGGATCGTCGGCTCGATCCCTTCGATCGCCCGTCGCGAGAAGAACGAGGTGAGGATCCGTCGGCGCATGCGATGCGTGTGATGTCCCACGGTGGAGACCATCGCGCCGGGGGCACTGAAGATGTGGACGGACTTGGGATCCTTGTCCCGCATCCCCGTGGCCGGAGCATAGATCTCGTCGTAGAAAGAGGGATCATTGATGTGCACCTCGCGGGGATTGATTCGCACGATGGGTCCTATCGTCATGACGATGTTGTGTTAGGAAGAGAGGGGCCGTGCACGCCGGGTGAAAAAGCCGATGCTTCCCACGCAAAAGGAGATTCACCTTACCATATCTCTGGTGCATCCTTTCGATTTCCCACACGAACATGCCCTCGCGGATGACATCGTAGTAAAACTCATACAGATGGGAGATCGCAGCTAGCTTTGGGCCGGGAATATGATGCAGCGGGTCGAAATACAGGCGATATATACTGCGCAGAATGAAAGCAACGAGTATCAGGATCGTGCCACCCAAAGCCCCGTGCTCCCTAGTAGGGGTCAAGATATCAATCATTACGACTGAATCTATCCTTTGCTTGTTGATGAGTAGACAGGGAGAGAAGGCAGATCCTTATAAGAAGCACCTGCCATACAGGACACAAACTATTACATTTGGCCTACAGCTTGAGATATATTCGGGGAGTGGCGGTGGTACAGAGGCAACGAGCACTCCACCTCTTCAAGCTGTCAAGGATAAAGCGCAGACGAGAGAGATATCAGCAGGATAAGGTGTCTCACATTGCACTAGGTAGGTAGTGCCAATGACTGCCGACTACAAGTAAGGGGTAAGTTTTGGGGTGTCAGATTCTGCATGAATGTATGCTACTTTAGGGCTCGATGTGACATGGGACCCCCTGGGAAGTCTCCCGATTGCCAGAATCGGAAGATCGACATCGGCCACAATCCAGCTAAGGGTTCCAAGTGTTGGCCGTTGTTTCTGACACATTCATCCTGGTCACGCCCATAATGAAGTACCGGTAGACTGCTTCGAAATAGCTGCAAGCAATCAGGAGTCGGCACATCTCTCTGCTGATCGATAGGAAACCTTGCCTGCTCTACTGAACCTTTGTTCGGGCCAGTCCAATGCCTGAATATGCAATGTGATTGATGCTAATCTGAGAAATCATATTCATCGACAAAATGGTTCCCAAAGAAGCTCTGTCGACTACGTGTTGCGCTGGGCAGTTAACTTTGAGCCCAATTGAGCTATAGCTGGGTTACTCTGTCAGCCCTGCTAAATTAATGCTCTATAGCTGGATCATGTCCTCGGTTCGCATAAGATTTCAATACATTTAAGCTGTGGCTAGAGCACTACATCGCCTTTGCCAGCTTTAGTCGGCCACCTACCTTTCGGTTTCCCTTTTCATCAATACCTCCTCGAGGCATCTATCTGACACCATGCGTGACAATTCTGTGGCCACATTCATCGAGATGAAGAACCAATGCCTATACAAGAGTTTTGCAAACTCGCATCATCCCACCTATGGACTCGGTACGATGTCCGGCAACATCTATGACACTGCATGGGTCTCACTTGTCAGAAAGCCGAACGAGGGAGGCGCAACAATCTGGGCGTTTCCGGAAGCCTTTTCGACTCTTCTGCAGCTCCAAGAGCTTGATGGTTCTTGGGGTAGTTCCATCGCCAGATTGGATACCATTGCCAACACCTTGGCGGCTCTCCTGGCCCTGCAAAAGCACGCCGCAGATCCAGGGGAGGTCGATGCGCAGGAGCTCAACTCACGGATCCTCAAAGCAAAACAGTTTCTCGATACGGCTTTGCAAGAACTCAACGAGCTGACAGTCACAAGCATTCTGCCCGTGAGCTTCGAACTGCGACTCCCGGCCATGCTGGACCTGCTGGAGGCAGAGGGCCACACCTTTGACTTCAACCAGACGAACCTCGTCAAGCTGCAGGCAAGGAAAATGTCCAAGATTGATCTGGATCTCATCTTCAGCGGTCCACAGTCCTCCCTTTTGCACTCGTTGGAAGCTCTGGTCGGAAAGATCGACTTCAGTGGGCTAGCCCAGCACAAAGTCCTGGGCAGCATGCTGGGCTCACCATCTGCGACATCTGCATATCTGATGTATAGCCCCGTATGGGATAACGAGGCCGAGAATTATATTCGGCGCGCGATCTCCAACGGCGTGGGTCTGGGATCGGGACTAGTGGCAGCTGGGTATCCGACCACAGTGTTTGAGTGGGCGTGGGTATGTCGCTTCTCGCCCACAATCATGAGTGCTGATAGAACGAGATGCTGATTCGACCAAGGTGACCACGAATCTGCTGCGCAACGGTATTGCGCCCACCGCTGATCTACAGCGTACTGGCGAGCCGATTGAAGCAGAAATCAAACAACATGGTCTCGTAGGCTTCGGTAGAGTGACCCTCCATGATAGAAGGTAGATTATCGCCGCGGTGTCCCTTGCTAATGTCTCTGCCTGCCATTAGTCCCCAAAGCATGCCCTGATGCTGATGACACCGCAAAGGCCTTGGTAGCTCTGATGCTCCAAGGAAAGCACTACTCACCGCAAGTATTGGTCGATCGATTTGAACGTGAAACTCATTTCGCAACGTACTCATACGAGACGCACAAGAGCATCAGCACCAATGCCAACGTCCTCACCGCTCTGGTGCTGCTCTCCACCGACGACCACTACCAGCCTCAAATTGAGAAGTGTGTTCGCTACCTGTGCGAAGAATGGTTCAAGTGCGATCGGTTGCCTCGTGATAAATGGGTACGTCACACGACTGGTTGAGATACGGAAACCCGAGTTATGATTAACCGAAGGTCTTCTAGAACATCTCATCGTTTTACCCGACGATGCTGATGTGCGAAGCCCTGATGTCTTACCTGCAGCGTTGGAGTACCGGCGACCTAGCTGCCTTGCCCGATGATCTGATGAATTTCCACATCCCGATCACGCTGTTCCAGGCTGTGATCCGAACGGTCCGTACTCAGAATCAGGATGGGTCCTGGGGCAGCGCAGGCTCTGCGGAAGAGACGGCCTATGGTCTCCTTATACTGAAGAGCGTGGCGTCTTTTAGTTTGACTGAGAGGATCTCCAGCGAGCTCAAGGATGCCGTCAGGCGAGGCATCGAGTTTATCCTGTCCAGAGACAAACGCTGCTCGACAGACGACCAGCTTTGGCTAGACAAAACCCTGTATAGCATTCCAACGGTGTCAGACTCGTACATCATGGCAGCCGTGACGGCCGGGGACACTGAGACCCCTAGCAAGAAAGCGGCCGCAATACCATCTCTGCTCGTTGACATTCCGGCTGCCACGGTTCGCAAAATGGCTGAATTCTTCACGCCATTGCCGTCGCAGATGAAAACGCCCCAGTGGGTGGTTGAGGCGTCCGTTGTCGAAGCTCTCCTGTTCAGCTACAAGCTGAAGGACTTGGATGTATTCTCCACCGGCAACGCTCTTGGCGAGAAATACATCAAGTTCGCTGCCTGCTTTTGGACGTTGGCCAATAATTCCCGCCCCGGGTACTTGTTGAGCACCCGCATCGTCTACAGTATGGTCGAACTTTCCGTTGGGATTTTCCAGGAGGATGACTTGATGGAAAGGGATCTGGTGGCTCTGCCTGACTCGGCCTCTGAGACCATAGCCGAGTTCATTGAGCAGCTGTGCCATGGCACAAATGGTCTTTGCCAAGATCACTCTTCTCACGCCAGACCTACCCTTGAAACGAATGGGAAGTCCAGAAGTGCACTCAGCAATGTCCAGCACAACCTCGCTATCTGGTTCCACTTTGTTCTGGATGTGAACCTCGCCACGGCCAGGCCAAGTCCTGCTGATCGACGCGATCTGCGACAAGAAGTAAGCTTGGCGACGATTGCTGCCATACAGCAAGCCAAAGCGCATAGATCGCTCAGCATCAATACCACAAACGGTCATGATCAGAAGCAACCAGACAGCCGCGAGTCTGCCACCACCCCTGTGACCAGCGGCCAGAGCTTCTTCACCTGGCTACACACCTCTGCCGTGCACGACGTCAAGAGTGCAGTAGTCTCCAAGTCCCTGGTGTGTAAGCTTGGGTCCGAAGAAAAGGGGGATGTCTTCCCCACTGCCCGAGAAAAGTACCTGGCCGAGAGGCTGTGGCGGCAGATCTCGGTGGAAGGCAGGCTGTGGAATGACCTGGGTAGCATCGAGCGCGACCGCCGCGCCGCAAACCTCAACTCAGTCGACTTTCCGGAGTTCTCGTCACCGCAAAGCCTGCAGGCTGACGGAGATGTGCAGACGCAGTTGCGGCTGCTGGCTGAGTACGAACACAGCTGTACGATACGATGCCTGGAGGACTTGGTGCAGATCTTGGAGGATTCCGGTCGTCGCCGGCTGTCGCTCTACCTGCAGATGTATTACCTGTGCTGTAAAATCTATTCGGAGACGTGTGTGATGTATCACTTTGGATCTACCACGGTGATGTGAAAGGTTCGAAGAAGAAGTCAGATTGTTGGTTCGTATATCAAGCCGATCATTGTTGTGACATATTTTGTTGGAGTATATCCTGACAATTTCAGGAGGTATGCACGCTGCTTGTTTATGTGGGTCCTGTTGCATATGACAGAAGTCACTGTCTGCTGTTAGGGTTCACCCAGGGGTATGACATGTAGGATTATACGGGAGCCATATCTGCAGCATCATTATATTTTCCCCCTTCAGATTCTTGCAGTAACTATTAGTTCGAATTGCTGATCATTGATGACAAGAATTCGATGGAAGCTACCACCCGATCTGGGTTCAGTTTGGTATTACTAAAACTCACATAGTAGTCACCCTCTTCGATGATCTCGAATTGGGAACCATGAATTGAAAATCACATGGTTTGTATTTACACTATGGAATGTGGCGTGAAGCTTGAAGTGATAGACCTTGATCACCGCAGTTAGGTACTGTATGAGAAGCAAAACGCAAACAATGCATGTTGGTCTTGGTGACACCACCGTGTGCGCTGGAGGTGGTTAGGGGCAAACCGAAGTATAAAATCCCACTGCATCACCCTCGAGGTGTCTCTACACAAACCATCTCATCACAGTCCGAGTCTTCGATTCTTCCACTGCTCTCCAGAAGACAGTCCATCATCAACACCACTCTAATACCTCCACCTTCATCATGCAGTTCTCCTCCATTGTCACCTTCGCTCTGCTGTGCGCTGCAGCCACCGCCTCCTCCCTCAACGCTGGTGCCAATCAGTTGGACAAACGACTCTTCTGCAACGACGCGACATGTAACACCCAGGTATGTTTTTTGAACTTTCTCTGTCTCGCATGGATGTCTTCTTCCCAAGCCAATGCTGATGCGCCTACTATAGTGTCTCAACGCCAATGCCCTTAGTGGGCAATGCGGTGGGACGGAGGACCTGTAAGACCTTCCTTTCCAATCTTTCTATAGACCCGCCCGATGGGTAGATCTTGCTAGGTTTGAGTTACTAATGCTTGGAACCGTGCAGTCGCTGCATCTGCAGTTACAGGTTGCCAGCCGCTGACACGAAGGGTGCCGCTGCCCCTGCCGCAGGTCCCTGAGGAATATCGTCTTGGAACAAGCCGTTTGGCGTGGCTATTACATGACACGCCTGCTTCAACTTCTATCATCTTGGTCATTCGTTCTCATAATTAATAATTAATATCAAAGTTTATTCTTACTTCCACTCCTACTATGTGTGGTGTCCTCTCAAGCATCCTGTAGTCATGCTGTAAATTAGAGAAGTGACTCCGGAGATGCACACCACCTATACCAGCTCCACGGAGATACCACATCGTAGCCATCGCCATCCAGAAAATACTAAACCATAGTATGTCTCATTCACATCCCGGGTTCCCCCTACAGCTTAACCTTACCCATCATCTCCGTGACCTCCTCAACTGCATTCCTAAAATCCTTGACCCTAATGTCACACTGGACCTCGCACAGTTTTCGCCGCGCAGTCGACTTCAGCTTCTCAATCAACTCCAAGCCAGTCGCCTGCTCCAGCACATCCAGCTCGACCTCAAAGTCCGCCAGCGGCTTCATCACCGCTGATCGCCCCGTTGGGCAACACGAACGCGCCCATCGCCACCTTGCCCCCAACCAGCTCGTCACCATCACCACCACCCTCCTTCCCCTCCTCCTCCTCCCCAAGGACCACCTTGAAAAAATGTGTCGGCACCGCCACCCTCGGCGAGGGCGACCCAATAACCTCATAACTCACCCGCCACTTCCCATTCTTCCTCCAACCGAGGCAAATACAGCGGGCCGGTGATCACCCGGACAGAGGGGTAACGGGTAGTCAGGTTCTTGCAAAACGCCTCAAAGTCCCGCCAGTAGTGGCGGTTGAACCCGACCCCGACCTGCGGACACATGTTGGACATGCGGAAGGTCTCGTCGACCGCCTGCTGCGACCAGCGCGGGGGGTCCGCAGGCACCTGGTGGCCGCGGTCGTACCCGCTCGCGCTGTAGTCCTTGACCTTGGCCCGGAACGCGGCGAGGATGTCGGGGTCCTCGCGGAAGTTGTCGCGGCGCTTGCCCGGTGCGTTTGCGATCGAGGCGGGCGTCATGTGCTCGGCTACCCAGATCGGGTTGCGCGTGCGCCGGTCGTATGCCCCGTACCAGGAGGTGGCGCGGAGCTCCTCGTTGACGGGGCCCGGGTGCCCGTATTTGAGGATGCCGGTATGCTCTTTATCAGTCGGGTAGGAAGTAATCCGTCAGAATGACAGATTGTCAGGGGGTGTCATTCGAGTGGGCCTCAATCCAGGTGGTGATGCCATGACATCCCCGGATGTAACCCTAACTCTAGCTTCAGCTCATTTCCCGGTGCCGAGCTTGTCACTTTTCCTGCATTCGATAGGCTCTGGGGGATTTATGCAGTTATGGTAACTCATCTCAATCCTCCATTCATTGTGTTATAGAAGTGATATGTTTAAGTAGGAAATCTCTTTCGCCCCTAGTTTCGGTGCATCATATATACATTCTCCCGCGAAGTCGTTTTCCATCTCCATACCGTGCCACGAACCGCCAATTCTAATGCGCTGTCCTGAATGTGAAAATAGGATTTGGCAGTCCGGTGTTCTTTCTTGTGTTTGACATTCGTTTTCTTTACTTTTTTTTCTTTTAGAAACAAAAGTAAAGAAAATTGCCCTGTGCGTACAGGAAAGAACAATGCTTGCGAAATGCCAGAGCGTTCGATTTCAGCCGAAATAAAACCTCCATAAAGAGTCAACCGCCTCGGCAACTGACCTATCTCATAAGAATCCTCCTTGCAATGCAAACTTAAGCGCAGAAGCGTTGATACTACGTACTGAGACGATCGGCAGTGACACAACCCCATGTAATGCCATTTGAGTCCCTCATCACCGCCGCCCCAACCTCATAATCGCAGAGGCTCTTGTCATCCCGCACCGCCTTGATATTGTCAGACATGATCTTCCCGGAAATCGGCTGATTCTTGCCCTGCGCCGCCTGACAGTACATGAGCGCACCACCAAACTGCGGCGTCAGCCGCACCGGCTGGCGGCTTTTGAATTGAGAGAGGGGGGTCTTCGGCGTGACGAGGCGCGTCAGCAGCCTCTGCATGTCGCGGTTCAGCGGACACAGGTGCATGTGGATCTGGTTGCGGGTGATGGAGTGCACGGAGTTGACGACCAGGACTGATCATGGTTCTTTATACACACATTGCCCCATTGCTCGTATAGTTCTGTTGCTCCATGATATACGCCAAGCAACCGAACCACGGGCGCGACGGCTTCCGGATCGGGTTTCTTCCTCCGCAATTACGATCAACACGAACATTCACAGCCAGATGGCTCGCGGCCCTGCATAGAGCATAAGGAATTGACATAGTAGATTCACCTCAAGGTAGACAGTTCCATTAGTCTTGGACGTCTTCGTATCAAAAATCAAGCACATACGACCACAGGGTGTGGAAGACAGGGCTTCCCGTCCGCTCAGCCGTACTTAAGCCACACGCCGGGAGGTTAGTAGTTGGGTGGGTGACCACCAGCGAATCCCTTCTGTTGTATGTTAGTGCTCACCCGTCTCTTTGACACTTTTTGACCCAGTGGGTAAGGCGTTATTATCATCTTATCTTCACCCCTATTCACCTCTCTTCAGTTTATTTAGGGCGCGACCTCTCTAAACTATACTTATTACTCCCACAGCCGACGTAGTCTCGTAGCACAGTCCTGTTGCTAAGAATTACCTCTTAGGTAGATATTAATCTCACTATCTTTTCTATATTAGTATCAGTAACTTTTGGACTCCCGCAATGTATAAAGCGATAATTAGTTAAATTCTATCCTAGTCTTTGGTAATCTACCTGGCTATTTATTCTCTCCATCTACACAAGCTGATTATGTACCTTAACTATAGGTACTATAATAGGATAATCCTCGTCCCCATTCCCTTTAGCCTACCTTCCCGGCCTGGAGATCAAGGCTGACCGTATTTTGTAGAAAAGCGTGAGAGTTCACCCAAGCAAAGAACAGTCGAAACGCCTAGATAAAAAGAAGATAGTAAGTACTGCAGGGCACAGATATAATAGTGTGGTATCATTGCCCACACTACTACAGTAGGTAGATAAGTAGTAATAGTCTACTTTAGTCTACCTGTTAATTTATTTCAAGTTGTTTTCATATTATATTAAACAATCATAAATTTTGTCTGCATTTATTGGAAAATACTTATTACTGAGCTTTACACTCCTTGCCCGTTAATTCTAAGTAACTATTAATCAACCGGGAATCTATCAGAATCTATAGTACAAATAATCACCTGTCAAGTATTTAAGTAGTATAATATATATAATCAGCTTCTAGTATATCTGATTCTTTCTCTTTTAACCCTTTAGCTGTCTATGCCCAAATATGGGTAGTCTACCTGCTGAGTTCGCAGTCTATTTAGGTGTGGATAGATGGGTAGGTGTGATGCCTAGTGGCTGTAAGTATTAACTCTCCCACAGCCCCTGTAATTAAGGCAACGTGCATCGCGGAGTAGATCTTGCTCTAGAACAGAGACCCACCCATGATCTACATCTCCTGCCGCTGCAGAGCTTATAGTATAGCTCGCCTGCCTATCCTTTTAATAATAGATAACGTTCTACTGAAATGATAACAGTCCTGATCAGAATTAGCTCATTATATTAAGAGGCGAGCAGTCAATATAGTCTAGTATTTTTATTCTGCTTTTTATTAATCAAGAAAGAAAAAGTAAGTTAATATTATCTAATTTTGTTATATCGCGTGCGCGGTCATAAAAGCAGAATCCAGCCACCTAGGAATCCGAATTAGTATTAAATCCTAGAGATAATCTTCTAGTATTCAGAAAATCCCACTACTAAATCCTAGAGTGTTCTAGCTCAAATCGGGTTTTATAATAGGTATAGGAACGGAGGTGTTAGTAGAATAAACCTGAAGCTAACAGTTCTGTTCTATCAGAAGGCGAAGGGGCAATACTCTAATTATACTCTTACTTTCAACGCTTACGACCAAACTATTATTAGAAGAAGAGATTGCATGACCTGTTAGATAAATATAAACTAATTTATTAGTAATTAAGAGAAAAACAGCATTTCATAGTTTTGTAATAGTACCAAAGATCATGATTTCCAAAGATATTACCCTAAAAGTCTACTAATAATTTCAGTCTGCAGTATTCACCTGGTATCCTGTATTTGTCCCTGATGGCCTTGAGATGATTGAGCAAGGCTTGGAACTTTTTAATCGGAGTCAGATTTCATCTTGGTTCTATTTGTAGCATAAAACCAAACGCGTTAACTATTTATAAGGCCTTTAATACATTAAATCCCAATCTTCTCCACTACCTTGTTTCCGAGGGGATAAGCTTGGCTGGTACTTTGAACCCCAGAGTTTCAAGCAACTCTCCACAGAAGGCAATGTCCGTACACCATCCAGTGCATTCCCAAAGCGATCGCGCACGATCTCATCAGTGTCATCTACGGTTTGAATCCAGGCACTATCCGGCGGAATGAACCCGCCATCTCCACCTTCAACAACCCACCGCCTCATGGCCTCAAACACAGCATGATAAACGAACGGATTCGCAAAGGTGCTCCACCTTATCTCTTCCTCTTCACCTCCTGCACCAGATACCCTCTCCTGGGATGGCCTCTCTCCCCATCGCACCTGATCAACCGCAGAGAAATAGCTCGAATCGCGATGGCCCATCCCCGCCACCTCATACAGGCGGTACCCCTCACTCTGCGGCCTCCGATACGCCGTCCGCCGCCAATGCATCTGTCTACTCACCCTACAGGGATACCGCACGGACAAGAATTCTAATTCCCCCAGCAGCTCAATAATCTTCCCCCCAGTCTCGCAGTCCGGCAAAGGCGTCGTCCCGCCTGACTGACACAGCAAGAACCCATCAAACGGAGGCATCTCACCATCCGGCAGCCTTAAATGGCCGGAATGCGTGATAAACCGCCGAGTAAGGCCCCCAGTCTGCGAGAGGCCGGCGAGCACGACCCACCGCGCCGTCAAGCCGCCCAGCAGTCCCGCGCGGAGGGCGTACGACGCCGCGGACAGAATCTCGGGGGACTGAGTCGTGGCGGGCCACTATTTCACTTTGAGAGTGTCGTATGCTTGCTATAGTTCCTCTTTAGACATAGGTTCTTCCTCCCTCCCGTCCTCGACAGGAATATTGAGAACTCGTCGCTGGTCGGTACAGGCGTGAAATCCATGGCTGCATAGCGGTTCGGGTCGATGTTCTTGATCTTCCCGATAGCGGAGGGGGCTTGCGAGTCGACTTCGAGCCAGGCGTGGTCTGTTCCCCCCATTGCAATGTAGGCTGTGTTAGACACATTTCCCTCGAGTTGATCTCGTCGATCCGGGTTGCTTTCGCGTGATCAGAATGAAGGATAGGGAGGCGACTTACCATTGCGTATAACCCACCGATTTACATGCCGCCAGATACTCGTCCCGCCCCACAGGTGCGAGGGCTCGGCGACCACGAACCCCGAGAACTGGGCGGGGTCTGCGGGCCGCCGGAGTAGCAGGCGCGTGCAGTATGAGTGGCCCTGCGCGGTGCCGGAGATCAGGTACTCCTGGCTGATGAAGTCGTATTCTGGGAGGAGGTCGATATGGTAGGGTTCCAGGAGGATTATCGGGTGGGAGGGGTCGGTCTCCGGGACGAAGGTCACGGTTGGTTCGGGGATGGCGAAGGTTTTGGGTGAATTAGGGGATTCTTTGTTGTTCATCTTGTTGACACTATTCTTGCTTCTTAGATCTTCTTTCTGGTTGTCTGTTTTGCTGTTTTTGTAGAGTCGACTTGTTGAGAACAATGATGTATGACTGTGGTCGGCAAGTACAGTACAGGGCGTTGTGTTACTTACTCGTGCTTTGATCTCCAATTACGATTTCGAGGCAAGAATAGCGATAGGAGGTCAGATTCACTCTTTTATTAGCTCCACTGAGAACCCTGTCCAGCATTCCACATTTGTACTCGTTCCTCGACAATCCTACTTGGAGCTCCCGCAGCCCCCTATCAAAGCAAGCATTCAGTCGATACGTGTCCGGTCAGCCCCCGCAGGCTTGCAGATCCCGATCCCCTACTCACTCGAGCCTCTTCCCCGAAACAAGTTTGTGTTGGACAAGGCAGGAACACAGGGGCGAAACAGATAAGCAACGTCGTTGGTCGCCATCTCACTAGCGCGTGAACTGCAGTCAAACTGGCATCAATCACACTCCAGCCATACACGCTAGTCTTAGCTGAGACACACCTGCAGAAAAAAGAGATCCGAGTGGCTGCTCGGCGTAGGAGCTGCGAAGCGATGTCAGCGCTAGCCTCAAGCCCCAAAGGTAGGCGGGGTAATCTGATCCAGGTGAAGCAAAAACTTCCAAGTTGCAAATCGGAAGTTCCTAAGTGTCCAGAGATTGACCATACCGTTCATAGGTACTCCGTAACTTTCCCCGATTCCATGCTCTTCTAGTTACTGGTTCCATTGAGGGAGATCCCGATTGCCAATCGCCCACGGACCGAACCCTAAATACTGAGCATACCATACGACATTATCCGCAACGTCTCCTATGGAATTGTCTAGACTAAGACAGGTCACGACGGTCGGCTCTAAGAAAGCGACCAGTGCCCTGGTGGTGGGGCGGCCAGGTAACCTAGAGCCAAGCCATCGTCTTTCGGGTTTCTATTCACCTGCTCAAGAAAGGCGGCATATGATACTCAGGGGGTGGCTCCAGTCGATTTATGATTCGGCTTGTCGCCCGATCGGCCATATTTGGCCTACATGCGAGTGGCCTTGACGTCTCAAATCAAACTACCTCTTCCCTATGCTATTTCTTCTCGGGATGAATGATATCGATAGTCCAATCACAATTACTTCTGAGGAGGCTGTTTCATCGGCACGTTGTTTTACTCTATGTGATGACGCCTCCGAGAGAGGTGGAAGATGCTTGGATTCTGACTACGTCAGGCTAACTGCGAGGAACTAGCTAAGGCCACTGGGGTGGGCGGTGAGCGAGCAGCCTCAGGCAAGGCCCCAGGCCGCCGTCACTATATACTATAAACATTTTAGACTCCATGAATGTAAATATTCCACGTTATTTGCCCGAGAAAAGCTGGTATATATCGGGCTGAAGTTCATATAGTAAGTGATGACATGAAATATATGGTTCGATGGGTCTACTAGATCTTTTGGCACTATCTTGACTTTTGCAATTTGAGCAGGAGTCTTCCAATTGGTCGTGTACCTGCAGTGCCACGCCCTCCACGTGGGCAACCCGCACTGTGGCGAACAAGGAGGTAACCCAATGATTAAGTGTGAACCACGCATAGACAATAATATTCCTTCAAATCCCAACACATATCCTCCCACTCCGCCTGTACAGTACCTGAACAACAAATGTATTAACCCGGGGAGCCAGTGAAGAAGGGCGTCCTCAGTGATCCGATTGATTCAACTATGACCTCCATCATCTGCAGTATTCATCAAGATCTAGCACTCTAGCATCGTCCAAAATTGCACCAGCCTCGGGTTGCTCATTACTTTATAGGATATAACTAGCTCTCCCTATGACCTATGATAAGGGAAACCCAAGTAGTTCATGTGATAGATGGAAGATCTTATGGTCTCAAATACAATACTAGGCATCTATAGATATTTGTTCTCAATTCATAGCGCGATTTAGATTGAACAAGTATGGATTCGACCATAATTCAAAGATATAAAGGTGATAATCCCCCGGACCTAATCTGACTGTTGTTCGTTTCTGCCCGCAGCTGACGGCCGTTGGCGGAACGGACCAGAGACGAAATGGGGCGTTGAGCTCCGCCCGACCCACCGCCACTCCGGTAGAAAGTCATCTGCTGCTACGTCAGCTTTGAGTTTGCACGGCCACAGATTAGGAACTTGTGACGAAAATACAGAGGGTATGGAAAACAAAGCTCCTCGCCAAGAATAAAGAACTTACTCATCACCATTTCCGACGCGTTAGCCTTCAGCTGGCGAATCCATTCACCCAGCGGAATTTGCGCGTGGTCGGCGTCGAAGGCGACAGCCCTAGCATGGCATGTCTGACGTGATCTCCCACTCCGCATCCACAGGGGATCGCTCACGTCGATCGGATGGCCGCGGAATAAGAGGTTACCCATGTAGAGGTAACGGAGCGAGGGCAGATCATCATAGAGGTTCGCCCAGACCGTCTGCCACCGGTGCACGATCTCTGCCCTGTAGTTGACTTGCCATTGTTTTCTGTCGGCACGAGAGGCACGGGGATTCCAGGGCGAGGCGGTCTGGATGGACTCGGCTAGGCTTATTGAGGATAGGCTGAGACGCTGGAGAGTGGTCGTCGCAGAGCGGAGGAACGCTCGAAGGTCGTCCCGCGTGGTATCAAGATCGCGGAGTTCCACCTCCACCAGCCGTGTAAAGTAGACGCGCTGGGCGAGTTGGGAGAACAGTTGCGGCTTGAGGTGCTTTTCGGGGGTGCAGGAGAGTGAGAAGGTGAGGGTCCGCAAGCCGGGAGCGGCGGTCACCACCATCTCCAGTATACCCCGCAGACGATCTCCGTGTTCGTCCCTTGCGGGCACTTTTCCCGTGCTACAGAGGCACAGATGAAGATTCTCGAGAGTCTGGAGAAGCTGTAGGAATTGCTGATACTGCGGTTTTGTCGTTAATGTTATGAGATCCTGCGCCGCTACACCGCAGTGGTGACGATCGCACGTCTCGAGTCTCTGCAGCTTTTGCTGTGCCGTAACAACCGCATCTATGACTTCCAGAAAAACCCTTGCATGTTTATCTCCCATTGTGGCCTTCGCACGTTCGGAGTAGCCGGATGAACGTACTGTCCTGTGACAGGGTAGCTGATCGCGAAGGTGGCGTACTCCTAAGCACGGGAATTTCATCGGCCTCGACGAATCGAGTAGTACCCACGTTGGACAGGATCGCAGCCCGACCCCTCCCAGATTATTGAAGCAAGCCAGCGACTTCCTAAGAGCACTGGTAAAGGCACCCGTATCCAATACTTGACAATGATCTGCAACCATGGCCTGGTATGCGGTGAAACGGTTGAAGATCTCAGTATCGGTCCACAATCCCTCCGCATAGACCCCCCGAGAAAAGAACGAGTTATTTAGCGCCATAGGTATGGGACCAGGTGGCGAGTATTCTTTATCGAGCGATCCTTCGAATAGGGTGGGAACTATCCAGAGCTCCTTCACCCGTGGTCGCAGATTCTCGTCTGCAGCGAGAGCTGCCAGACGACTCAGACCCTCACTTGTGATCAATACACAAATAGTCTGAAATGATGAGTCCGCAAAGCGTTCCCACGTGCGAAGGAAGAGTGTCTTGCAGGTGAGCCGAAGTGCACACCAATCGATCAGTTCCAAGTGTCCACAAATTTGGATGATGAGCTCAGAGGGAAGGGTAGCGAAAGACATTCTGATTATTATGAAAGGCAGTGGCAGTATGTCGGATGATGAAAGGACAAGAAGTCACACAGACCGGCACTACCGAGGGAAGCAAGCCAGAGTTACTAAGTACCGTAACTTACTACCCAGTAATTGACTAGTGCCCAGTGTAGGAGCCGGCGATGGTCGGGGAATCAAAGGGTGGATCCGAATCTCACTAGTAGTTAGTGCTAAGTATATACACCAACCTCTTAGCCCTAGGTGATGCGTCACCGCAGTCCTTCCGAAATTCGAAGCCCCTCAGGAGAGCCACCACCTCAATACTCAAAAATTCCAAGGCAATCCCTGACGGCAAAGCCTTGGTAGATGAGGTTGAAAGTGGCCTCCACCGTCGCCTTGCCGCAGAGATCGTCCGGGATTTTCTGTCCGCTTTTCGTCACTCCGATCTATCTGCGGTCATATTGTCAGTTCTCACGCACTTCGGGCCTGCGAACATAGGATGGTAGGAATGAGGGCCCGGGGAGGCCTACGAGCCCGACTATCTCAGCACTTTATTACGCTCGTAGATCTGGACCTCCATGTTGGGCAGTTTGTCACGGTATGGGTTAGCTGCCTTGGGTTATCTAGAGGGAAGGGGCTATGCACTTGTTCAGGTATGCAGCCACAGCCGTGCCCGCGAGCCCGGCTCCCGCAACAGCCACGCGGAGCTTCTTCTCCTCTGGCTGGGTGACATGAGCCATCTTTCTAAGTTTAACTGCGTGGTAACAAGCGGAGGTGAGTGGGCGGCTCTAGACGAAGCGAAAGACAAACGTTCAATCTTGGGTGTACCTGGTTATCAATTAGTCGCACTTATTTGGATATGGGGGTTCAATCGAGGTTAAATACCTCCTGCCCTACGAGATGCATTCAAGGTCGGAGCATTTCTCGGCTTTTGTAAAGGACAATCCACAATCCACGATTAATCCCAGCATTACTGCTTCTAGTTAATTGTTGGTCTAGCTTCTCCGCTAGCCCTATTTGCTTCCCGATTCGATCGCAGTCAGCAGGCTACAGTGGTCATCTCGCAGTATTCGCCCTAGGCCGAGCATGATCCGGCACACACTGTTCAGGCACGAGAGAAGGAACGGAAATGACGATAAGGCGACTGCATCATTCTTGTATCTTACAGCCTGCTGTAGTAAGTTTCAACGGCTCTTTTCTTTCATACCACCAGCACATTCACTGAGTGCGGGGCACTCAACAGAGGGAAACGTAGCGGAAATGTCATGTTGTCCCCGGCCGGCTCCCGCGGGGTCCGCGGGGGCCCGTTTCCGATCTTGCCCCGACCCGCGTTTTGCCAATAACCACGCATTGTGAATTGTAGATATTGTTTGGAGGATATTTCACGGGATCGGACATGCAGACTACGCCTTTGAAGTAATGTATACCGTACCTCTGATTCCACAGTTGACGAGGCCTTTGCGATCCGACTTGGGAAGGCAGTTGAATTGATGCAGGTAGCCCGGTACCATTGCGATACAATATATGTACTGTCTTAATAGTGCGCTACGCACAGCATCATTTGTAACCGCACAAGGCGAGACGAAGACGCTGGATCAGCCCTCAGTAACAAAGGACCGTCTACAGTTAACAAAGCACCCTAGAGATTGCTGCGCAATTCACGAAGGGGAAAGTGTATTATGGAAGGAATGAAGCTGGGCAGTCCGTATGTCTGCTATACAAATCTCGATTTACATAGATTGGGCGGTTGTTTTACCGTCACAGAAAAGCGGACTTGTACCCAGACAATGCGAACTCCAAGTTCAAACAATCCATAGCTGTGCATAGCCCTGAAATCCACATTGTGTAACCATCGGGGGGTAACCCCGTGCGGTTGGAAGTGTCGCAAGCGGGTTTGATCCCCAACATCCTCCTGTCCACGGCAGGAGCCGGATGACCTTGCCCGCAACTCTATGGAAGGATTGACGAACAAGCGGAGAAAAGGCTGGGGATGGGGTGCCTTTCGATATTGTATTTATCCCGACAATACCGCGGGAAGTGCGGAAGACCAAGCACAACATCCCAAGCAGCGTCACCCATTCTTACCTGGACTTCTCATACACCCTTACACTCAGCATGGCTTCATCTTCTTTACAGCGGTTCTTCGATGCGGTTGCCACCCTGATCGGAGAAGAGAACATCTCCCGCACTCCCGGCCATGGCGCACTGCAAGGCCCGCATGGGCAACACTCGTATGCGGATCCTTTTGCCCTGCATGACAAACATGATCCCATCGGTGCACTCCGTCCAAAGCAGGTCCCCGAGGTTCAGGAGATCTTGCGGCTGGCCAATGCCCACCGTGTTCACTTGTGGACGGTTTCACGGGGCAAGAATCTAGGGTGAGAACCCGCTTCCTTCGATTTACGCTCTTCTGACTCCGAATGCTTTCGGCTTACTGGGCTTTCAGGTACGGAGGCGCTTTTCCCGGTCAAAAAAGGCTGCGTAGTCCTGGATCTTCACCACATGAACCGAATCATCGAGATTAACGAGGAGTCCGCCTATACGATTGTGGAACCCGGCGTCTCGTTCTTTGATCTTTACCATGAGATCAAGAAGCGAGGGTTGAACTTGTGGCCTTCTGTCCCGGCCATTGGTTGGGGGTCTGTTCTCGGGAATACACTTGATCGTGGGTTCGGCTACACGCCGCAAGGGGAGCATTCGCAATTGCAATGTGGGATGGAGGTGGTCCTGCCGACTGGCGAGCTCATCCGAACGGGAATGGGGGCGATGAAAGATAGCGCTCTGTTTCCGCTCTTCAAGGAGTAAGCCGGTGTAATATTTTGGTGGAGTTGGCTCGGATGGCTGACCATTTTGCAGTGGCTATGGCCCCAGTATGGACGTCCTGTTTTATCAGTCAAATCTGGGTATGTCTACGAGCCCCTCGAAGGGACATGAACGACGCCGTTGGTAGGTGCATTGCATGGGAACCTTGAAGCTGACGCGTTCACCGTTTCCACGATAGGAGTCGTTACCAAGATCGGCATGCATATTACCCCGGCCCCGGAGGCCTACGCCACCGTCGAAGTCAGCATCCCACAGGAATCTGATTTGGTTCCGCTGGTGGGCAGTTTGTCGGATCTCATGCGCCGCTCGGTGATCCTAAACTCCCCGTCGATCGCCAATATCTTCCGCATTGCGCTTACCTCGCAGAATCCGGAGGTGCTCGCAGAGATGAAGAAGTACATTAACCCCGGGAGTTGCGTCCCATACAGTGCACTGGAGGAGATCCGCACGAGACAGGGGTGGGGATTCTGGAAAGCCTATTTCTCCTTGTACCCACCGGTGGAAGTGCTGCCGGGGCTGCTGAAGACGATCCAGCGAGCGGCTTGATGTGTACTCAAACAGCTTGATGTGTACTCAACAGCTTGATGAAGCCGAAAGCTCAATCGCTCAATTACACTGAACTAATTTCTTTTTGATAAATAGAACCCTATAAAATTTAGGTGTTTGAGAGAAATAGTTCTCCTCCCTGAGGCTGGTGGCCATCGGACATATAATACAACGGACTCTACTCCGACTTCAACATTTCTGAAGTACCATTCCCTTCATACTTATTAATGTCTTGTTGACCCGCACAGACCCCAACCGCCTTCTGGCCACGTTCAAGCCACGCACCGGGAGATTAGTAGTTGGGTGGGTGACCACTAGCGAATCCTTCTGTTGTATGTTTTTTTTGTCGCTGCTGATTCGCTTCAGTAGAGGTATACCTTGAAATGTAGCAAACGAGGATGGTTCGTCACACTGAGTTGGGTGAAATCGCCAATCCCCTAGCCAGACATCAGAAACGACAGATAAGGTGTTTCCCACTCTTTTACAAGTACCCACTATTGCTGGATTCATTGTAATGTACCAGAAATATCTGTCGTACTAGCTGAGCAGGATAACGATCATGTGCTGTCAAATACCTTGACAACAACTAATACTAATTTATTCAGAGCAGTAACTATTTAGATCTCTGAGATATGGGAACCTCACATAGTACCTGATCGAAGCCGAAGATGAAATGCTGATAAACTAACTGTAGTGATGTAGGGTATATCATTCGCAAGTTCCACACAAACCCTAAACAAAAGGGTGATGAACCATGACAGGCATGATGAGCTTTCTCAATGTATACCTTACACTACAATATATAGCAGAAATTACAATATACTGTAAATCAGGGGAACCCATTATTGGATATCCCCTCTGAGAATGTTTTTCACGGTCACAGACATGATACAATATAACAACATGATGTTCGTGACTTCCCAGCTTATATACAATCTGAATCAAGACCTCTCCCAAGCCCGAATCGCACATTTACAGCGCCGCCTTCGCCAAGTTGTTCATAAAGGTAGCATCCTTGAACGGCACCGTCGCCTTGCCAAAGTCCGCGCTCTCCAATCCCTGCCGAGCCGCCACGGGCAACGAATCCCACGCGACGAGGGCCACATCCCGGCCCAGGGTCTCGGTGAACTGCAACTCATGGTTGGTGGGGAAGTTGGTGAAGTACTCAACCTTGGGACGGCCTCCCTGCTGCGGGGGAGTGTGGGTTTTCTTGTATTTTCCATGGCCGGAAGCGGCGCCTCCGAGCAGGGTCGGGTTGGCGTTGCTGGGGTTGTTGACCCAGATCACCACGTTCTCCCAGTCGTGGCGGTGGGCGCCCGTCGAGACACCGCTGGACGGCATGTCCTTGGGCATGTACCAGGCGTACATGATGCCGTAGCGGCCGTTGTACCAGCCTCCACGCACGTAGGTCTGCCCGCGGGATTGGTCGCGGCAACCGCCGGTAGCGCTGCCGGTGTCTTGCAGGCCTCCGCTGTATTTCTATTAAGTGGGATTGTTCGGTGATGTGACCAGGGGAAATGGAAGGAAAAGCTGACCTGGTGTCGCCGTTGGCAGCGACAGCTGGGTAGGACTGGCAGCCGTGCGCGATGTGCAGGTAGGGCTGGAATTTCTTGAAGGTGTTGCCGATGGCGTCGTTGGGGACGGTCTCGGGGAAGGGAGCGATGCTGTCGTGAGGGACGACGGCGCGCTTTTCCACCGGGGAGGCCTGCGTTGCCGCAAGGGTGGTGAGGATAGCGAGCAGGGTCTTGGGAAGCATTGTGCTAGGAGTAGAGTAGAGTTTTGATTGAAGGTTGTGCTGTGTTGTACTGGCAGTTTGTGGGATAGAGAGAGCTATGCAAGCCGGACTTGAGTAGCCTTATATACCTCTGCCATTGAAGTCGCATCTTCGCCATGGATACCCTCAACCAACGAAATGCATCAGCTAATCACTCCATCAATCCAGCCAAGGTCGTTTACTCCGCAAAATGACAAAGTTGATACTATTGCAGCAGTGTAACCCTCATGCGGTACATAGATCGAATGATTGCCAAGATAGCACAGCCAACAGGCCCGCAGGGTCCCTGAAACGATCGAACTGCCCTGAGTGGAGGAGTTCCAATCCCCAATCTGTTAAGGTTCAACGGGTCCGCTGGGGACCCTGAAGTGTTGTGTGCATGCGATTGGATCGGTTTCGCAGCTCCACCTGCCAAGCATTCCTTCGGTAGCCGGAAATTCATCGTCGCAATCCTGGGATCGACATTCTCTCCTTACTTATAGTTCGGACCAAGACAGACATTGAGCCCTTGGCTCCATGCACCAGGGGTAACCTGACCCTCGTGGCTTCTGCAGAACCTGATCAGGCTCCTCTTTTCAGTGCCCACCATGGGTGCCTGAACCTGCTTGATCACAGGAGGGTGGATCACCCTGGGATGCCAGACTCGGCAATCGATGAAGGTTTGAAACCCTAGAGGAACCAAATTTCGTGCCAACCCCATCTTTGGTGGAGATGGATCACAGGCACCAAAAATATTCATATTCGAACCTCACACAAATCAGCCTCGATCGAATTGAACGTTTGCTTCGCGACGTCACTACTGCCTATCTAGCCACAGTGCATACTAGTCCTGTAATACTTCTGACAGCCTGTTAAGTTCATATTACTAGTGATCCAGAATTAAGATACTCTCTCCTGTACCCACAATTTGTGTAAACCTTCTGGCATGCATATATATATCTCTTTGGCTACAGAATAAAAACATAAGGTACTTTTGTCACTTCTACAATTACCTTACCCACTCAAACCGAGGCTGTGTCTCAACTACCCTTATTTCCGGGTAATACGTTCAGTTATACTGCATGCGAACTAAGCAAACACTTTATAGCAGCAGTTACGAGGGTCTGCGTCACCAGGCACCAGCTTACCAGGACTTCCTTCTGCGAAGCCTAATAATATTCGCAAGTAGAGTAGACCTTGATTTCCTTGCATTCTCTGCTTATGTACCTTGGTATAAATGCTGCCATCATTATGGTAGGGATGCTGGCATGTCCTATCGGCGTAAGAAGCAGGGTAGGAGTAAATAAGACTTGCACCAGACAGGAAGGCAGTGTACTTAGATTAGAGGCATGATCACTTCACTACATACACTAAGATTGACTAATCACCTCTCCTGAGGAGTGAATGAGGACTTCATCTGTCTACATATAATCAAACATAGTGGTATCCTGCTTCAAGCGATTTATAAGTTCATTTATTCTCCAACTCCTCAAGCCATGTCCACCAGTTCTGAATTTCGCAGTTTGTGGAATGCTTCTTCCATGCTCAAGCATGGAGTCAGCTACCACCTGCGCAGCCCTGTTACTGCCATGAACTTTGACTTCACACCTCTTTGCGAAGACCATTCTCTGTCCTTATTTACTACCTTCCGCACTTTTCTCAGAATTACTATCACATCGCGTAGGATGTCTGTGCCGTCAAGCATATGAGGAGCATCTTACCGCGGCTTTTTGCATGAGAGCAAGTCAATATCCTTGGCACATTAGCTGCAATTCAATTAACATTGTTGCTTCTCGACATCTTGAGCCCTTTGACACGCACTAGCATTACTATTCCACAGTCGATGATAGCATTCATTGCCAGTGAGACCTCTGCCTGCTCTCTCAGCTCGAGAAGCAGCTTGATGACTTCTGAGTTCTCGGGTCTGACGGGTGCAGTGGTTCGAGCCCTAATAAGTCGCATAGTATCGTACCATGGCCGGTTACCCTAGTTTCAAATCTCTTCGCATATGAGAAAGCCCTTATCACGATGCCACACTCTGACTAGCAGTAGGGGATATTACTACCAGGGCGAAGTAGCCTAGCTGCTTTGAAAACAAACTGCGTCTCTAGCATTTGATGGTGAGAGGTATACCGCATTCGACGCTGTCTTTGACAGCACCGACCGGCCCAAGCGCGTCATTCGTCTCCGATTTAGTGCTGACGAGTGCCGACTACTAGTGCTGACATCCCCATTTGCATTGGTCAAGTCTTCACAGGCTAGCCGAGCCTTCCACTAAGAAGCAAAATCGCTACATGATGGCCCACATCAGCACCAACGATTTCAATGCAAGGCTATCGACTTCAGCCAAGTGTCATCGGTAGACGGTAGTTGGTTCGGTCGATTTCAGCGTCACTTGATAAAACGAGTTCCATGACGACTCAAAAAACGACGGCCAAAGTCCTATGACACACTCAGCCCAAGAGAGAAACAATACTTCCATTTCTAGTATGCTCATCAGGATACGGAGACATTCGTGGTTTCTGATGTAACAAAGCTCCCCAGATTCCTGTCCTTGTCAGGTGTGAATAGATGCAAGCCTCGCTGGGTGAGGCAGAACTTTGTCTATGCTCCCGTAGTCTTAGTGCTGCATATTTATTCGTCTTCCTGTACTGCCGTCCGTGCCCGACATCTCAATCAATCCCGAATACTAGAGGATCTACCTGCCAATAGAAGACAGAGGGCCTCAGATTCATGATTGGAAAGCTACGAGTCATCTTTTACTTAATGCTTTAGTGTATGTATGGCCTGACTCAGCGAACAGCCAACTAACCGACCGGCAAGTCAAAGCCAGACAGCCCAACTGTCAATCCAGGCCAGGTTCGGAAGTTATAAGTAGGGGATTCTCACCCACCCTCCGCGTTCCTTGCATCTGAGGCGTTCCTATCTTGATACAGTCTTTTGCCCCCTCCCACCAGTTGTGCGCACATTACAGTACGGTTTTATTTCCGCAATCACCCCCGTGAGACTAACAGCCCTAATGCTAGACACCAGGACAACCACCATGACGGCCTCTCCTAATCCAATTCCTGCCTATCTCTTCGGCGTTCTGAGTCTCGCTCTCGGCATCAACGCGATAATTCGTCCAGCAGCAGAATACCCGCGCTTTGGACTGCCATTCGAAACAGCACAATCGGATGCGTCTCACAGCGATGCCTCCGTCTCCCCGCTTATGTATCTGAAGGGCACCCGGGAGCTGAGCTATGGTCTGCTGGTTATAGTACTACAATATCAAGGCCAGCATAGCGCGATCACAACACTTGCCGTAGTTATGGCTTCGGTGGCGCTGGCAGACGGATTTGTGGTCTGGTTTTGCGGGGGACGCGAGCGGAGACAGAAGGCTTGCGGACATTGGGGCACATTTGTTGGGTTAGGCGCGTGGGCTTGGTATCGAGGTTCAGCGTAATGACTGATGTGGAGGTATGGTTTAGAAGAAGGCGTGTCCGAGAAGATGGTGCTGTTCAGTTGACTAGGCTCGTCTACAAGCTGTCACGGCAGAGGAGTTGGCTGGGATCATCGTCGATGAGTTTTTTTTTTGGCTGTGCCCCCAATCATAAAAAAGCCTGTTTTGCATTGATAAGACAGCAACGCCGGGCTGGGTGCATTTTACTCGAATGAAGCGAACGAGGGATTTCTGGCTCGCCCCTTCTACATAACAAGCAAATAGAGCGACGTGAAGGGAACTTGTTAGGTTGATTCATTCAGGGTGCCTTGAATACAGATATCTGAGTCAATTTAGAAAAGAAGAAAACGGGAAAATGTAGCCCACCAGGCTCTGAGATCACTGGGATAAGTTCGACTAGGACAGGAGTCGTCATTCCAACCTCTTCCAGCTTTGGTTGCGCGCAAACTGAGAACGAAAGGGAGAGACAATTGTGGAAAATATTGAGAGAAAATCATAAAGAGACTTCGATGATCGTCTCAGACAAACAGAGTCGCCGGAAGGGAAGCAATCGACGTTGTGAAATTCAGGCGTCCCGAATGCCAGAGACCCTAAGCTTCGAAGTCAAATGAAGAACCTGAGCTCTTTTCAGAGTAAGACAGCCGAAAGCGTTTACAGGTGGAGATCCTGACAGCGAAGAGCCACTAGTACCAATTGCATATATGTCTCTTTATTGAATCGTGCACAGTCACCATTATCAACCATTATCGGAAATTGTCGGTGTGCTTGCTCCACATGCTCAGGCAAGCCCAGGCAGACAGCATCATTAGACAATAGCCACCGCACGAATCTTGGAGCTCTACGGTCGGTCGACGCGGAAAAGAAAACGAGACTCGGGACAAGATCTGTTGATGGCATACCGCAACACGCTGGCTCGGCTGAGGGAGACTTTGCACAGATAGTCAAGTTTACAAGGGAAGTCTCCACGCCGAGCCCTTCATTGACACTACTTGCTACGGGGTGAGTGATTTCGATTCAGGAACAATGACAGCCGCGTGTGACAAAAGGTCCACAGGCTCCAACGAGGTTTATTCTCGGGTCTGATGACTCCTTTCGTCTGAAACTCCACTCAATCAAGCAAATGGAAAAACACACCGCAAAACAAATACTGGCAAACTCAAACAGAGACCCGGGCCTTTGCTTCAGACCAAGCTTGAGCGAGACAGCTGTCTAGCTAAAATCAAAAGGAACACCGGCCAAGTATCACAGCTACCACCATGCAGTGGGTCCCCAAGCCCTCTCTCTGTTCCTAACATTGCCCTTGTACGTAGGAGACCACGCGAGCCAGAGACGATTTCCCACTTCCAAGCTCACCCTTGCCTTCCAAGTTTGATTCAACCGTTGATCGTACTTCTTCCACAATTTCGGCAGAAACTCCACATCGTGCGCACAATACCGAATGATGTCGGCTGAGAGCGGCCGAGCGTTGAAGACCTCGTACGAGCCCCCATGCTCCGGGGCAAAAAGCTTCAATCCTTTCTCCTTGACCGCTTTGCAGCTCGCTCGCTCCTCGATTGTTAGAGGAAGATCAGTGTCGATACACTTCGCCAAGCCCTTCAGCCATTTCTTCCAACCGGGGCGCGAGGCAAGCTCCATCAATTGAACGTCATGAACGCCTCGGAGCTCAATGTGGTAGAGATTGCAGAGCGCATCCGAGTCATTGCGGACATCGAAAAAGACCTTGGGGATATCGGGCGACTCGAGCACGGATTGAAGGCTTATCCCAGCTCTCGTTTTCCGGGAAAATGCCTGGCCTCTGAGGGTATAGACGTCGACGAGATATGTCTTGTTCGTGGGCAGAACGAAGATCTGCAGAATGGAGATAGTCCCGTATCGGCAGAGGTCAACGCCCTCGAGGTCGACATATAAGGATGGGGGATTCGACGGCAAGTTCGTCAGAGTTCCCACCATCTTAACTAGCTTCTTGCAGGTATCAATTAAGACTGGCGAAGATTTTTCTTTCAGGGTAACGTTCCGCAAGGATGCAGTCAATGCTGCCAGGTCATTCGCATTGGCTCCGGTGCTGGATTTGCGCGGTGGGTTAAATGTAACCGGTCCCTTCGCGCTTTCTCCCTCATTTGTGCTTGCGGTGATTTCTGCTTGCGAGAGAATCGTTGTTAATTAGCTTCTGCTAGTATATAGATGCGGGGCGACTCACTTGTGGTAGACATCTTGACTTGGAGAGCGTACAGAAAGAACAAAAAATAATGTCAAGTATGGTCTTGTCCTGCTATGCAGAATGGTTTAGAGGCAGGGAATAGTATTTTTGTCTAGCAAAGATCATTTGAGTCATACGGAACACAGTACCGCTCGAGACAGCCTGTTTGATATCATTTCGTAAGTTCCAGCGCCGCTGAATCGCATGCATTGCCTCATACTGATGATTTGAAGCGGAGGATGTCTGTACTTCAATCGTCATCATTCTCCCATTACCCGGGATTTCTCAATCCGATTGACGCATTTCTATCACGCAGCCACTTTGTTTCACGCAAAAACCAAAATGCTCAGGAGGACGATACATGCATATTTATCGCCTTTGCAAAAGTCCGATGATTGCAGCCCAGATTCCGTATCCGGTCAAGCTCCGTACCTGCGTGCACTCCGACAAGCACTCTCTAGGGCTTGTCGGAGCACGTGGCGCGTCTGCGTCTGCGGCAAATAGGAATCAAGCATACAATCAAGGAGGAAGCGAAGGACTTCAACTAGCACATCATCGTAGAACGAAAAAGAAGATTTGTATTATACCCATCCCGTAGCGACACACCGTCATCTAGTTCCGGGAAATGCCACTCGAAAAGAAGAGGATGTTGACACCTTCGGGTTACGGCATTGCCCCGTCGTTATATGCGGTCAATGCTGATTATCATACGATACTTACTCCTCACAGGAGGCAATGGCACAAACAAGAAGCGCATTATGGGCTGGGGGAAAGGGGAGCCCGGCAGAGGGCAGTAGTGCATGCTGTGGAACACGCGTGTGCTAGCGCAGACTGCGCCGATGACTTCGCCGCACCGACTGATGGATCTACTATTTGCCTGGAATCATCGTCCTCATCCAGAAGAATAGCTCGAACAGGAAGTGGGCTCCAGATGTAGCCGGATAGTATGCCCATTGTGCTTCTGCGCCATCTAGAAGAAACATTACGAGCGTGTGAGGCCGCTTTATGCCTGCGGCCTATGGGTAAAATAATTGACATAGATTTCAGGGCTGGAGGACTGGAGTCAACGATAACACATGAACCTCGCGATTAACATCGGAGTCAGCTTGCGAGTGGAAGACAGGTTCCATCTTCAGATCAGACTTCTCCATCAGACATTGTGACAACGCTTGGTCACAGGTCAGAGACACCGGCAAAACATCACCTTGACTCATGAAGAGACACAGCGCATAGAGCAGACCAGAAATGGTCCTCAGCAAACATTACCCCCTACTCCTCCCGCCCATCCCAGCTAAGCCCTGGTGTGATCGGTGACCTCCACCTCAAAATCATAAGCATACCAGCGATCTCCCTCCCACTTCATCAACTTCCCGAATTTGTTATACTCATGGTGGCTGCGCTCCGGCTGGGTCTGCTCGCTGGAGAATTTGCCATTGAACCGGTAGTCCATGCCATGGTTGTTCAGCAGAGTGGATCGATGGCCGACTTTTACGGCGGCCGCGTCCGGGTTGGCGCACAGCTCGTTATACAGGCGATTCGTTGCGTTCTCATATCCAATAAGATCAACCTCCGACCAGTCCTTGGCATGTTTGCCCTCCCAGTGGGCGTGGACATTGGTTTTGTAGTGTTCAATACGGGAGGTCGCCATGATCAGTAGGAGTGGGACGCTTCAGAGGTCTTCCTTCTGCTTGTAGCTATATCAGGGAATTGCGGGTATGTTCCTGAAGGGTAGTGCACTTGTTTGTCCTGGCACAGAGCCGTTTGTATCATTAGACGACCGGGGGAGCAGTTGGTTTTATCGTCCCATGACATCAGGAGGGAGTGGCAAATGGCTGGGTCAGATGATCTGCTGTAAGAGGGGAAGCCGTGACATCTCAGATCTTATATTGGATGTGGTGAATATGAATGGGTACCAACATCTCACATCGAGGCCAATATCAACCGGTACTCGCACAACGATGGGGGACAGAACGGCAGCTGCCGTCATTACTTCCATTCAAGCCAATCAGGTTGTGAATAAGCTCGTAAAGAACCTAAAATCCACAGATCTAGAGTGGTCTGCCAGACACCTGAAGAATACCTGTAAATGGTCTTTCTTTGTCAAACACGAGTCTGCGCTGATTTCGCTTATTCAGGACCCACGTTATCTAGCTATGCTATTACGTATATTGTTGCCGTGCCAGTCCGGCTCGAAGCAGGCCGGCATTTTGACCTTCCAACTGCGCACATACTAGCATTCAGGATCGCTCTAATAGATGTAGATAAATAATGTCGCTGTTTATACACTACATTTGAGTTCTACCCCTTGCAGCGGAACAGAGGTTCGACCCCAGGTGACATGCGGATATCATCCATGCCTGGGGGATTGTAGTGAGATTGCCCTCCTTATAATACCTCACATTGCCTGTATCCTCATGAGTAGACATCTTCATGTCATGCTACAATCATAAACAGTATTGACGGTAGTAAGAGTCTATCAGAAGGATAAAAGCGCACCTCTCTTAAAGAAGGACCCGCTCCGCACATTGAGCTTGTCTCTACTCCGTATACAGTAGGTCTTTTTCCTATTTGTTTTGATTTGAACGTTCTCCCAAATCCTCTCTCCAATCATCGTCGCCGTCGCTCCACTTCTTTCATGCCCAACACGCGAAGCGGCAGGTAGCCCTCGGATTGAGAGACTCTGTATATCTGATATTGTCGGACAAGTCCGTCGCCATCTTGACCGGCTACCAGGAAGTCTTTATAGAAATTGACCCTGTAAAACTGGCGGGCTGTCGACAGCTGTTGGGTGATACCTAATCAGTTCTAAACCTCAAGGCCATAGTTGGACGATTAACAGTGATGTGCAGTATTATTGACTCGCGAGGATGGTGCGCTTTTCACCAGGAATTGTCGGTGGGAAGAATCTTACGGCCGCCGCCAGAATACGAGCCACAAGCGACCGTCATCTTCGACTCTTGCCGCTTGCCTTGGCTTTGGTCCACGAGCTCGATATTTGAAAGTGCAAAGTTCACCACCGAGTTAGGGATCTCTTCCATAGACATCTACTGAGTCTGCCAGAAAATTCTGCCTTGCGGTTGCGTGTCTAAAGGACAATAAGTCGAGGAGGTATTTCCGATCTCTTGGTACAGCAGGTGCCAGCCCCGTTTGAGAGCCAATTTCATGTGAATGATCTCGTGGTACGCCCTGTTCTCGAAAATCAGCTGCTCGAAGTAAAGAAGAGCCCGCTAGGCCCTGAACGCCCAGTGCCAATCTACACGCGTTGATCCACCAATGGTTGGATATGACTTCTTGCTGGTCAGGCATTGCAGAACTTTACGGCACGACAGAGGTGAAGCGAAGCGTTGCTGAACGAGGGTCTCAGCTCGAATTATTAGTTATGCTGCTGGCCCAGCTCCACTTGGATCATCAAGGCATGTGAGAGTGGATCATCCCGTGTGGTTATAAGTGATGGGCTCGGGGTGGTTCCTTATAGCTTATCGACTTTCCGGAGAATATTTTTAGTGGGTATCACTTATCGCTTAACTCAGCTCGTGATGGACAGTACAGTTAATCCGATGTGGCTCGGTAATGATCGGGCCGATGGAGGATTAAATTTGCCCAATCGGCAATTGTGCCCTCCGCCTTGAGGCATCAAGGCATCGACACGCCTTTGCCTCGGTACTTACTGCATTGGGAAGGGCCGACAGCCGTCTCGACCGAATGCTCAACCAACTTGGTGGCCTTTTATAACGCCTTCCCCACTCCCCCCTCTCTGTCCCCCAGATTTCTTCTCACAATATCAGCTCACGATCTCACAATTCCCCAGAGTCTCCTAAGTTTGCAATGCCGTCTCCACCTCCCGATTGGGTCCAGGCTCTTAAGCCGGCCGATCCGCAGGGCTCCTCCTTGCTGCAAGAGGAGCGTGCTCAGTCCAATGTCGCAGTGGACAAGTTGGGCGAGTTGCTGCACACAAAACAAGCTCTCGAACGACAAGACAAAATTCTCTCGATCCTCAAGTCGGAAAAGGTCTTCGACAAGTCCGACAACCACACACTAGGCCGGACCGAGCGCATCCAGCGCTCCCTGGCCAAGGCCAAGCGGCTGCATCAGCTGGCTGAGCAACACCGCTGGTCCGACGCCGAACTCCTCACTGCCAATGATTTGATGTCAGAGCCTACACCGTATGGCTTGCATGCGACCATGTTCCTGGTATGTTGAGAAGGCTTTCCCCCGCTTCCAGGTCGGTGCGAATGCTAATGGGTGGTCTTTCACTTAGGTTACCTTGCGGGAACAAGGCACCCCGGAGCAACACAAGCTCTTCTACGAACCGGCCCGAAACTACAAGATTCTCGGATGCTACGCGCAAACGGAATTGGGTCACGGATCGAATGTCCGCGGGCTTGAGACCACCGCCACCTGGAACCCGGAGGACAAGACGTTTACCATTCACTCGCCCACCTTGACGGCCTCAAAGTGGTGGATCGGCTCGCTGGGACGCACTGCCAATCACGCCGTCGTGATGGCGCAGCTGTACATCAAGGGCAAGAACTACGGTCCTCACCCATTCGTTGTGCAGATTCGCGACATGGAGACGCACCAGCCGCTAGAGAACGTCTACGTGGGCGATATCGGACCGAAATTTGGATACAAGTAAGTGAGGAGTGGGAGGGTATGTGGTAGATGATACTGACTGTGAGCAGCACAATGGACAACGGATTTCTTCTGTTCAACAAGGTCAAAATCCCTCATGTGAACATGCTGGCCCGCTTCTGTCGCGTCGACCAGACAACCAGCGAATACCAGCGCCCGGCTTCTCCTTCCCTGGTTTACGGTACCATGACCTGGGTCCGGTCGAACATTGTCCTCCAGGCGGGCGGAGTCCTTGCCCGGGGTGTGACCATCGCCACCCGGTATTGTGCCGTGCGGAGACAGTTCCAAGATCGCGACGCGAAGAGCCACGAGGGAGAGAACCAGGTGCTGAACTACAAGATGGTGCAGATCCGTCTTCTGCCCTTGCTTGCGTCCATGTATGCCCTGCACTTCACCGGTCGGGGCATGCAGCGACTCTACGAGCAGAACCAGACCCGCATGAAGGCTGCCTCGGAGCCGGGCCAGGACAAGCGCGGGGCCGGACCCGAGCAGCTGCGGGCGGGAGCCGATCTGTTGGCTGATCTCCATGCTACCTCGTGCGGCCTCAAGGCCCTGGCCAGTACGACGGCTGGAGAAGGTCTGGAGGTGTGCCGTCGTGCCTGTGGTGGTCACGGCTACAGCAGCTTCAGCGGCATTGGGCCCTGGTACTCGGATTATCTGCCTACGCTCACGTGGGAAGGCGACAATTACATGCTGACGCAGCAAGTAGCCAGATACGTAAGTGGTACTTCCTTTCAATATGCATGCCAAGACACTCGTGCTAACTCATGCAGCTTCTGAAATCCGCCCGCGCTGTGCTTGCCGGCAAGGGAACTAGCAACGACACCTCGCAGATCCTGCAAACCTACCTCTCGCGTCGCGACAAGGGAGCCTCGTTTGACATTCTCGGCAATGATGCGGACATTGTGGATGCCTTTGCATGGCGTACGGCCCACATGACCTTCGAGGCCCTCAAGCACCGTGACGTGGAGAAGCGCTCGTGGAACAGCCTCCTGGTTGATTTCTGGCGCCTGTCGACGGCGCACTCACAGTACCTGGCGGTCAAGAACTTCTACGAGGCTGTCAACTCGCAGGAGGTGACATCGGCGGTGGATGAGGCGACGACGGAGGTGCTGCAGAAGCTGTTCCGGTTGTATGCCCTGCACACCCTGGAGCGAGAAGCGTCGGAATTCTTCTCGTCGAGCGCGGTGACGGTGCGGCAGATCGGGCTGGCGCGTGAGAACGCGGTGATGAAGCTTCTGGACGAGATCCGGCCTCACGCGGTGCGGTTGGTGGATGCCTGGCAGATTCCGGACTGGCAGCTGGACAGCAGTCTGGGCAAGTATGACGGCGACGTTTATCCTGATTTGTTCCGCCGGGCCAGCCAGAACCCGGTCAACGATCTGGTCTTCGATCCTTACCCCTGGAATGCGGCGGTGCTCAAGAACAGCCCCCCGAAGAGCAAGCTATAGTCTTTGCTATAGATCTAGATGTCTAGACTAGAGGATAGAACGTGTAGAACGGGATAGAATCGGGTAGAGACTAATCAGTATAATTCTTTCATCATACATACACTCCTCATTGATTTGAATCACCATCAATAGTTATCATCCAGACTGCATCGGAAGTACATATGTAAGGGAGAGATCGGCCGGCCTCGGGTAAAAGGAGAATGCGGGGGAGGACAGCACATGCAAGGGGGAGGGAGTGACTTGGCTTGCGTTGTCTCATCTCTTCGCTTCTTCTTCTCTCGACTTCACCTCTCCTTTGCCATCCATCATCGTTCCCATTCCAAACAAGCATTCTCAGCATCTCACAATGACTGCCCATTCCTTCCCCCGGAAGCTTTGGGAGCATTCCCACCCCGAGTCCACCAGCATGGGCCGCTTCCACCGAGCCTGGGAGCAAGAACTGGGCCGGTCAATGCCAGTGGGTTTGCTTACACAGGTCGAAACACCTGATCAGCTAATGCTCGCTTCCAGACCTTTCACGACCTCTACCATCATTCCATCACCCATCGCGCCGCATTCTGGGACTTCTGTTGGCGATACTTCAACATCCTGCACCAAGGCACCTACACCTCTGTCGTCGACGAGTCCGCCCGGATCGATACCATTCCGCATTGGTTCCAAGGCATCCAACTCAATTATGCCGAGAACATCCTCTTCTCCGGTTATGGGTCGGTCGCCAGCACCGTCGGCAAGGAAGACGACAAGGTCGCCGTCACCGAGGTGCGCGAGGGAGGCCACAAGGAGGCCAGCCATATCACCTGGGGGAAGCTACGCCGACGCACCGGTCGTCTAGTGCAGGCGATGAAGGCGCACGGGGTGAGGAAAGGCGACCGCATCGCCGCCTGCGCCAGCAACAGTCTCGACACGCTGCTCGTCTTCCTGGCGACCACCGCGCTGGGCGGGATCTTCTCCTCCAGCTCCACCGACATGGGCGTCAAGGGGATCCTCGATCGACTGCGACAGATCAAGCCCCGCTGGTTGTTCATGGACGACCAGGCGTTCTACAACGGCAAGGCCCTTGACCTCCGACCGAAGATGCGGGAGATCGTGGAGGGCATGCAAGGGATCCCCGAGTTCAGCGGCATAGTCGCGCAGCCCCGATTCGTCTCGCACCCAGCCGATGTCAGTTCTCTGGCGCGAACGCTCCCCCTCGCCGTGTGGGAGGGGCTTGCGATCGGGGACACTCTCGTCTTCGAGCAAGTCGAGTTCCGAGATCCCTTCCTCATTGTCTACTCGTCCGGCACCACGGGCCAGCCGAAATGCATCATGCACTCGGTCGGAGGCGTGCTGTTGAATGCGTACAAAGAGCTCGTCCTGCACCACGAGATGGATGCAGAGAGCGTGGGCCTGCAGTATACCACCACCGGCTGGATTATGTATATCTCCATGATCAACACTTTGCTTTTCGGGGGTCGGACCATTCTCTACGACGGGAGCCCTTTCCTGCCGGAGGTAGCGACGCTGATCCGACTGGTGGAACAGGAGCGGTAGATCCCCCTCCTCAGCCAGCACTTGCTGCATGGAATAGTACAACTAACCTTTTGCCAAAGGGTAACCCATCTCGGAATCTCCCCCCGATACCTGCTGGAACTGCAGCGCGCGCAAGTCCGACCCCGCGACATTGCCGACATATCCTCGCTGAAGCTCGTAACCAGCACCGGGATGGTCCTGCCGGAAGCCCTGTTTGAATGGTTCTACGACTCCGGCTTTCCCCGTCCTGTTCGACTCAACAACATCTCCGGCGGCACCGACATCGCGGGATGCTTTGGGGTGTCGAATCCCCTGCTCCCTGTCTACGCCGGGGGGTGTGCTGGGATGAGTCTCGGCGTAGCGGTAGAGGTCTACGACTCGACCATCGAAGGAGAGAACGTGGCCGGCGTCCCGGTGCCGCTGGGCACAGCAGGCGATCTAGTGGCCACGAAAGCATTTCCCAACGTGCCTATTGGATTCTGGGGGCCAGACGGCGCCGAACGGTTCCATAACGCTTACTTCAACCGCTTCAAGGGTATAGGTTCCCCGCGCGCCCCCCTCACCCCAATCCCTTCAAAACCCAGAAAACCCTGCTGATAAGACCACTGTAGGTGTCTGGACGCACGGGGACTTTGTTTCCATCCACCCGGGGACACGACAACTGCTCTTCCACGGCCGCGCCGATGGGGTGCTTAACCCCTCCGGCGTGCGGTTTGGGTCAGCGGAGATCTACCAGGTGATCGAGGACGAGTTCGCCGCTGAAGTGGTCGACTCGATCTGTGTCGGCCAACGCCGGCCGTCCGATCCGGACGAGCGAGTCATCTTGTTCCTCCTCCTGAAGCCAGGGGTGGAGTGTACGCAGGACCTGGTCCAGCGGATCAAGGCCGCCATCCGGCAGAAGCTGAGTCCACGCCACGTGCCAGCGTTCATCTTTCCGACGCCTGAGATCCCGGTGCGTGTTACCTTTGGTTGTTCTTGTTGAAACTAAATACTGACTCCATTGGGTGTGTGATTTAGACAACGGTGAACGGGAAGAAGGTGGAGCTGCCTGTTAAACAGATTGTCTCCGGCAAGGTCATCAAGCCGTCCGGGACATTGCTGAATCCTCAAAGCCTGGATTATTATTATAGATTTGCAAAAGACGATGCGCTCGAGGGGGGGAAGAGGGGGAGCAAGCTGTAACTCAATGGCTTTGGCCTGCAGGTAGGTGTAGTAGATAGATGGATTCAGGTAGATACACACATATCTATCAAACCCCAACCCACCTGGTACAAGACATGCATCTCTTTCTACAGCATAAGCGCAGCTCCAAGCACCCCAACCGGTCCCGGAACAAAAGAAACCGAGATCCGACAACCGGCAGCCGCCCCAGTGAACAGCCCATGACCCGCATTAGAAGTCGAGCTCCAGCCCGTAGACGTCGACGAGGTAGCACCCACCGTCGTCACAAACGTCCCTGAAGCTGCATGCACGGACGCCGGGCGAGAAGCAGTCTGCATGGGGGATGCAGACTGCGCGGGGCTCTTACCCTTGCCCCGTCCCATGGCCGAGTAGTGACCAGCAGGGGTGTCGTCAGCCACAGAGGCCGGGTGTCTGTGCGCTGTCGGGCATGTCTGCGTGCCATCTGTGCAGGCTTCGGTCTTGTCTGCTGCGCTATCTACATGTGCGACGGCTGCGGAGGGGGGGAAGGGAACGGCCATTCCGCTGGCATGGATTGCATCGACACCTTCGGGGACTGCCGCGGGGGTGTACGTGCCGGAGGCGGAGATCACCAGTGTCTCAATGGTGAGATACGTGGGTTGCGCTGCAGCTTCACAGGCAGTCTGCGCCGAGTAACAGGCGGTGATATACTCAGTCGAATACTCCGTCTCAATGGAAGCCGTCACTGTCCCGACGCAAGGGTTGGCCGAATACTATGTCACGGCTTGATAGCCTGCCGCAGATCGACTTCACCAGAACCCCCTTCCCCAGGAACCAGTGGAGTGATTATAAGGCTAGGTAGTGAGTAATGAATTGCTAGCTTGAGCTAGAGGCATTTTGGTGGCTGAGTTCGAGGACAAAGTAGGGCAAATCAAGCTGACGAAGCCGGATTGCGGGCCTTGGCATTGGTATCATGGCAAATCTTTCGCGATCAGTGGAGATGGAGATAAACAAGGCAATTCCTATTGAACCGCATCTCAATGCTTAAACAACAACCTTCGACTCAGCACCATCATCAACCCCATCCGAAACTCCCCACCGCACATCCCGATACCCATTAGCAGCCAGATGATCCTTCCACTCCTGATCACCATTATCAAGCTCAGCACTCCGATCCTCGAGAACAAACCAAGCCAGCAAGGCGCCGACAACCGCGAACCCCGAGCCAATAAGAAAAACCGCCTGAGTGCCATGAAACTCATCGTCTCCCCAACTAGCCAGAATCGGCTTGAAGACCTGCGTCCCGATCGCCGCGCCGGCTTTGCTCCACGCAGCAGCGAGTCCGACCCCGTGACCGCGCAGCGCGGTGGGGAAACTCTCACTGGCAGTCAGGACAATGGTAGATCCGGGCCCGACCTCCCCCAGCGTGAGGAAGACACCGTAAAGGACAATGAACAGGGGCAGAGAGCTCTCGATGTATTTCAATGCGCCGCCGAGGACGAAGCCGAGGATGGCTTGGAGGAGGAAGCCGAGTGCCATGGTTCGTCGGCGACCGATTCTGTCCGACAAGTACCCACCGATGAAGGCTCCGGGGATGTAGAAGCAGTTGATCAGTGTTCCCCAGGCCATAGTCAAGGCCAGAGAAGAGGTTGGGTTCACGCGTCCGACGATCGTGGACGAAAAGAGGCCGAAGGGGTAGGAGATATAGTTGTACCTGCGGTGATCGTTCTCATGAGTATGTGTGTAGGTTCGCAGGAAACAGTAGGACTGGAGGGCTCCTCACAGAAACCACGATCCGCACACCCCAAGCAAGGGTCGCCAGTATCTGCGGAGAGCCAGCCGATAGGGAATCCGTTGCTCAACCATGGCGCTTTTCTTGTACGCCGAGCTAACGGCCATGCGATAGCGAAACCAGAAGATCGACAGCGGTGGAATGGCTCCCAGTGCCAACGAGATGCGCCAAACAGCGTTGTAGTGACGGACCTGCTGATGGAAACAGAGCAGCAAAAGCAACGGGACCAAGGCCCCAAATGCGAATCCCAAGGATGCTGATAAGTCGGCGATCATGGCAAAAATGAAGCCTCGCTTGCTCCGGACGGCGGATTCTTCATCCGTTGCTTCTGCTACACCGGCGCCTGCCACGGGGTATTCCCTGGTTCATTGAATTTGTGAGTCTTGCTTTTGCAGAAAGAAACTTGAGGATAAAAAAGTCAACACTCACCCTCCAGCACCCACCCCAGCAATTCCTCGAGCAATAATCAGCATCCACAGCATACCATCCTGACTCGTCCCACTAGCCCCAGCACTCAAAGCGATTCCCAGAACTAGAATAGCTGTTGTCAGAACAGCGCCCGTTTTGCGACCAAGTTTGTCTGAAACATAGCCAAAAGATAGCATCCCGATGATCATTCCCACCATGAAGGCATTGGACAACCGTGATGCCACAGCCGTAGTGAGGGCGTCGGGATAGATGACTTCCATGATGAGCTCCAGATTACCAATGATCGATGCATTGAAGCCATCCGAGCCTATCGCTAGGCCGGAGAAGATGATCATGAGAACGACAGATAGTCTCGACGATTTGGGCCGGGAAAAGCCCTCTTCAGATGCGGGAGCCGCATCGATGAACGCTTGCACATTGCTTTTCTTTTCATCCTTGCCTTGCTTGGTCTCAGGGCGACTGACCCCGGATACAGTCTGCGACGTGTCCATTGCTGTCAAGTGGTGTATCTGTATCCTGAGTGCCTGGACAGATGCAAGTGCAGCAATCTGTATTTATGCATCCAAATGTGCCGTGCCGTGCCTTGGCTGGGTCTAGATAAGAAGAGTGAGGAGACGTGCGTGAAGGTCGAAGATTCTGGCCAACCATCATGCTGGACGATAACACCGAGGCCATAGGACGGGATACTCCCCGCACCAGGTGCCTTGACCAAGAGTGGTGGTTCTATGAGAGGGGAAGTGAAGATAAGATAAGCTAAATGGCTAACTTGCATTCAAGGTCAACAGTAGATACCATGCCATATTCGTTGTCAACAGAGCAATGATGCCTTGCCTTAAATCGTCGTTAGGTGGTGCGCAAGATCCGGGTCCTGGTACGGATTCTATATCTCGTTTCATGTACCTCAACTCCCTGGGATCATGAATTCCCCATTGAGTTCTTCTTACGCCTTTATGCTACAATCTCCTGCGGCTGGAAGAAAGACGGAGCCTCCACTCATGTTGTCCATTGCCGTCCATGCATCGGAGCCAAGCTTGCACCAAAGAGCGTCAATCAGACCGGGGTGATGATGTATGTTTCCCCACTTCTCGTCTGGATCGCTTTCGTATACTTCTGCCCATTGACGGCAATAGTAGACCCGTTCATATAACGCAGCTGCAACTCCCCGCTCGCACGCGAGGTAAGATTCGCGCGCACCAGCTTCCCACCATCCCATTCGATGTTAACTAGGACATTACCCCGAGCTACTAACCCCTTCACCAATCCTTTGGGTATCGCGGAAGGCAATGCCGGTAGCAAATGGATGATTCCTGAATGGCTCTACAATAGCATTTCAGTCACACCACTAACAAACCTAAAATTCCCATCAATCTGGAATTGGTACGGACCATCCGGACGTTCGTTGGTGTTATCCAAGCTGTATAGCGTGGGGTACACCGCGAACCATTGTCTCAATTGCTCCCATACATTATCGCCGCGAAAGACCCGGGCGTATTGATTGATCAGCCAAGTCAGAGACCAGCCGGTGGGTCCAGACCCGTGGGCCACGCCTCAATCCAGGAGCACCTCTGTCGCAGCTCCAAGGGTGCTGTTCAGCAGTAGGCTGAATTGCCGACCAGGCATCAGAGCCCATAGGTGTGAAAGATCCGCTGACGCTATATTTGAACTCAGAGATCCCTTCCTTGGTGTCTAGCCAAGGAACATAGTTTGACATTTCTCCTTCGCTGTGGCCAAAGTCTGGCCAGGTTGATGTTGTCGAAGTAGCTATAAGCTCTCGGCGAGTTATTTGATGAAATCATCTTAGCCATCGTCCCGGTATTGCCTCCGGTGATATCGCCGTTGAGAAGTAGCCCTCGAACCACAGGCTCGGCTTCTATCGCATGCAGTGGTGTCCGATGTTGAAAAGGCCCCGTTCAGATGGAGTTCTCATTAATGCCCAGCACCTCTGCTCCGCCCCCATCAACTGCTGCCCCGACCCGGTCATTGCCAACGGGAATCTCTTCCTCGAAAATAGGCCATCGACCTGGTTGAGTGAACCACAAGTAGCTGCTGCCATTGAGAGAAGCCGCCACACCACAGCAGATAAGCGAAAGAAGAGACAGTAGTCAAGTAAACATGGCATATAATGTCAACTCAATATCGAAAGTGAGGTCGAATTGCTGCTTCCAACTTTGTCGCTCAGAACCATCACAGGACTATTAATGTATTTGCCCCAAGGCTACATACAACCTGTACCCTGTCTGATACGATTGCTGGACTGCGGTAGGTGGAGTAACATATCCCCGCACGACTCCTGGATGTTGGTTATTCTGAACTGGTTCGGGTAAGTTGCGTCCGGTAGGATCTGCAATGGCCTTCGCCCCTGATAAAATGATAGGTCATACTTGCCTGGAAGCCCGTGGTGCACTGGCTTGGCGGCGCGTACCTTCAGTCACCTCAGGCAGCCGGTGCCTCCTCATTCTACGATCAGTGCGAATGGAAGGTGCCCGTCAGGGCCTTTACCAATCAGCATCCGGAGTCAATGAGAACGTGCAGACATAAGCCTGCAAGACCCAACCTGTGGGTGGTTGTTCAGAACAGCATGAATGGGCCGATTTCGTTCTCATTCTCTCGAGCATACCTGATCCATTGTCCCACGCCCCAGTATTCCGGTCGAGCCCAAATGGCGCACAAGAACTGCAGTGCAGTGTGATTACACCAGGCACCAGTTGCAGCGATTAAGTCGACAAAAGCCCTCTGAATCATGGCTTGCCTGTGCTCATCTCCCCAGCACTCGGTTCCTGCAATGAACAGGGGAAAGAACAACACGTGCGAGAAAACATGTGTGGTATCTTTCGCCAGTGATTGGAGATCATGGAACAGAACGGGCAGGTATGTGTGGAGGACCCGTTCGGCGCCCCGGCGAAAAGCCAGGGCTTGTTCCACATAAATCAGACTAGCATAATAATGAACTTTGACCATAGCATTGAAGTGGCTCTGGGTCGCCTCGTCATGCTGGGCGGCAGAGGCAGCCGTCACACAGACCTGCCTGTAGGCTTGTTCCACTCTTTCTCGCCAGCCTGTCATTTCTTCCTCCTCCACCTCGTATCCCCTGCCGTACAGCTCGTAGTTCGAACGCTCCACGGCGGTGACTTCACTGATGAGGATTGTGAAAGCCCAGAGACGATCTTCGGCCTTTGACTGCAAGGGACACTTGGTTCTCGGCTGCTGCCGTGAGAATGACACCAGGTTCTTGAATATTTCGAAGTCTTCCACCTCCTTCACGACAAATCTTGACAAAACATCGTCGGACTGCTTGCCCCTGTTTCGGGCTTGATTCCATTCGATCATCGCACGGCACGCCTGCAAGTGAACGTTCCAATTTGTGGAGTCGGGGATAAGCATCTCCTCGTAGCATAGGGCGACCGCAGTGGCCAGGATGATCGTCAAGGCCGAACTCCCGTCACGGGTAGCTACCTTGACCTTCACACAGGGGTGATTGACTTCGCGACTGATCGCTTGATTCAAAGTTTGGAGAGTGCCATTCCTGAGAACAGGGTAGGCCCGGTGCGCCACAATTGCCTGTGCACTACCAGGAGTCGCTGTGACCGACAAATGCGCAGCGGCGAGACTGAGAAGCGACAGCCGCAGAGAGACGGAGCGACCGGTAAGTGGGAGAATGGCGATTCTCCATGGATTATTGACGCTATCCAGCCAAGTGAGACGGGGAACCACGACGGTGTGAAAGTAGCGGAGGAGCTTGTCGCAAAAGGCAGCCGACGAGTGATCCTGGACCAGACTATAATCACTTGTAGGAGACGGTGCTTGTCGCGAAATGGCTTGACCAGGGTTTGCGAGCCCGATGGCCTGACATCCTGTCTGCTGTTCTGCGGCCGAGTCTTCGGGGCGGGATGCGACCGTAGGCTCCGCGGACAACTCGACTAAGTCATTGGCGGTCTTTTGCCAAGTTGCGGTGGACTTTTCTTGCCCATGTATTTCCCGTGCCCTGGTATGTGTCCATTTCAGCTGAACGGCGTCGAAACCGGGACAAGAGAGGTTGCGCGAGGAGCATTTGTGGCAGTGGGGGAGGGTGCGGTCGCATCGAATGCGCCGCTTGATGCACCGGCGACAATCTGCGGCCTCGTGGTTCGTGTTAGGGAACGGATCGGGCGATCAAGCGAGCCAAAACACTGACCTTTGGTAGCGAGGGAGCGATCTGGGGGTAGGGAATTGATGCGAATATTCCGCATTTTGTTAAGAAGAGGGGAAGTGAGGAAGAGAAAGAGAAAGAGAAAGAGGAGTGAGCAGGCGATGAGAACAACAACCGCCCCCTCCCCTCCTTCCTAATGGAAACTAGTCTACCTTAGGGCCTGAGGCCACCCAGCACAAGTAACTATAACTACTTAGAATTTAATCCTGGTTGGCTTTGCTTCTCTTGCCAAAGTATCGCGACGTGTCTCCCAGAGGTAGATCGACGATTGACTCTTGCAGTAGCAGATGAAACACAATATACCATCCGATCAGTCCAGCAACAAAGCACGACGCCCCTCCGGTTTTCTTCAACGCTACCGAGGCAGCGTGATGTCCGTCCGCCTCAGCAAAGTAACTTGCAGCCACAGTCAAGAAACCCAGATCCACCAGAAAGAACACCGCAATATAAGCGAGATTGCTAGCGAGCGAGGCAATCAGGAAGGTAAACACGAATACGGTCCACAGAATCATGAAAAATCCCAGTGCGTTGTTATACTGCACCGTATCCCCCCCATATGCCTTCTCAATGCCAAAGGCGGGAGTGAGAATGGCACCATACCCTGCATAGAAAAGTCCTTCGATATGTGAGCACAGAAGCCTGGCCGGAATCATGGGCATCCCACTTACCAAAGGCACTAAACACCGTGTATGCGAAACCATTCCCAATCGAGAGCTCCCACTGAGCGGTCACCACCAGCCCAAAGGCCGCAATGAAGAAGAAGTTCGCAACGAATACATTGGTCGTCGTCACCCCACGCCATTCCATCAAACTCAGCGACAGTGTGGTCAGAGTTGTGCCAAATGCACCCAGAGCAAGTGCAGACTGGGGAATGGCGTTAGTGATGAGCATGAGGGTGATGGGGGTGACCTACTCCGGCGCCTAAAGACTTCACCGACCTGGTCGTCTCCAGGTGATGAGAGCCTTGGCGTTCTACGTCTAAAGACGATGCGGGCCCCTTGGTTTCATTCAAGACGTGATTGATTGAGTTGGTGGCGGACATACTGACTACTATTCGCAAGTATGTTCAGGAGTAAGTAGTTGATAAAGACTTGACTCTGGGTTGCGCCCAGGGCCAGATATATGTAGTCATTGTGTTCATGCAAATTTGCAGCGAAGATTGCATAAGTCGCACCTCATATTAACCTTCAATGGCGAAGGAGGACCAAAATATCGTGCTGTCGATCGAAGTTCATATACATGCTTCCTTGTATTCTATAGAGTAACCTCTCGGCCGACACGGATCGCATAATAAAGTCACGGATGAGGTGCTCGGCTGACTTTCGGGATGGATTAAGCTTACCCGCTTGCCCTGTCCCGGGAAACCACTCTTAAAGACACGACTCTTCACCGTGTCGCTCATGTTGTACCGATAGTACTAGTATCATCCGCTAACTCCAGAATGAGTGGGATTATGGAGGGGTGCCATGTAGCAAGGGGTTCCAGCGGTGTACCACAAAATATATGTGCAGTCGGCATAATCCCCGCAATGATCACAACTCATCACTGAAGGGCAAGGATCAGTAACCCACAAATATAAGATTCTCTCCAGGTGGGTAGGTGTGGGCGATTCCAGTAGAGTGATGCTGATATTCAAGCCAATAACTTACCCCGTGATTCACCCAGGCAAAAGTCAGGCAGACGGAGTCGATGGGATGAACGAACTAAGCCCCAGCCCAGCCAAGCTCAGCCCCAGTCAGAGAAAGGCTCAGAATAGATTGTGGTGGAGCCCGCAAGTCGAGGGGATTTGAGGGTTTGGCCAATCACGGGACCCCAGAGGATGCGGCGAGGCTCTTCGCATGGCGCTAAAAAACATTCTGAGTGCCAGTGGGCTGAAGTCAGACAAACCAGTGGAGGAAGGAATCCCCTTTCAAAAGTCGCTCCCATTGCTAACATTCATTCACTTTGGATCTGTTTCTGCCCCGCATACCTACCATGTGGTGAAAAGGTGTTGAGCTGGATGGCACCCTCAAGATGAGCCTTGGGGCGCTATGGGGAGGACAAAAGGGTCCGACAACCCACACCACCGATCTTGGGAATGTTCACCCCTGGACTCCCTGGGATACTACAGCCACGGTCGCGGGATGGACGTCTCGGATCCCCTTCAACCCATTTTCCAGAAACCAGGCTCGCAGCTTCACGCGGGCGCGACGTCCGCCGGGTCAAGAATGGATGCAAGCCGCGGGGGTCTGCGCTTACATTGCCATAGCGATAACGAGCATCAATGTCATCTTCATCCTCATTGCCGTGGGAATCGGTTATTCCAAACCACACACTGCTCGCAGCTTCTCTCGACTGCAACTCTACCATGGACATTGTAATCGGACGAGTCACTGGGCGACCGCCATCCATATTGTGATCAACCTCTTCTCCACTGCCCTTCTGGCGGCCAGCAGTCATGCGATGCAGTGCGTGGGGGCGCCCACCCGCGAAGACGTCGATTGGGAACATAAGCATCGCCGCTGGCTGGATATTGGCGTCGTGAGCTGGCGCAATTTCCGCATCATGAACCCTAAGCGGAAGATCCTGTGGTTGTTGCTTCTCCTCAGCTCCACTCCGATCCATATGCTGTACAACTCGGTGGTGTATGCGTCGATCGTAACCTACAATTATGCCATGATCCTGGTCCCCAGTGATCTGACCCCGACAGAGTCACTCGTCAATGCCAACCACACCGAGGCCTTTTACACAACGGTGGGGAGCACACCCGAGACGATTCTGACGGAGATCTTCAATGGGACCTTCACCAGGATGACCAATGAAGAGTGCCTCGACAATTATGACGTGCAGTACAACACCCAACTCAGCACCCTGATCTTTGTGGCCGACCGGCAGTTCTTTCACAATGAGAGCAGCATGAGCGCGATGATGGATTACTATGGGACGATCTACGACTACACCAACGACCAGGGGAGCGACCAGGCCGAGGCGGCGATTGCGAACAACAACTGGACGGCTCAGGGCCTCAGCTGGAAATACTTCTCTGCCCCATATATAAACGACACTCACTACGATGTCTCCGAGATTCCAATATCCCACTGCCTGGCCAAACGCGCAACCCAGCGGTGTGAGTTGCTTTTCAGTCCCTCGATCGCTCTCGCCGTGATTGTCAGCAACATTATCAAGGTAACCTGTATGTTTCTGGCGGCTCGCATAGACCGACCAGGCATTTTGCTGCGGGTGGGGGACGCCGTGGCCTCGTTTCTCAACCAGCCGGATATCACCACGCAGGGTCGCTGTCTCCTGTCCCGGAAAGATATGAAAAGAGGCCCCGACCCTTGGGAGAAATCACGCGGTCGGGGAGGTATCTTTCGACGAGGGATACGATTCCTGCGATTACGCAAGGGGACAGACATACCTTTGGAAGATCTGAACAACGAATCTGATCAAGAAACCACGCCGAAAGCTGCGTTTGAAAAGCTACCAAGCCCCAAACGCTGGTTCCAAGCTGCCAGTTGGACACGCTGGACGATGACCTTTCTGCTGTCAGTGCCCTTCATTCATTCACGAACGCCTTCACTGACCTCCTTGCCACCTTAGATTCTCCATATGCATTGCCGGTCCCAGTTGGTTCTATCGTGCACTCGTCCGCCTGGGTGAATGGTCTCTGGAAGACCAATGGTACCTGGGCATGGGCAGTCCCAATTACGAAACGAACTTCAGCTTCGGAACAGACAACATTCTCGTCCTGGTGCTACTGACCAATTGGCCCCAGCTAGTGTTGTCGATTCTGTACTTTGTCTGCAAAAACCTGCTCTCCTGCATGTTGGTCACGGCCGAGTACAACGATTACGCGATGCAGCGCAAGCCCCTTCGCGTGTCCTGGCCCCGGGGCAGCCAACGATCATCCTACTACCTCTCTTTGCCGGCACGGTACAGCGTGCCACTACTCGTGATGTCGGCGGTCCTGCATTGGCTCCTCACCGAAAGCCTGTACCCGGTGGACTGGAACGTGTACAGCGTGTTCGGGGAAGTCGACTACGATGACTCGCCCAATGGCTGCGGCTTTTCACCCCTGGCGATTCTGCTGACCCTGATCCTGCTCGGGGTGTCGCTATGCGCACTGCTGATCCTGGGTGCGCGGCAATTCAAGTCCTCCATGCCGTTGGCCGCGCATTGTAGTGCCGCCATAAGTGCTGCGTGCCATCCCCCGGTCGGAGATGAAGATGCAGCCTTCAAACCGGTGATGTGGGGTGAGGTCGTGCATTTTCATCATCAGACACATCCTGTTCCAGAAGGCCCAGCGATTGGCCATTGTACATTTACATCGCAAGCGGTTGTTACTCCTTCCTTGTCTCGTGTATATAAGTGACAAAATTTATCGACAATCTATCGAGATGAATAGAGCATCAGCCCTTTCACCCCCTCTGGTTACTCATTTACAAACCTCTCAAAGCTAGTCTGGTGTTTTGGAGAGATAACTTAACTCGAAGTACTAGAGTATGTATATTCAGCTAATGAGTAGCAACATATGGTTCCTGACAGAAATGGGGCTATCAGCTATTAATTCGGCCCAACAACCTGCTTCATGATCACACCAGCCTTGCGTAGCAACCGGACTTGATGGCGGTGCTTGAGAACGGCAAAAGCGACCCCAACTGGGCGTTCTTCTCCGGTCATTTCCGGGGATCGGCGAACGTCCTTGATCTGCTCGTAGAGATGCATGTAGATCTTCATGGAATCGTGCAGGTACTGGAACCAGGGCATGTCGAGGACGGATACCTCGCTGTTGAGATTATCTAACAACTGCGACAGGACCACTCCCACGCTTGGCCACCTTCTCATCGCACGCTGCCCGGCCGCGACTGATTGCGACACCGAAATGATACGATCGATGCGAGCTGGGTTCCCCCCTTCTTCATCAAGCATGCGAAAGATCTCAGTCATGATAGGAACATCACCGTGGGGAACCCAGGGGCGGCGTCGTTCTCGCTCCTGGCAACTGAATGTCAGCGACGGGGCGTACGATGAACGCTCGGTGGGAGGCTTACCCCCCATGAACATCGGGGTGTGAAGGCGAATGAGCTGCTCCAACTCCGGCCAGGTCCAACCCGTGGGTAGGGCATTCTCGCATGCCGCGGCGTTGTAGAGGTGGATCATCCCCAGTAAAGCGCACGAATCAGTGGCCAGATCCAGGAAGGTTCGATACAACTTCGTCCGATAGTACCAATAGATCTGCCCGCAACTATACGGATGGCAGGAAAAGAAGCCAAAGCGTCGTTGGGCGGGGAGACCCAGCCACATCCGCTTGATGTTGACATTGTCTTTCCAGACCACATTCCTGATCTCCATCAGCACATCCTCCAACTCACCGGGGGGCTTGCCCAGCTTCACCAGTGATTCAATCTGCTTCATCGCGGAGTCGGCCCACTTCTGGTACTGTGCAAACGCCTGTCCCACCTCCTTGCCCATCACCTGCCGAACTTCCACGTAAAGATAGGCGGCGAAAATCAGTTCCAAGTTGACTGAACCGGCGTCCAGCGCGCGTTTCCACAGAAACGACAATGAATCGACGACCCCATGGTTGTCGGTGGGGTGCATCCTGTCATAGAGGCTGCGTTCACGTATAAACTCCTCCAGAAGCAACGCCACCATCGTGCACCGATCCGTATCGGTCATCTGCTCTGGCGGTTCACTGAAATCCAGGTCGGGAGGCAGCCGGTGCAGCAGCGTGTCGTCCTCGCCCCGCCAGTCCCATCGAGTCATCAGATCTCGCAGGGCAACATTTATAAACTGCCAGTCCTTCAGCATGTGGTGCCAACCGCGCGCATCCTGGTCACCTCGAATCAGAATTTCATCCAGGATCAGATTCAGATCGGAGTTACCGGGGTTCCACACCTGATGTGCCTCGTCGAGATGGCCGAGTGCATACCGCAACAGATGCTGCGCAATGTCCATCCCGCTATCGGTGATGAGGGAAGGGGCCTCGAGTTGAACAAAACCCCCGTCCCGATACTCCGTCCAGGCCCGCACAACCCGGTCACGGATGCTCCACAGATCTTCCAGCACGAGGATCACCGTGAATCGAGCGTCCAGATACTCGTTGATTGGGATTCTCACCTGTAACCCTGCTATAGACTCTACGGGGACGTCCAGATCCTCACCATAGATTCGCGTGATGCGTTCCTCCATCTCAACACTGCCATAGTCCTCCCACTCAATGTCAGGAATGATCGGCTTGAGGGTCTGGTAGATGGCTACGAGATTTCTGAAACACTCCCAATGACGTCTGCTCACTTCCGAGTCGCCATCGCGAGAGAAGAACCTGTCGCGGGCCGCGCGAATTTCCAGGAGCCACCGAAGGCTCTGAAGAGCAGCCAGAGGTACACGGTCGGCATACTTCCGCTCGACAATGTTACGAGCCAGGCCCACAAGTTGGCACATACCAAGCTCCGTATCACCCGCGGCATAGCGCTTGCAATCACGGTCGGCCACTACCAGCCATGTGACCACGACTCCGAATGTCTTCTTGTACTGATGATAGATAGTCATGTAGGTGCTTGAAGCGCGTGAAGCGGTCGCAGTGCTTGAAGACATGATGTGTGTGGTGTCGGTGTGTTAAAGTGGATGAAAGATGGTTGAGATATGAAGTAGATGACGATTTCTTATATAGGTCTGCATTGTTCGGGATTTAGGGGTGTTTTACTGTAACATATTATTAACTACATACTCTCGTCATCTAGCTTTGTCAACAAACGACAATCGTCGAAAGGGACTTTTTAACGTTGAGGAGTTTGGAATGGAAGACTCCGAGCAGATGGACGATTTCAGAAAACAGAAGCAGAGTCCCATATGGCTTCGACAGAGAGCGTGTGTTGTGACAGCTGTAGCTGCATTCTCACTCTCAAGGATGAATACAATTCATGTTCTCAAGAAGCCTATACATTCGTGTCATGTTATTCTGGAAAATGGCCCGGACAAAGCAATGATCATGACAGGGTACGTGACATAGAATGGGGATTCTGTCAGTCCAGGTGTTGTATTAGGCCTGGATTCCCCCTTCCCCTCTCCCCCCAATAATGAACTTCTTGACCTTAGTAATATCACTGCGACCTGCGAAGCAATGTTGAAGGTGTAGGTATCTGATATTGCCAAGACAGCTATACTACTTATACATTCGACTACTCGGTAAACAACGAGGTTCTCCTCCCACCTCGGCCTAGTCACGCGGCCAAAGAGCACATATGATTTAATTAGCCTGGGTCGCCTGTTACTTCCATTAAATAATTTTCTGGGTCCCGAAACCGAAGATCCAGCCTTGCCCTGAGTGGATGGGCGCCGGGGAGCGGGAAGAGATTGCCGTTCTCACGGGCAGACCTCGCAAGATGGAAGGATTGATAAGAAATCCTCCAAGAGATAGACTCTGTACCGGTTACAAGGATGAACTCATGCTGCGGTTTAGGGTTATTTGATAAGTGGAACAACCATGGATTGGCTGTGTAGGCTGACCCGTAAATGACATCACGACTTCGTCAATCGGTGATGCAGAGACCTTCACATATAAAACTGCCTTTTCGTCTCGCACCATCTACACCTTCACCAATTAATCCAAAACGGCACAAACATTACATCCATAATGACGTCGATTCAAAAGGGCTACACATCTCTGCGCGGGTCTAGCAAAAAGGAAGAGAAGGACGAGTCCGACACCTTGCTTAATAAAGACCCTGTGATGGGCAATGGTATGATAGTATCTCTTTCCTCCTCTTTCACGTTGCAAAAGGGGACCTGATAGCTGATGATACGGTTACATGCTGTAGATACAAGCAAACGTGGCTCCTTTAATGAGCTCGACTTTCCACACAAAGATTACCACGATGGTCCAGGAATGTACGACGAGGATGATGAGAATCCCTCTGACGCCGTTCAGGATGCGATTCCGGCCAATCCCTCCTGACCAACGGATGAGTTAGACAATAAGATTTGCTTAATGATGAGAAAGTGGAAGGTAGTGTAAATAGGGTTATGAAGATTCTGAGGCGTTGAATCCGGTGGTCAATCTCCGTGCTTAGCTTGTACCTTATTCGAGCTCACCGCGAACACAGCACTAGTGGACAAACCCCTAGGGTTAATATTCTCGCGATACTTTACTTGGACATAACGACGGAAATTGGTTTCTACATCTAAAATGATTTTCCATTCGCACACTACGTAAAAACATCCATCATATCTCTAACAATAGAGAATTCACACAATGTTGGCCGGCCCCGAGAGAAATCAATGCAAGATGTGCCATCGTTCTATCAGTATGGAAAAGGCAGTATCGTGCGTGTATAGTCAAGATCTGGCAATCGGGAGCGCAGCCGATGTGATACCGGCACTAGGGCTAACTTCCCAATCACACCTGCGAGTCAGTACACGAATAAGCCTGTTACGGCTCCGTCGGTGGAAACAATGTACGCTTACGTAGGCTCGCAAATCTGGGCAGTGTAATCAAGGTTCCGTGAGGTTGGCACAACCTGAGTCTTGAGAAGACTTCGAGATGGATAGCCTGCTTATCGGCTCACTGAACCGTGCTGGTTTGACCCACTTCCTGCAGCGCGACTTCAGTTGGCGATTCAGCATAGTTCCTCTCCATCATTAATTATAGCGTGATCGGTAAGCTAAGCAGGTCGTTACTGTAAGCCAATCGTCAGTTTGACTTGCATACAACAAGAGCTCACTTGTATACCTTTCCAAACCTCCTTAAATAATTGCTCAGGAAAAAGATAACGTCGAAGGAATGGGCTTGAACAATGAGGCTCAACAAGCCGTGGTATGCTACAGTGCTCTGGTGGAAAGAAAAAGCCATTGAACAAGCAACCCAGATCATCCAAGCTCCACTTGGATCCTCTCATGGTTAAGCCCCTCCCAGTGGTCTGCCAAAACTCTTGCAATTCCTTTCCGAAAACATCTCCCTTCTTCTCGTCGGATCCACATGACATTATAGAAGGAACAATCCGGTTGCGCTTGATCGCCAGATGGATGCTCATCCAAATCCCATTCCCACAGCGCGAAGTGGGTCTCACCCCGGACTCGAGCCTTAGATATGCTGATAAACTCACATTGCCCTTGTTCATCTTCTTCGCTCGTCGTACGATCACTGGATAAGGCCCCAATCCACTTTCCTTCATGATCACGAAGGCTATAGGCGCCGGTCATGCGGTGTCTCAAGCTAGGATGGACAGTTACCGCTTCCGCTTTGTGAAGCCAGGCTCGGTCGGCGGTGAAGTGTAGACTTGGACTGTACTCAACCGTGTCCATGTGCTGCTTGGCTGTGGTGTCTGCGACTGGAAACGGATAGGGATACATCTCGCTGGAGGACGAATGCACATACACCTGAGTGCTGCCTTTCGAGCGGGAATGAGCCGTCCAGCCGCGTGGCATACGGCTCTGGTCTTGGAAGGTTGGAGATCGAGTCACTTTCGGTAATGCGGTTGTCGTGCCCGCTATTGTGGTTTTCCATCGGATAAGAGGTTTTAGCTCGTACCGAACGGAGCTGTCTCTGATATCTTTGTAGAAGTCATTTCCAAAGCATAACCAGAGGTCTAAGAACAAAGAGCCTTTTGCATTCATCCATGACCAGCTAGGCAATTCAAGTTCGCGGGGGTTGCGTTGTTTGAGAGGTTCTGGACTGCGTTTATCGGCCTCCCACAGTAAGGCAGCGTCGAAGAACAACTCGGGCAGTCCGAAATGAAACCCTGTATGGAAGCCCTGCTGCATAATTCTGGCGATCCCCTCGAATGCTGCAACGATGTCGTCGTCCAAGGTCAAATTGCGTTTGTTGTAAAGCATCACAATATGTGCTAATTGTTTCAAGCTCGGCCAGGTGGGTAGTTCAGATATAAACCCCGGGTAGGTCCGGTGTTCGACGGGCCCACTGATCGAGGTTGTTTGATGTCCGTGAGCAGCACGCAGCCACTCCTGGCTCTCAAAGCTTCCACAAATCATGGTGACGGTCCCATTGAACACGAGGAGGCGCCTTGAGAAGAAAGCTTCCTGAAAGGTCCAGCCACGAGTTTGCCACACTGTACCCCGGCACTCCGTTTGATGCATGAAATCCACAATATGCTCGGTCATCATCACACAATCGGGGAATTCCAAGTATCGGCACAGGATGTCCCGACGTCTGGTGCAGTCCTTGATTCCGGGAATCCCAGAGTTTCCATCTATTCCCTCACCTGCAACAATGGTGAGATATGATCGAGCATAAATCAGAGACATAGCCTTGATAAATAGCCTCTTGGTTGCAACGTCATCCTGGACAATGCAGAGGCAGTCGGTCCACAGATAGGGACACCGAAGCTTGGAAGCCAAATGCATTGCATCCGTGATGGTCCGCGGGATGGGTTGATCATGTTCCAGTAACAGAGACCCCGGCTGTTGCAATGCTATTAAATTCTCCGTGGTGGTCTGAAGCATTTTCACCCCGCCCCACACATAGCTGAGTGCAATGTACTGTGGGGTCATGCTACAAGGAACCTGTACCAAGCACTGCTGCTGCAAGTCGATCAGGTACAGCCATTGGGGCAGCCCTGAAGAGATCTCCGGGGGCCACTGTGGGACCTCACAGCCAACCTCACAGCCATGACAATGATCGCATGCTGTGATCCATTCGCGGATCATACTGATCTCGATCCTATGAACATCCATCACCCGCCCGAACGGACGTCCGTTGAGGGGGCTGATGCCCTCCACTGGAGAAGTCGGTATCAGCATTGGACCCCTGCTATCCTCATAATCCGTTCCGCATGATGTAAGATCGCAGAAAAAGTTCTTGCCGTCAAATCTGAGACGGGCTTCCAAAGCACTAATCTCGGATTCAGTGATCAGGCCTGTTTCCAGTAAAGCTGGAAGGATCGATTGGCAACATCTGCAGTCTGCTCGCGCTCCGATTCTCTGAAGGCTCCCCAGCATTATGGATGGATCTGACTCCATTTTTGTTTTCGCATTGCGCTGGCATGTTATTACGAACTGTCCAACTTTCTCACATTGCGTGCAGTATCCAGATGGCGTGTCATCTGAATACTCCATCGTTCAGAATTGGTCTGGTGCATAATATCTCCTAAAGCACCACCAACTTCTTCTCTAAAGGATTGAAGGTGCTGTAGTACCTGCAATCCATAAATCAAAATGGGACGGCAAGGCATGCGGTATCTTATAAGACGCGATTGGGATCATTGCCGCTAGCCACGTCAGCAATTCTAACATCAGAATATGATATGTGGTCTAGTCTATTCTACTGCGAGGCGGTCCGGCTTTCTTCATGATGGGTCGAATTTTGATGTGTAGACCGGGTCCGCAGCTTAGGGAAAATCTCTTTTTTTTGGTCGATGATGGACTGTGCCATTCGTCCTCCTGCTACTCCACAGCAAGACAGTAAATCTAAACGGTTTGGACAAGCCATTACGCTATATTCTCTTTGTGGTAATCATTCCGAACGCCTTGCATCCGGACGAAAAGCTCGAACGGGTATCAAAGTACTGCTCCAAACATAATGTTGACGCCTCCAGCCCATCAGCCCCGTCTGCGATTCGACAACTCCGGTAACTTGTAATTATCGAGAATCTGCGGATCCCGTCGGAATTGCGCACTCGAAACAATCTCCCTGACCGGCGAGACATCGCGCTCGCGGATCGGGACCTCACCCTCGGGATCCGAGGCGGATGACGGCGCTTCAAGATTCCGGGCCATGAAGCGCATAATGCTCTGCAACGCGGCGACATAATCTTCAAAAGATCCGTCGTGCCTGGCGCGGAGCGCCTCGGCAAAGACGGACGGCATGTAATACAGCACGACCGCAGTTCCATCGCCATGGCCGTCCACGTTCAGTCCCCGGACCAGAGCGTCGCGCGTTTCTTCCGAGAGGGATGCAAACGCCTGCTGGAATTTCTCAGCAAGATCTCGGTCCGCCACGCGGCCCATAGCCAGAAGACGAAGTAACGCCCGATCGGCAGGGTGACCGGGGCATAGTTGTCGGAAGCCCTGCTCGGTCAGAATCTGGCCGCGGCGGTGCAGGATTTTATCGTAGGCTTGTCGCAGCGAGGTGCGACCGGCGACCACTTCTTGGAGTATGGGGAGTGCCTGCAGGTAGGACTGACAGACCGGCTCGGTCATGGTGATGGCGCCCCGTGCGTCCAGATGAGCGGCTGACCCGGCGACGTCGAACATGATTTCCAGATATTTCAGGAAAAAGGCGGACGAGTGGCTCTGAAATCGGAAAATGGCCTGCAAGCTCGCGGGGACGTTCTCCCCTTGCAAGAGCTGTGGGAGATTCAGCGTGGCCCCTACTTGAATCCCCAAGATCACATCTTCCCGTTGTGGGGGCCCCAGTAGCCCTAAAGGACCGTCTAAGAAGCCTAGATCTACTGCTTGGGCCAGCAGCTCATCGTGATTGCATCGCCCCTGTGAAGCGGGCATGTCACGTGCCAGCTGGGGATCTTTCCCAAGATCGCCCACCACCAGGGCGACAATCAAGGCCAACAACTGTTCCGGATCGTCAAGGACGGACTGTGCGTCAGAACGAAAGGCCCGAAACGTTTCCACAGAAAGCCGGCTGGCCAAGGGTTGGTGGGCGGTAAAGACCTCATATTGATCGCTCATCAACCATTTCACAGCCAGCACGTTGGTGATGCTGCGGTTTACCTCACAGAAATCTTCTTGGAACAAAAGACGAGAGGGAGTGAGCCTCTCGTCATTTTTCTCCTTCCCACTCGCCCAAACCAGGGTGCCGGGGGGGACGCTGCCATCTCCCTCGCCTGGACGAGTGGGCACGCGCTTCAAGCGGGCGATTTCGGTCGCAAAGCTCCGATGCAGGAGCTGCACCACCGCTTCATCCTCCAGGGACCGAAACTCGCCGCGACGCACTATGTCTGCAAGAGACGACGAAGCTTGTCGGGCCGAAATTGGGCGTTGACCCCAGAGTAATCGATGAGCTAAACGAGCTAGATTCATCTTCCCTTGTGGAGTACATGGAGGACGCAGTGGAAAGAGAAAAGTAGGAGAATTGGGCCTTGTTTTGAGGGCGGGGCGACTGTCGGACACAGACCTCCTCCTCCTCCTCCTCGTTACCCAGCCTTGCGCTTGTGGCAATTGAGTGGCTGCTGAGTCAGATTAGTCCTCTCGCTCAGTAACATTGCTAGTTATTGTTAAGTTACAGTAATGTATAAATGAAACTGACATTGATCAAACTACCTATTCCTCATTATATAGTCTTTAAAACGAAAAAACGATTCAACCGGACGGTTGGGCTTTTTTTAAAAACTGTAGTCGGAAGGCACTCTATACACCGCACGAAACCCCACCTCCCAAACGGAAAGGGCGAGCAGAAAGCCAGGCCATGCCTGGCAAATTAGTACGTTAAAGACCTTGTCGTAGGTTGGGCTTGCTTGGTTTCTAGTCGTGCTCTCTTCCTCCTCGCTTTCTCGACCTCTTGCTTCATAAGCTCATCTTTATATCCAACCGCGTCCCAGTCCGGGTTGTCCAAATTGTCGGCGGCAGCGGCCAGCCAAGCATCCCAGGCATCCGACCGCGGCGCCACACTGCCCCGTCGCACCCAGCTTACCTCCTGCGCATGCAGGATCGCCAGCCACAAGGCTAGGGTAAAGGAAGGCTGCTCAGTTGGGATGGTTTTCTCCTCCCACTCGTAGCGACTCAAGTCCCAGATCTCGCGTGCATCGACCAGCAAGGCTAGCAGCCAGTAGAGTAGGTTCAAGATGAGGTAGGCCGTCCCGACAGCTATCTGGAGCTTCCAGCTGCAGTTGCTGAACAGGATGATTCCGGCCATCAGCAACAGGGTGCTTACCGCCAAGAGAATGCGATGGGGAACCCGGCTGAACAGGTAGTCGCAGTCGTCCATCCCCGCGTACAGCTCGCGACACACCGTCTCCTCGCAGTTGACAACGACAAAAGCGCCTGCGCGGGTGGCGAGGACGACGTCGGCAGGTGGGACTTCTACCTTGGCCGTGCGAGTTCCAAGTCGCGGAGACCATTTCGCCGACAAGGAGGCCGCGCTGGTTGAACCCGCCGTTGCGGCCAGAGCGAGAATGGCCACGCCATCGTGCAACACTCCCGCGGCAATGATGAGGGCGGCGGTGATCAGAATGGAGATTACCGTGACGGCATTGAGCCACGAGGTGAGTTGGATGCGGATCGGACGCAGCTCATGTTGGCTCGCTTCTCCGGTTTTTTCTTCGTCGTTCCTTGGGTCTGGCTCGTTCCGACGGTGGCTGACTCTACAGACCTTGACGGCGTAGCGGGGAAGGCTCTCGATGTCGTGGATGAGGGTCGCAAAGTAATTGAGCTCGTTCAATAGGATGCCGGACTGAGTGCCAATGACTTTTACGCCACTGATAGCGGGCAACCGATGGGTGCGATCGGTGTCAAGCAGAGTTTCGGGGGCCGGGAGGAGCCGTGGGATGACACTGAAAGGCGAGGCGGCAATAGCCGGGAGGTGCTTGGCCGTCGCTGACCCTCCAATCACCGCCAGCAGGCCCACTATGTCAAAGTGCCATCCGTCCGCCTGGGAGTCAAGTGTGGTGGGAAACCAGCCCATATTTACGTCTTGCTGGAACAGACGATTGTTTGGTTTGGAGAGGAAAAGTGAGTCGAAGTTCTGGTTTGGTATCACCGGTGGGGTGCCATTGTACTAATACTGTAGAGTCAGGGAAAAGACATGGCGCACCTCTTTCCCCTCCCTCCCCTCCCCACAACCACCACCAGACTGCCTAGGCGCCCGTCGATAAGACTAGCAGGGATCATATGTACATTGGTCTGGCGTGGTCCAAGGGGCGGCAGCCGTCAAGGTAAGGCAAAAGCGCGTGCACATTTTTTTGGCCACTGTCCGGAGTACGCCGTACGTACTTACCATCAGTCCCTACCAATGAGAAGGGACAGTAAGGCATTGACAACAAGTCGAACCGGTTGTACTGCTGACTAGTCGGTACTTGAATCAGAATCGACGGGATCATCGAGATTCCCGTCGAGACTGGGGTATCTGTTACAGTAGCCGCTTTAGCTGCTGTGACTAGTGTCACCATTCGCCCATCGGCTTCCTTTCGGCTAGTCCGTTCGTCCACTAGATCCCAGGTACTCAAGTCGACCAAGCCACCTGCTCTCTACTTCATACTAGACCTCTAGTCGACACGGTGCTCGACCTATCGGACACATGAGAATGTCTTAGAGGAGGAAAACTGACTAGCCTCTACGGAGGCTTGTATTTCGACGCGCGAGTCATTTTCAGCAGCGAATTTCAGATCACACGAAATTAAGGCATGAGGAGAAGTCAAACACATCTTCCAGAGTGGTCAACAAGGTGCAAGGTATGTGCTGGATCATCCTTGATCGGCCTATACAAACATATACGTTTGTCTGAGGACGACCCAAGATCACCAACAGCGGCACTACTAGTCGGAACAACACTGCGAGGCGATCTGGATGTACCTCGATTACATCCTGGACCACTTTGGCGACGGATCTACGCCGGACCTTCTGTATAAGCGCGAGAAGTTCGAGCGGTGGTTTATTGGGTTGTCAGAACGAGTGTCTGGGGGTGAGGCGGAAGGAGGGGGAGGATGTGCCGCCGTTGTATTCAATTGTGGTCTGAGTAGGGGGATCGATAACTACCTTTTCTTTACGTCTCCATCGAGATTGGTACCTGATAGATTTTCTTATTCCGAGGAACAGACTATACCAAATGAAACGTACTATGCGAAACGTCTAATCATAGGACTTGGAATGTGAGTGTACGGAGCATTTTACGACGAAGCAAAAGAGGACTAAAATGTTGTGGCTGCAAGAAGGCCTCACGACTCGCATAGTGCGTGGCCAGGGAGTAAATAGTGGGATGACTTGGACAGTCGAATAGAGATACAAACTACGACATGATGGAATAGAAGTCCATGTGACCGATTGGGTGTATTGTGTAGATATTCATAAACCAGGAACGAGGGGCACCTTTCAGACCTCCTCGACACCCACCAAGTCAGACCGACCGAAGTCAAGACGTCACGACAAGGTAAAGATCATCACCACTCCCTGGACCAAGAAGCCAGGCCAAATGCCTGGAACAAGTCTGCGAGCAGATTATCACCAAAGCACCGGCGCAGGCACGGTCGAGTCGGAAGTAAAACGGCTTCACTTTAGGGCATCGAGGACATAGCAGTCATCAGCAAGGGTGGGGATTCTGTGGCTCTTTAGAAGAGCTCAGAAGTGGGACGTCTACTCTAAAGTGATTCTTTGAACTGTGGCAGAGAGGATGGTTAGCAAAATGGTTCTCAGAGAGGCTGAATGTAGGGGGAGGTAAACTCACGTAGAGTCGCTTGATTTTCGAAATTGGATCGGGGGCCAGACGCCTTATATACCCGGGAGATTTTTTTCGCAGAGCGCTAGCGACTAAGCGAGCCAGGCACAGACCACTCTTCCAGTCACTGTCCGCACAATATAGCATAGCACAAGCAAATGACTCATCCGTGCATAGTGCCCCCACCCTGACAAATCCGACCTCTTGCCTATCGTGGATTAGTCCTTTCTACTTACGCCTCTCGGTGTTTGCTCAATACCTTAACTTATCTTATTTGCATTTGCAAAGTAGCGCTTTGCAACTCTATGAGGGCCTGATCGCGGGTGATGGACGATGATTGGTTGCTTTCGGAGGCAATATTTGGATTTTGATTAGGTACCTTAGCTAGTACGTACCCCAATGACAGTAATGTGGCTTCCAAGCTGAGTTGATTCCGGCGGCCGGCGACCACCACCTGATAGACTAGGGAAATTGGGATTCCATCTTCCCTCTATAGCCCCTAATACAAATTTGTATAGTAGTCTATGGCTTACCTACTGGATCTAAGAATACCTATCACCACCCCAGTATCTCTTTCCCAAGTCCCATATACTGCGCTTTGGAGCGCCGTTGGCTGAGCGTGGCACCCGCAGTCAAGGCACTCGTTTATAGTTTTAAGAGCTGTATAGATTCAAATCTGTGAGAATTTCTAGTATATCAGATAAGTTCATAGACTTCAAGAAAGTATCTTTATAGCTAGCTGCAATAGGCGGCCTTATAGAGGCCTCAGGGCCTCCCGAGATTGTTATAACTTGAATTGAATTGAATTGAATCGAGATAAATGGGGGAATCTGCAGTGATCCACTCTGGAATCGCGGTCCGCCGCAGCGCATTATAGATATTACTACTGATGGGCAGATCCTCGCGGCCCCCCACGAAGCTGCGCTGCGGGACATTGGCAACAGTGAACTTGAGATTCGGATTACCGGCGCAGGCATTGCTAATCAGGGTCAGGATGCTGTCCAGGATGCCCGGGGCCTCACTATAGAACCAACCCATGTCTTTGAAGCCCAGTATCAATAGCCTCAAGTCAGCTGAATAGGCACCGAGGGCATTGTGAATCCTGCCCTGGTCCACAGCCCGCCGCACGGCCCCAGACGGCGAAATAATGGTGATCAAAGTCGGCCGCCACATCCGCCGTGTACTGTACCCGCCGCTGGTTTTGGGCTGGTCGGAGGCGGTCTGTTCCCCGTAGAGCGGCGGCGGGGTAGGCGGTTCGGCAAGATCCGGCTGCACGGTCCCTGTGTTGGGGCCCGCCCAGACAAGGTGACAGCAATGTCTTGCCCCCGAAACCACTCCCAGATCCGATACCTCCACGTGTAGGTTGTCCCCTTTCTTCCCCTGGGTCATCGAGGCCCCTATTGTACAACCATCACTCGCAGGGTGCCTGCCGGAGCGACATAGACCACCAGCCTTGATGCATCTGCCCAGAGTCACTAGCCTGGCCTTTCAGAGAATCATACTTAATCCCGCTAGGAGCCCACTAGGATCTTTCAACCCAGGAACCTTTTTATTGCCCCAACTTAGAAAGGTCAGCGCTAACTTGCTCTACCGCCATGGCCTCCCTGACTCTCGAAAGCCTTCTGGTGGAGTTAGTCGAGGAAGTTGTTAGTCGGCTAGACTTCCACGATCTCTGTGCACTGCGCCTGACTGGACGCACCGTCTCATCAAAATCATCCACTGCTACCTTTCGAAACTATTTCCTTTCCAAGAAGTTGATGCTTGCAGAAGCCCCGCTTGAGCAGTTTGTTCTCGTCACCGAACCAGGACGGGTTCGGTCTCTGGCTTCAGCAGCTCACTCTTTATGCCTCCATAACGCCACCAATCAGTGAAGTTGCAAGCATCGGAGAAGAGTATCTCGTCAGCTCTAGGATAGTTTCATTATTAGCGCGAGGCTTTCAAAACATGCGCGACTACTCGCCACGAAATGCCCCCTTGTCGGTTTCTCTCAAGGTGCTCGGGTACGGCTCCAGAAGGGAATCAGCGGCTAAGATACTAAGGGTGACCATGGCAGCCCTCAGAAGCACAGGATTACCCATCCGGTCATTTGATGTGTTTACGGAAGGCTATACCCACAGACGGGGGCCGGGGGGTTACTGTAGGTTTCCCATCGGCGAAATCACCGAGGCTTTATCCGGCGGCAGCACGGCCGACCTGAACAGGCTAGCAACGACTTTCCAACCATGCAAGAAATTATGCCTCAGCTTGGCGCACCATGTGATTAAATCTAGTTTCCACCAACCCAGACACATCGTGTTCCCGCACAGTGACGAGACCGCCCGAGACCATACCCGATCCCTTTGTGACCTCCTGAATCTATGCCCCACGCTCGAGGAACTGCACTTGGTCTGGGAATATGACTCCGTCAATGAACAAACCACTGGGGTGCTGGAAGAACTGTACTTCTTCAGCCGAGTGGCAGAGTCTTGTCAGTTTCCACGCTTGGAGAAATGCACATTGCACAATCTTCGAATGACCGAGGCCACGCTCCTGACCTTCTTCCGCCAGCTCAACGGCTGGTGAATTTAGTGTTGCGATATATTTTTCTGCAAGGTGAACTCAATGGCTTATTCAGACTTCTGTCTACAACAATGCCAGAGCTAAGATATTTGCGTCTTCAAGCTCTCTTTTCTTCTACTGGGACTGTCTGTTTCTTGTACGAGCCCCCGGAGAATAAGCTGAGGAACCCGAGATGCTTTGTACCGCCTGGTATAATCCGGAGGGGCACGGCTGTTAGGAGGCCAGTTATAGCTCGAGCTATTAGGTAAAATGAGATAGCCCCAATCCACATCCAAGGCGGTATACATATATACCAGGTTCGCCCCCTTATGGCATGGCATTGATGCTATGATAGTACTAGACTGTAGACATCCGGAGAAGTAGAATATCAGATACAGTTGCTACACAACTAGACACAAGTATCCAAACCCGGCAGGATCATGCGCTGGGAATTATGATAGGTAATGCTTGGCAATCGGTAGCAGCACACGCATAGTATCGTAGTATTTATGTTATAGAGCGTAAGTGATGTATCATCCGCATAATCCTTTGAAAATACCGTTCTTTTCTCGTACCCTCGCAATAATCCTCTATGATAAATCCCCAATGCGGTACAGGCTTCTTGAACCCCAACGCTCCCTCATGTCGTCTACATGTTCCTTTCCGCATCACAGAGTGATTGCGTCAATGGACTGAGGGCACGCAACTATAAGATTCGTCTCAATAGCACAGCAAGTGATGGTAATGACAATCACGACAATTCAGCATATCGCGCTTTTGCACGAAAAAGTCTTAGTACACGCGTGTTCCCGCCTCTAACTCTTGCTGAGATCCGTGAGTACGTTCCACGACAGACAAATGAGGACATCAAAGACCCGTATTATTGGGAGCTTATTCCCATAAAGGAGTACGACGAGGACGGTGAACCAACACCACCAAACGTCGCTGTGCAGAAGACATTGAGAAATGCCATTCCAGATTGGTACCGACGGTCTCGTGTGGGCGTACAGTGGTGACCGTAGTGTACAGGGAAACAGTATAGATGGCAAATAGTTCCATATTCATTCTACCTTCCGCTGGACTTAAGTCAAAATGTGTTAGATTCAACTGACATTCTTTCTTTGCGGTAGCGACACTACTGGGAAGACCCGAACTGGGGCCCCAGAACTTGGCAATTGGGAACCCTTCGCAATCAGCAGTTGCTGCCACATCTTCTAATTGAGCTTTGAATCCCATTCATTTGTGGCGCCCCGAAGTCCCTGCTCGATGTTGCTCTCCTGTGGAGGCCGCTTCAACGACTCCACCGCCGACCCAGATTTCCCAGTTGGTCTTGGACCGGCTGGAAACGACAGATTAGCTACAACAAGGTGATGGAGGTGCAAGGAGATGATGTAGGGAGGTGTAAAACGCCAATGCTTCCGCCCGGTCGGGACTGTACGCTCTAGCGCTATATGTGCTGACATACACAACTACGGATGCTTCATCAATTGCGACCGAGTCTACAATTCCCTGCAGGAACACCACCACCAATCACCACCAATCTTCGCATTGACGCAACATCCAAGATGATATTCGCAAACTAGAGCAAACGAGGTATTTTTCCAGCGTGCAGTGACATAAGCCAGACACAAAGGTTCGTTGCAAAATAAAGCCAAATCGCTAGTTACTGCTTCCCCAGCCCGTCGAGATAGCTTTTACGTCAAGGATGTTTGACGATTTTCTTCTTCTCGGGATCCTTGTGATCGCCGTAGGGGAATGGCAGGGCATCCTTGTCCGCGGGCGAGCTCGAGTAATACCGATGTATGATGAGGCCCCCGGCGATGAGGGCGCAGATGGTGTAAATGCCCCGGTTGTTGCGCCCGCCGCTAAAGCTCTCGTGATCAGCACCCATCAACACAGTTTGTGAGATGACCTACCGGAGAGCGGGGGGGACGCTGCCAGCTGCGAATGCTGCCATTGTGGTAAGTGTAGGATTAGCTTAGTTACAGGTGGTGTGGAGAGACAGAGAGAATCTGACAGTGAGTGTGGCGTTGTACGAGGGGGAGGGGTTGGAAGTGGACATATATAAGCACTGGCTGGGTATTGTGTAGATCACGCGGGTGACACTTTGCCACGCTGAGTTAGTACCAGGATACGACCTGCCATCCACTACTTTTGCGGGGAGTCTTTGTACGAAGACTGGGGTGTCTTGACATCATCAGCCCTGACGAAGGGGTCTGGACCAGAGATGGACTCATGGAGGTTCCACGGGTTGGCCCGCTGAAGCTGTGACACTTTGTTCCAAGATGTAGAAGAAATGCAAGTATTGTACTGTACACTCGGATAGTCTTTCACTACTCCGTAGATTAAGCTCTATGATCAGCTCTCTTGCTGCCCAAAGCGCAGATATGATGGATCTCATTTGGCATGTCGTTTAATTTACGCCCCTCTCTTCCAAGCCACATTCCAGCCGCTTCGTGTTTCCCCTGTTTTAAAGCTCACGCATCCCGCATTCATTTAGTCTTATTATCCTTCACACCTTTCGTGGTAGCTGTTTATCATGGGTCTCACCAATTTGACCAGTGCATGTGTGAGTATCCCCAGCTACTATAAAGTATCTCGTGGCTGATGAGAGCGGGATCAGTGTTGGGGTCTATATCGGCTCCTCGGGGCCAACTTGACATCCTTTGACGGATCCGCAGCCTACAATGCCTCCCTTGCGTCTTACTTTTCGCAGCAGGAGTCCCAGCTCTATCCCAGTTGCATTGTAGCTCCCACCACCGTCGAGCAGGTGTCCACTGCAGTCCGCTATCTCACCACCAATTCCACCTGCGACTTCGCAGTCCGCTCGGGCGGCCACCAGGTGTTCGCCGGCGCAGCTAACATCGCAAACGGGGTGACCATTGACCTGCGGGGCCTCGACCAAATTGAGGTCAGCGATGACTACTCGACTGCGACCGTCGGGGTGGGCGCTACCTGGGGCGATGTCTACGCAGCGCTCGACCCATTGAACCTCACGGCCGCGGGGGGTCGCGTCAGCGGGGTCGGGGTGGGCGGATTGACCATCGGAGGGGGCATCTCCTACCATTCCCCGCGGTACGGCTGGACCTGCGACACTGTCGTCGACTTTGAAGTCGTACTGGCCAATGGCACCATCGTCCATGCCAACGAACGCGAGAACCCCGAGCTGCAGACCGCTCTGCGCGGGGGATCCAACAACTTCGGCGTCGTGACCCGCATTCAGCTGGCGACGATCGAGCAAGACCAGATCTGGGCAGGCCTGGCCTACTACTCCTTCGACACCATCGACGCGCAGCTGCAAGCGGCCGCCGACTTCAGCCAGCCGGACGGCTACGACGAATATGCCTCGTTAGTCCTGAGCTTTGGATTCTTGAGCACGCGAGAGGCGGCGCTCGTCAACAGCCTCGTCTACACCAAGCCAGAGCCAAACCCCCCGGCGTTTCAGGCTTTCACAGCCATCCCGTCGGTGAGCAGCACGCTGCGGTTGACGAACATGTCTGCTATGTCAATCGAGCAAGGCTCGTTTCAGCCCAATGGTGATCGGTGGGTTTCTCTTCCGCTTGCTTGCTTGCTCCTCTACGAGAAACTAATTTGAGCGATGCGGACAGTCAGCTGTGGCTGGTCACGGCGTTTGAATCTAGTGTATCTATGCTGAACGCTACGTACCGTCACTGGAATCGCACTTTGGCCGATGTAAGTGATGTCGCGGGCATAGGATGGTCGCTCTCGCTGGAGCCCCTGCCGCCGGCCATCTACTCCCGACACAGCGATACCAACTCGCTGGGCCTATCAGACACATCGGGCTCCTTGATGATTGTGCTGTTGTCCGCCAGTTGGACACATGAAGCGGACGATGCGACCGTGACCGAAGCCGGCCGGAGCCTGATCTCAGGGGTGGAAGACGACGCCCACGCGCAGAACGCGTATCACCCGTTCAAGTACTTGAACTACGCGGCTCCATGGCAGAGTCCGATTGCGAGTTATGGCGATGCGAGTGTTGAGCGATTGCGTCGCGTGTCGCAAGCAGTGGATCCGGAGAGGGTTTTTCAGCAGCAGGTTCCGGGTGGGTTTAAGCTTCCTTGAATGATGGTTGCTGCGCGTGGTGTTGGCGATACAAGTTTATCTCGAAAGTCAATGCTGAGATGCGGTTCCAAGTTTTGAGAGTTGCTATCCGGTATTTGCTCTCAGGATCCGGTCATTCTTGGCTATGTATACTTGGCCGATAACCTTAAAGTAGTTGTATAAAACCATAACACATACATATTGCCTGCTTGCCATGGATCTCAAGTCGTATTCAGCATGAGTATAGTATCGTCTTCCCTTCCCCTGCCGGCGAACAGTCTCCTCTACACATTCACCATGGACGAGCCATCCAAACTGCTCACCCCACCTCCCCAATCATCCATCTTCCAGCTAGACTTCCCCGCGCCCGGAGTCCTCCTTGTCACTATCAATCGCGAGGCACAGCGCAATGCCGTCCCGGTCGCAGGTCACGCAGAAGGCCACCGGATCTGGCACTGGTTCGACGACGAGCCCGCCATCCGTGTAGGAATCGTGACCGGAAAGGGCACCCAGGCGTTCTGCGCGGGCGCCGATATAGTAGAGCAGTTTGAAGGATCCGCCATCTATAACATATCCATGCCGGTCCCCGAAGATGGATTCATGGGGCTCAGTCTGCGCCGGGGCAAGAAACCGGTCATTGCGGCGGTGAATGGGATAGCATTGGGTGGGGGATTCGAAGCGTGTTTGAATTGGTCAGTGGTTCTTGGCCTGGCCACATATCCCCAGAAAAAGCTCTCTCTCCCCAGTTAACACCGGTGTCATGATGATGGTATAGTGACCTCGTGGTCTCGTCCCCCGAAGCGGAATTCAGTCTGCCAGAAGTGCACGTCGGAGCCTTTGCGGCGGGTGGTGGACTGGCCCATATCGTGCGGGCTTGTGGGCTTCAGATCGGGAGTGAGCTGGCCCTGACTGGACGACGGATCTCCGCACGGGAGGCGAAGAGCTTGCGGTTGGTAAATGTCATCGCTAAGTCACCGAAGACGGTGGTGGCTGAAGCGGTCGAATTGGCGACGCAGATTGTCGGCGTCTCGCCGGACTCGGTTGTCGCTTCACGATATGGATTAAGAGAGGCTTTGGAAATGGATACGGTTGAGGGACACACACGTCGCACGACCAAACAATATGGGAGACCTTTGGTGGAAGGGGAGAATTATCGGATTGGGCTGGAGGCATTTGCGAAGAAGAAGCGGCCGAAATGGGTGGATTCGAAGCTGTAACTGCAGGATCTCGATTATCGCATGTCAGTATGGTATGAGGATAGCAAAAATAGTAAAAGCAAAAACATACAACAGAAGGGATTCGCTGGTGGTCACCCACCCAACTACTAACCTCCCGGCGTGTGGCTTGAGTACGGCTGAGCGGACGGGAAGCCCTATTTTCCACACCCTGTGGTCGTATGTGCTTATCGTCACAAGAACATCTTGCTAGATTCCGCTGGATGGATTTACCAATGATAATACTGGCGGAGGTCTGTATAACTATTCACGTATGCCTCTTACTCCTGGTCGGTGTAGTTATATAAATTATCTCCCTAAGTCTCCATGCTTTAGGTAACGCATACTGAAGATAGTACTCTACTCTCGGCATTCTGGCTGTCCCCCCCCTGATGCCGTCTTCAGCAGTACAATGACTGCAAAGGTTTTTATGTGCCGTCGGAGATGAAGCCCTTGTAGACATTCTCTCACCGACTAGAATCCACAAGCAGAAGACGAATATTGCTTCAATTCCAGCTTGGACGCCTATTTCACCCCTGAACAGCCAGCAGACAGTCAAGTAGCACCGATTCGAATGGCACCCAGGACGCTCTGTTTTCCTCGGGATAACTTACACCACCGTCCAGTCGAACAGCCCTACAACCAACCCCACACTGGTCGAAGTCTTATCGGGCAGATCCACGAGTAGATGCATCATATAAGAGGCTTAATCGATGACAATCTCCCAAGAAAACACCATAATTGAAACTGTGGATGGATGTGCACAATGTGGAAAGTAGAAGAAATGCCAAAAGAGCCCTCGCTGCCCAGGAGTCGAAGCCGGGCCCTGCGTCCCCCAAAAGGGGTTAGCCCAAACCATGCGTTAATTTCTGCCGCGTGAGGTCTAAACTTCCCCCTGATGGCGGAATGGGTGGTAGGAAGTGTTGTGTGGGGTTGGGGCATAGGGTCTCTTTATATCATAGGGTGAGTGTGCAGCTGCACCCCGCGGGTGGGTGCGGTCTGTGCTTAAGTTAAGCGAGGTGGGGTTCGGTCTCGCTTAGCGGTTGGAAGTATGTATACCTCACCTCCCCTGAGGCCAAACATGTCATCCTGGACCTGGGATAGTCTGAATCCCTTCTACTGGATCACAACGCATTAATAGGTCAGCGGGCATCTTGTTCTCTCCAGTCAACCGTCTCTACTGATCTTGTTTCGCCGAAAGGTACGTTCCAGTGCATCATCCTTGTCAAGGGAAAACAATCGCTTCAACCATGCCGGATTGTCAACCTGCATGAAACCTCTAAACCTACATGCAAACGTGCCATGTAGTGGAGAAGCCAGTAGATAAAGACACTTCCGCTGTGAGGCTCATGCTCGATTATAGTGCAGAGTCTCCGCGTAGAAAAATGCCCCTCGATGATGTAGCTATTGACGGCATGCTTTGCGAATGCGTGAAGAAATTTTCCTCAATCTTAGGCCAGCACTCAGTTTCATGAGACCTCCCTCCCGTCTTCTCTTCTTCTTCTTTCATCCTCTGGTCAACTGATTAGAGCTGGCGAGAAACCCATCTTTCTTCAGTTGACCACCTATCAATCTATCCTCATACCTTGAACAAACTCTCCTCTAACCTCAAAGACTTTCCTCTCTCCTTGAAATACTGCTCTCCCACCTTGATAACCCGTTGACTCAACTTTGAAGGCATTCGTCTTGCCTTCGAAAACCACTCCCTTACTTTCGAATATCTTTCTCTGACTCCAGATCCTATTTTTCTCCCTTCAAAACCTTTAATTTCACCTCGAACACTTTGCTCTTATCTTCAATACAATTTCACCTCGAACACTTTGCTCTTATCTTCAATACCTCTTTCCTACCGTCCAAGACGTCCTCCTACCTCAAGATCCTATCCAAATCATGGCGAAACCACCGACGCCCAAGCAGCGTCAGATCTTCCTGGCGTGTAGACCCATTTTCAGCGGTCGAAAGGCAGCGATTCGCAATGTCAAAGCCATCAGAGCACACCTACAAGCCCATGAGTCTGCTTTGGAGACGCTCATCCCCTACTACCGCATGCACCACGTCCTACCGATTGTCAAGTTCCTGGTGGAGAAGGGCGTCTTCGACTCAGACACAAAGGCCCAAGCCTTCTTTCCCGATCTCCAACCCGAAGAGCTCGATGCACCTCTTCCCCTGCCTGGAGAATCCTCCGCTGACACTCCGAACCGCCACAACAAGGAAAAGGGGATGGAAAAAGATGACGACCTTCCTGGGTCTTCAGCAGCCACTCCAGCAACCTTGCCGACCGGGCAGACAAGCGTCGGCCTCCCCCAGGGGCAGAGAGCCGAACAGAGTGACGATTCAGGTACGTAGCCCGGAGAGATAACCCAGTAACTCCTTTGTATATGATTACATCATTGCCTAACACCCGCTCGCAGACCCGCCATCTCCCACCGAAACACCAATGGCCCCGCCAATGCGCCTCTGTCTGCCCTACAAGACTCAGCATCGAATTCTAACGACTGTCCAGCGCGTCCTGGAAGAGAGCATCTTCGAGTTCCTCCAGATGTGGCTTTACCTCGAGCTTGCAAGCGAAGGTTGGGACTGCCCCGAAGCCATCGAGCTGACGACGGGAATGCGATTCCTGAAGAAATGGCGCACGCGCCTTTCGAAAGATGCGTTCTGCTTCGTCAACTACGACTTGGACGCGGTCTTCCAGGCAGTGGCCCCCATCCGCCACGCGGCAGTGCATCGACAACACAAAACAATTCAAGGAATCTGCGACTGCATTGCTGCCGCGCAGCAGCTGACCGAGATCCTGCAAGATCAAACGCGCACCCTCCAGCTCCACGAGCTACACTGGCATGTGCAAGGCCAAATCCCCGCGCTCGCAGTCAGCGAAAAGCTACTCCAAAATGTGGAAGCGCAGTGCGCGCAGATGGGGAAGGAGGGGGTGAATCTACGGGCTCAGGCCATTGCCGATGAGCGAAAAGGTCGACGGATGATCGGCATTCTTCTGGAGACTTTGATGGAGAAGATTTTTGTGAATGATCGGATTGGATTGGAGTATGGCCGAGATGGCCGTGGTACAAATATCGAGGGTGTATCCTTCGCATACACCGCGCATGTAGGGGAGCAGCATTGGCAGCCTGTTGAGGAGTGGTCGCAGCCTCGCGACTTTTTGTATTAATGGCATAGCATTGTGCCTCCATGTATGAAGCTGTGAAAGCACAGCTGATGGTGGAGATTCATATTTGGGATGTATGATTGATCATGTGTATATGCCGTATGATTCGGCACTTTTGCATAGCATACCACCGCAGTGGTTGGTCTATCCTGTGGAGATGAACTGTGTTCTGTATATTCCATTGCCGTGGGGATTGTTCCTACAATCAACTTCTTCCTCACAACTTGATGATTGCGTTCCGTTCCTGTAAACATTCCGGGGATGACATTGTGTCGTACGATCACTTGAATTCTTCTGGCTATTGTCTACATAACGCCTCAGCTCCCAGCATCGTGCATAGGATCATTGTCTTCACGATACGATCCATATATGTTGAACATCGTGCAGACTGTATTTGCTATTTGTTATTGCATGTTCAACATGACTCAGAGAGATTCATCGCTCCCAACCTTACCCTTCATTTGCATTGATGTGAAGTCACATCAGGGGACTCAAACCATCACAGCATTCCAATTTACCTGCTCTAATCTGAGAAAAGCTAAAAATAGATACTAGCTCTGCACATCGCAGCATACATAACCCAGGACCAGACTTAATTGTTTTAGCTGGAGGTGACTTGCCAGCGGCGGCGTTAAAAAACTTACCTCAACTTCATCACTTCCCCTCCAATCTTCTTTCTTTATGCTTTTCCTCTGCTTCTAACCTCTCTTCTGCACTGAAGAAACCTTGGTTATTCCTGACCATGGCTTCATCATCCCACCGCAATGGTCCTCTTGTTCACCATCCATCCTGGCCCGAACCATGGACGCACCCGGAATTTTCTCCCGACGAGACACCCGCAACCCGCCAGAAACGCTATCTCTCGCGAGAGTGGTTCAGATAGTTAGCAAGAATCCTCGAAACATGGGGAATCTCACGACAGAACCTGGTCCTGGGGCTACGTGATCTATCGAGCGCCCTACGCATCCGAAGAAGACTGGAACACTGCTCTAGCTGGCCCTACTGGACAACTATTTCAATTAGAATATGTTGCCTAAGTCCCTGGCTACACTATGGCGTGGGGAAAGATTGCAAGCCAGTACTATCCCAGTGGAGACATCATCTGTGCTTCTCCCTAGCATCGATACGAAATCTGGCCCTACAGGTTGTACATCAGTGGAGGATCTTGTTAGACATAAGCGCAAGTAGCGATTGACTTGAGAACTAATTTGCCCCAGCAAACGGCTCACTTCCAGCCGCACATTGCTGTTGGGAATGGCGATCCGGGACAGTACTTCATGGCAATCCTTGACGAGGTCTTTCCCTTCCAATGAACGCACTGTCTCCGAAAGAGCTTCTCCTCCACGTCGGGATGAACCGCTCCAGGGAGACTGCGGCCTTCACTGACCCTAGCCTCCTTATATATATCAGCATATAACCCCGGAGCATCTCGAAATCACTCCGCGGGATCTGAGCTCCGCGAGCTGAGAACATTGAGGTCTTCCTTGTAGTTGGAAAAGGGAAGCGGCACTGCTTGCATCTTCGACATCTCCTCGTAGAACCGATCGAGGCGGCGCTGTACCTCGTATCGCAGCATAACTCTGGGATCCTGGGAGGGCACATCCTGATACTGGCCTCGCAGCGTTACCTCGGCCATACGCCGCATGTCATTGCAGAACTGAAAGACAAAGTACTGCTGCGCTCTAGGCTCGTCGCGAGGGTCGCCCATTTGGCTCAGATCCGACTCGCACTCACGGAGTCTCTGGCGAATCTCCGCGACGATCTGGGCCCGTTATCCCTTGTCGACGTATTGCATGAGGGCTTGGATCCCCGTCCTCTCCTTGGTTACTGTTTCCCAGTTTTGTTCTGTAAATTCGCTTCTCTCCCGCTCGTCTCGCTCAGTATCGGTGATGTCGGCTTCAACGGGGGCTCTGTTTCGCAGTCTAAACTAACTGTGATTTAAATGGGGTACAGTGGAGAGACCACTCCGCAGAAGCTAGATTATCTGGATTAAGAGTACATTAGTACTGCAAAGACACAAGAGCGCCAGCGATACCTACCCAGTTGTCGGATATTAGCATTGCCAGGCTTTTGTTAATGTTGTCATTCGACAGACGCCTAGTGGCTGATCAAACTTTGTACTCCGTAAGCATTGCCTTCCAGTATGTGTCTATCCTCATGTGAGGCTCCTTTCACTGGCGTCGAGATCTTGCAAGGCGTGGCTGGCGAGGGTATGTCACGTGACACACCAACAAAGACCATGGAGTGCAACGATCTGATGTCTGGACAGGATGTTCAGAGCTGCCCGGAATCATGACTACTGGAGAAACCGCATGTACCCACGAGACCATCGAGCTTATTCTTTGACTCCCCGCATTCCCCAGGGGAGCACGACAAACGGGTCTCAGCGGAGAGACCACTCACTATTCGCCCATTTGGCTCAATTGCGGACCGCGCGGTTGATTGGATAATGGCTGGTGAAACAAAGAATATCTCTATCAAAGCAATGTGCTTTACTGTACCTTCACTAACCATCAATAATGAGAGTATGTTGAGCGCCCTCTTTGTCATCGACTACTGGCATTGGAATTTCCTTCCTGGTTTGAGCTTTCTTTCCGCCACCGCATTGCATTCTCATCCTTCCTCATCCCCATGCTTCTCCTTCCTGCTGCCCCTCGTTTTCATTCCTTACTCTTCCTGGACGTCCATCAAATTGGCGCAGACATGATAACTACCTGCTGGCAAATCATCTTGGGCGCCCTCATGGCCCTGGCCCACCTTGCTATACCCCGAAATCGCCGTGACATCTCCCGAGCCCGCCGTGGCACGAGTTCAATCCAGCATGATATTTTAGCCTTTGTTCGCGATGCTATCGCCGCAAGGCTCCGTGCTCTGCGTGAAAGAGACGTTCAGATGGAGGCTGTACTCATTCTTCTGCTCGTCCTGCAATTCCTCTGCTGCAATCCCCGTCCCACAGCCACAGCCCCCTACAACGCCAATCACTTCAACGGGGCCAAAGTGGCCATCATGCACTACGCTACCGATGTGCACCACCTCTGCAATGCCAACATGAACCTGCATTTCATCCGGAACGAAGGCACCCAAGCGGATCTAGTCCTCGTGCATCCGCCCCACTGGACTCCCGGCAGCGAGTCTCCCTCTGGAAGGTTGCTGCACAAAGCAGAGACGGCGTACGGCGCAAAGTTGATTCCCATCCCGGGGCTGCGCCCTCTGGGGGACAAGGGTAGGTTTACTGTACATACAACTGCCATTCCACCACAAACTAAACAAACCCCGTAACAGTCAACTGGACAGACTACACCAAGCTGCTAGCATTCAACCTAACACAGTACGACCGCGTGGTAGTCGCAGACGCAGACGGGATGTTCCTCCAGGCATGATCTCCCTGGTACAGACAGTCCAGCAACTACCGACCTTACCTACTAATAATGCCCGTATCGCATAGAACATCGACTCCCTCTTCCGACTGGACGCCGCTCCGCTCGCCGCGCCCCGCGCCTACTGGCTCGGCCCCATCGACGAGACCATGCAACTAACCCCTTCCTTGATGCTCATTCAGCCCTCCGCCACCGAATTCACCCGCATCGTGTCATCCATTCAGGACACCTACCATGCCGAATCCGAGAGGGAGATCATCAACCGCCTCTACCTCGACTCCGCAATCCTGCTCCCGCACAGGGACTACCTCCTCCCCACGCGCGAGTTGCGCACCGACAACCACACGGATTTTCTGGGCAGTCCCTATGCGCCCTGGGATACAAGCGAAATTCTCAGACAGGCCAAGTACCTGCTTTTCTCCGACGGGCCCGTCGCAAACCCCTGGCTGCGCACCCCGGCCGCGGTATGGGCGGGGGAGCAGCAGCCGGCCTGCGGGAGGGCGCCCTTGACTGGGGCGGTGGATTGTCGGGCGAGGGATCTTTGGGTGGGGTTATATAGGGGGTTTGTGGAGGAGCGGGAGGTATGTCGTTTCGTCATGTGGGTTGTTGTTGGTGTTTATTTTCGTGCACGCATGAGTTGACTGTATAGTATATGTAGATGGTCTGCGGACGGGAGTTCGTGCCTCAACCTCGCCGGAATTCGCGACAGGCCAGAGACGCTGGACATGCTAGCCGGCTGTGAGAAAGAACCGTCTACACGTGTTGATCATGGATGCTGAGGAGCGATAATAAGAAACTCCTGCGATGGCTCTGGTAGAAAAAGTAATTGTACAATTCAGATGGGGCAGAAACGCCGATCGTATCAAACCCATCTATGGGGTATCGTTACCTCTACCTCGAGTATATAATCACTCTTGCGGCGGAGCATATCAGCTACAAGCAATGTCATTAAGACTCATTCGAATAACATATAATCAGGCAGGAAAAACGGTAATCTCATTCCGTAAAAGAAACTACATAGTTAAGCACCCCGGCTCAAAGCCAAATCAACAGCCACCAACTCCGAAAACTCAGTCGCCGTTCCGCAGCGCAGAAAGCAACTGCCAATGGGAAGGTACGCTGGGAGACTCAGTGTCGTCATTGGCGGCGTGGGGCTCGACCTGGCCCGGAGCCTGCGCTGCGCTGCTGTCCCAAGGATGAGCGCCGGTCTCAGCCTGCTTGACAACATTGCGGATGTTCAACTTACCCCTAGCATAAGCGCTGGCGTAGGTTCTAGGGATGGAGTCGACCGAGCGAGAGCGCGAATGTCGACGACGCCGTCTAGACTTCTTGCGTCTCGACTGGGCGCTGATAATGTCCTCTCGGAAAGTCAGGAGGTTAGCACGGTGGACTGGGAGGACGAGGGTGTCCTGAACAGATGACTGAGCAGACATCTGAGTGTTAGCCGTCTGCGTCACCGGTTCGGTACGCGCCGGCCACCTAATCGCATTAACATTCTCCGCCATCTCGAAAAAGAACCTCAAAATTGTAAACTCATCAGCCCACCAGTCCCACTCACTCTCCCCCCTGCACGTCCACCGCGCGGTGAAGCGCTCACCCGCCGAAGGACACCGGGCGTTGGTCTGGAAAGTCCAGAAGACGACCTTGTGGTTACGGACAACACTCCCGCCGGCCAACATCATTGGGGGTGGGATGGCGTAGCTGGGGTCCGATAGGGCCTGGTTCCAGAACAGCCGTAGCTTGCGCAGACACCAGATGGGGCCTGCGTCGGGGGCGTTGATGAAGTAGAAGAAGGGGCGGTGTTGGGTGAAGGCCGCGATGGTTTGGATGGGGTCCGAAGCTGGAGTCTGAGTCTCACCGCTACCCCCCCGGGGGACTTCCTGGATGATGTCGAGGAGGGTGTATTGGCCCAGCGGGTAGAGACGGCTGGTGAGGCGGTCTTGCCAGATGGGGTGGTCAGGGATGGCTTCTTGAGCCATCTCGGTCTTCGGTAAGTTATTGTTGTAGTAGTGGGAGTTGGAAGGGTGGAAGAGGATAGAGGGCACCCTTTATAGCTGTGAGCCACGTCCACTCATCTGCGTTGTCTGAGAATCTCAAATCCTTGTCGCGAACCTCCCCCGCTCGCAGCTAAGCTGTAACTCTCCGCTCTTAAGAGACTGTACGGTATTGTCTTGTCAGCACTGCGAATGAGAATCTCCAGGGAATTTGTCTTTAGCAAATGACGAGGTGCAGGTACTGGCATTCAGGTGACAGACCGGAAGGGGTGCATCCAAGTTTGCAGTCACAAGAAACGCGCAAGTGCGCCAATGCCACTCAGTGTCTTTAAGACTAGTCAAAGGGGTGGCATCCAACGAGTCTACGGACTCCACGAGCTTGACAGCGATTCTAGCAAAGACAAAAAGCTTTATTCGATGATATAACATGAGCTCCAAGACCAAATCCCAAACACCCAAATACAGCATCAATCGTATCTCATGCTTCCAGTACTATGAACAGCATATCCTAAACTCAAAGGTTTGTACATGAATCTATCCCTCACCCCCACTCCCATCTAATAAGCCAAGAACATCGTCACAGCAAAAGCCAACCCCGCGGCCGTCCGGTGCAACGCACTCTTGCTGGAGCCGCTGGTCGTAAGATACATGCTGGGCTCATACTCGGTCGGCGTGGTGCTGTTGGTCGTGCCGTTCCAGCAGTAGTCGTTGAAGCACGTGGTACAAATGTCCGGCAGGGTGGTGTTGGTGCGGTAGGTCGAGCGCTGGAGGATGGCGCAGGCGACGCACGAAGTCCAGTTCGAGTCCAGGGTGCCGTTGCCGCGCGTCACCACGTTGTAGCCGTTGGTGATGACATTGTCCCGCTCATCATCAGAGTAGGTGAGCTTGAAGGTGGAGAAATTCGAGTCGTAGGTGTAAGGCGAGTTGGCCAGGTAGACAACGAGCGGGGCGGGACCGGACAGGTTCTTCGGGTCACAGCCGAAGAACGTCGGGCGCTTGTTCAGGCCCAAGTTGACAAAGGTGTTCACGTCAGGGACAGGGGGGAAGATGGTGCCGTTGCCAATGCCCGAGCTGTTCAAGCTACGCTCATAAGTAGCCACCAGCGAGGTACCATTGGGCCAGTAGGAGTCGGTATCGGCGGACGAATCGATCGCGAAGATCACGTCGACTGCACGGATGGGTTGAATGAGGGGGTGCAGAGGGATGTTCTCCAGGTCCTCACCGCCGTCGACGACGTCGAGAACGGAAGCGGTAGCGTAATCTTCACTGGAATCCCGGTAGCCGAGGAACGGATTGGGAGAGTAGACGGCAATATCATCACCCCGCTCACCCAGATCCTCGAGAATGTCGGTCAAGGCAGTCTTGAAGATCGTGGGGACGTCGGTGCTGTTGATGTCCAGCAAGAACTCGTTGAAGAGGGTCGAAGAGGAGCCCATGATGAAGCCGGCATTGTCAAAGCCACGCACGCAAGTCCCGTTCTCCGACACGCTGCCGTTCCTGAAGGTGGAGCCCAGGTATTCCAAGGGGGCGAAGGCATAGACCGTCGGATCCCAGGAGCCAAACTCCCACGGAGTCACCTCGTAGACAGTGGCATTGGTCTCGATAATGACCTCGCCGGGGTTGCGACCGTCCATCACGACAATGGGCATGGGGTACTGGCCATTCTTGAAGTCGTCCATCAGGGAGATGGACGACCAGGTGTAGGAGGCACCGCCGTCATCGGTGGAGGTGTTGACCAGCTGGAAGGAAAGAGCACGGCCCCAGTAATCGGAGAAGGAGGTGTTGAAACCGGCTCCCGCCTTCCCATCCACCTGGTTGGTAATGGTCTTCCAGTACTCATAGGTGCTCAGAACCTGAATGGTGTCGTAGTTAGGGCCCTCCAACAGAGACTTAGAAAATCCCCAGACACGATCGCTGGCTTGCAGGTTGCTGATGCTGGAGAAGTTGTTGACAAACATGGAGCCAACCAGCCAGCTACCACCACTCAACCCAGCGACATAGGTGGACGACTGCAGCAAACCACCGAGCTGGCCCGAGTTGGTGGAGTTCTCCGTGCGGCTATCAAAGGCCTTGAGGCCACCGGCGCCGTTGGTGAGCGCACGGTAGCCACCACCCGAAGCGGCCACGGCAATATTCGGGATGTTGGAGATGTTGCTCGAATGGGTGGTGAGATAGGAGGTGACGTCAAAGCCGCTGAGGTTCATGCGGCCCAGGAACTCCTTCATGGGCTGCAGGGTGGCGTTGCGGCGCACCTTGAGCCATTCGGTCTCGTTGGTGGACAGACCATTGGCATCACGGATGCTGGGCCGAGTCGACGGGCAGGTCACGTTATCGGGCGTGTAGCCTTCGGGAGCATTGGGAAGCGCCCGGACAGCCAGCTCAACAGCGGCAGGAGGCAGAGTGGCGGCGTTTGCGACGCCAGCCACTGCCGCAACGATCAAAGACAGCTTCATGATCGACAGGGGAGCGGCGGACAGGGGGAGGGAAACCTGACCAGTGAAGGGGAGAGAGGGCAGATCAGAGGAGAGAAAGAAAGAGAGGGAAGGATGCAAAACGACCGCGATCATTCCCTTATATTCGAGCCAGCAGGCGATCTGCGGACCCCCCGGAAAGCCTTGGGCGATGCAGCTCCACTGGGGCCGAAAGAAAATGAGCTGAAAGATGGGTCTGCATGGCTGCTCACTAATCGGCTAAACCCGAATGCCAGATCGACCGTGTGTGTATGCTGGAATTATGCCAGTGCCAGCTGCCGCAGTGCCCAATGCCCAGGCAAGGGCTAAGGGGGGGGGGGAGTCCGCCATTCCGCAGGCAGCAGCATATCTCCGATAGCCGAAGGGGGACCCCCGAAGTTATCCCTGGATGAATTGTTCGCGCGCACCACTGGGTCCGTCGGACCCCAGAAGTCGGCGAGGTGATGTCACGGACCAAGAAGATGCAAACCTTTGTGGGATGTGGACGATGAGGGGGGGCGGTGGGTAAACGAATCAAGGGCAAGTCAATACGAGTACGGCGAGAGAAAAGCATTAGAATGCATGACTAGTGAAGTTCGACCCCTGAATAGTGGAGGAAATTTGCCAGCGAGAGGAAGAGAGGAGGAGTTCGTGCGATGAAACAGATCGAATCAGGCAGTCAGGCAACCCGCTGACTGATTGACTAGTGCTGAATCAGCAGAGAATTTTTCTGACTTTTTTTCAGACTCTGTGGCTAGTGTCTGAGGTAAACAGTGGCAGTGCATGCATAAGAAGCACATGACATCATGTCCACTATTATGCATGCCCAGCATAACTTGACTAATTCAGTCAACAACTGCGCTGATTACATCACCACCACCGCCATGACATCACCAGTTGGCAGCCTCGGGGGTCGATCTCTTGCACCACAAGCGGTATATAAATCCCCCTCTTGGGCAAATAACTTCTTCAGAGACATCTATCAATTCATCTCCCCTCCCTACATCTACAAATTTAGATTCATAACACCATCACATCAATCACACATAATGGACAAGCTCAGTGGACTCGCTTCCAAGCTCGGCGGCAGCGGCAGCAGCAGCAACAACAACAACAACAACAACCAGCAGGAAGACTACGTCGATAAGGGTACGTACTTCTTCCCCCCCCCGTGGGCCCTTGACTTTTTCCATTCCCTGCTTCCCCAGCATTCCTCAATTCATCATGCCACTGCATGACATCTGCATCATGCATCTGCATATATGTGCCCACACCCTACCCTAATTGACCCACGGAGACCCATATCCCCCATAGCTTTTTTCCCTACTAACCGACCCACTAAACAGGCGTCGACAACATCGAGTCCAGATTCGGTGCTGACCCCCAGAAACTCCGCTCCACCAACGAAAAGGCCACCGACTTTGCTCGCAACAAGTTCGAGAGCTCCACCGGGTAAGTTTTCAAGCATTAGCAGTCCCTACCAGTCTTAGTTCCAGTCTGCCCACAGACTGGCAGGCCTGCAGCAGGGAGGACAGCACAACTGACTGGGTCTAGCCGCGACGTTCCCGACAAGATCTCCAACTAGACGCGATGCCTTCGTGCGATGATGTTGATGACGTGATATTTTAATATGCTGTCGATGATGACGTACGCTACTTGTGTCTGATATATGCTATGACCTAGGAATGAATACATAATGTTGTCTGACTTGATGTGATGATTATGGTACGCGTAGGCTGTGTAGACTAGTTTTACTACATTGATGGAGACTGCTTTTAGCTACTAAAAGTAAGTCATGTCTGGACAGGTACTTAGTGCCCTGGGTCAGAGTAGGAGGGGAGGAGGGCGACAGGGAGGTGCTCTCAGACATGGCGTAGGCTACGTCATTACACTTTCTGACCTCATCACATCAAACGCGATCAACGCGATCGAAATGTACCACAAAGATAATATTGGAACTGAGAACCTGCGCAAGCCGTGGAGTTCAATCGGAAGAATCGGACTTGATGCTCAGCTGGGCTTTCACTCCCGGCAATTTATGTCCCGCGGCCAGGAACAGCCCATCCCCACGAGATTCCCGATAAGCATTTAGCAACCGCAAACTTGAGGAAGAGATTCAAGCAACCCTTCCCCGTGGTACTATAGTAGAATCGTCTCATTGTCCCACGGTCCCCGGAAAGCTGGATCCGAGGGGATCCTCGTAGACCAGACTTGAGCAACTGGAACGCCAGGTACCATCGAACCCGACAAAAGCTTGTCCGTCTCGTAATGTGACTGCAAGGGCACCGACATACATGCAGCAGATATGTAGCACCCTACAGACCAAAAGCAAACCATCACTCCATCATCGTTTCACCTGCATCCGTCGACTACATCCGCTGAAACGGCTGCAACAAGCTCTGCAATCCCGGCTGCTTCTTCGGCATGAGATACCGCGTGTTCATCCGACACAGCCGCAACCAATTCGCCGCCGCCTCGGGCATCGGCTTGTCAGCCAGACGATACGAAGCCTCTAACCGTTCATAGTACCCCTGGGCCTGGACGTAGTCCTGGGCCTCGAAGTACAGCTTGGCCAACAGATCCAGCACGGACTGGGCCTCGACGTTATCAGCGCCCATGCGGACCTCGCACCAGGCCAGATACCGCAGCAGCCAGGGGGTGGCGAGCTCGATGTGCGAGCGGTGGGCGCCGACGAACGTGCCGACGCCGATGCGGCCCTGCGAGGCGTACATGACGCCCATCAGCGCGACAACCGCGAGTGTCTCCGGGTGCTCGTGACCTAAGTACTCCTCCGCCGCGGCGAGGGCGCGACGGAAGGTCTCGGACGCCGCGCTGGTGCCCTCGGGCTCGAGCATCTGGCTGGCGCCCAGGAGACGCACGCTCTTGATGGTGAGCGGGTGGCGCGGGCCCAGCAGCTCGGTCATCTCGCGCGAGACCGCCGCAAAGACCTGCACCATCTGGTCCACGGCCGGGTTGAAGCGCATCGTGATCAACTCCGTGGTGTTGTTACTGCGCAGCGCGACCATCTGCTCCGCCGTGTCGAGCACCGAGGCGAAAGTGCGGATGTGCGTGGGGCCTAAAATCTCCCTCAACCGGTCGGTGACTCTCTCCGCCGCCTGCACCGCCTCCTGTCGGCGTTCGAGCACCCCGTACGCGATCGCGAGGCGGCGACGCGTGCGCAGCGTCTCGAGGGCATCCTCGCCGATGGTCATTTGCTGGCGCGCTAGGACGTTGGCACAGACCGACTCGGCCTCCTGGCCTCTGCCCTGGTTGGCGAGGATCTCGCCCATCAGGCTCTCGGCCCTCATGGCGAGCGGGTGCTTCAAACCAAACACCCGTTGCGCGTTGCTGGAGACCCACTGCGCCCACTCGGCGGCTTTGGTGTAGTAGGACGATTCGAGGTCGATTTCAGCGAGATGGTAGCCGACCTCCAGGGTGCTGTGGTGGTCGGCGCCCAGGACGCGGAGATGTTCCTGGAAGATCGCGTATTCGAGCTTGCGAGCTTCATCCCAGCGCCAGTGATTCTTGTGCTCCGCCGCCTGGATGGACCGTGGGTCGTTGTCCACTGCGGTGAACAATGCGCCGACAACACGTTTAGGGACCGGTGGTGGGCTCTGTGGTGAGGGGTAGGGCATGCTGCTATTCAATGGGAGGCGAGAAGGAACGGGAGGCGCTGGGTGCGGCGCGGTCGAGGTCGTCGAGGGCTGGGGGATGTATCTCTGTTCCACGACCAGCACCTGGTCGGCGATCTGTTTGATGTTGCCTTTGATCATCTTGTACATGGCGCCGCGGGCCCCAACCTTGCACATCTGCGAATGGTCGGCGTCTAGCTTTAGCCGGGTCTCGCGTTGTCCGGGAAGCCCCAGCACGGCCGACTCCTCGTCCACGACCAACTGTCAATGTCAGCCAGCCCGCCCGCCCTCGTACCGTTTATTTCTAGTGAAACCTACATGGCTGACAGAGGCCGGCCCAACGCCTCCCAACAGGACCTCTTTTCCCTCGACAAAACTGATCACGCGATAATCCTCCAACTGGTGCGAGAAACGACTCGTCATTTGTCGTGTAAAGAGCGAGTTATGTTCTAGACTATCCAGCAAATCGTTACTCGCGTGACCGTTGGCCACGAAGCGCGCCACCTTGGCCGCGATCTTGCCCAGCTCGACGCCCTTGGTGCCTCGGTGCGGACAGCCAAAGAAGACCAGGCCGTAGGTGTTGTTGCGGATAGCGTTGTATTTGGGATCCTCGTGGGCGTTCAACAAAGCCTATCATCAAGGTAAGTTCTAGGCACAGCTCTTGCACCCCATCATGACGATCGCAGTGAACCTACCTGTTTGATGACCAAGCCTCCCAGGCTGTGGCCGACGAAAATGATCTTGGGTGGCCGCACATTCTGCATCTCATGCGTCAGCGCTTTGACAAGTTAATCGAGCCCGCGACTCACCATCTGTGGGTTGCGCTCGAGATCCAGCAGGTTCAGCAGCGTATTTGCATGGTCCTTCACACTGGCGGTGGACATGCTCTGCGGGTTGGTGATGTTGGAGTTGTACCCATACACGAAGACCCGCGCCTGGGGGATATCCTGCGGAAGATAGTCCCGGGGCCAGAAGGTCCCATTCTGATGGGTCCATGTCTCGTAGGGATGGTCGGCGCGTCCCCGCGGGTTGAGGCCATGCACAAAGACGAAGCTAGACGTAGCTGTCAGTATCTGCCTGACGGTTGAGCTGTAACATGACGACGAACTCAATCTTGGGAGGTCCTTGGGGGGTGAACACCTCCTCCAAGAATGGAAACTCGTGACCCGAAGTGTCCTCCATTGTAGACAGCTTCGCAGCGGTTAGGACATCAAATCCCAGGAACCATATCCCAGGAAGTCAGTAAAAATGTGACCACATAAGCAGCAGCAAGAGAGGGACTTGGGGAGGAGATGAAGGAGTCAACCCTCAGCCGCAGACCAGGGTTTCTGCTGCCCATCAGGTGATGGCTGAAGATGCACTGCCGTACCCCAGCAATCCGCACCCTATCGGTTGTGGTCACCTCTGAGACATTCGTATACGAGTGGTACTGACTGGAATGCTCCTCATATCGCAGACCCTGGCGGGCAAACCATAATCAGAAGTGCGGATGTTGCGCGTGCGCGGGTGTACGAAGACCGTGTGGCCGCGGATAGGCCAGAGGAATACGAAGGCTGCATGGCGGTGCAGATTGGCACGACGCTTACTCCTTGGCTCGAACCGAACCCCCTGACAGTGACCGATATTTATTCGTTGACACTATCTCCGCAGACAGAAGCTGTTTGGTAGGTTATGCTATCGTGAATCAAGGGTAGTAGCAGATCATTACCCGAACAATTGAACAATCCCACCCCAGCCTTGCTGCAAAAGGCCGTCCTCCCATTACCACGCACCCACCACTCCAGCAATCGGAATATCAATTCCCGTGGTACTATATGAACTGCAATCACTCAGCAGGTACACATAGGCACCGCCCAACTCGTGGGGATCGGCCAGGCGCGGCATGCCCCCGTAGTTCTCCATCTTCTGACCCCAGTCGGGCGATTGCTCGACATAATAGGTCATGGCAGTGCGCACAAATCCAGGCGAGATACTGTTCACACAGATACTGTTCACACAGATACTGTTCGCACGGATACCGTGTCTGCTCCATTTTATCGCCAAGGTGTGGCACATGTTACGAACTAAACAGCAGATGCAGCCTGGTCAGCCGTGGCCTTTGGTTTAGCGCAAAATCGTGTCCTGATTGTCCTGAGCCCACTTACGCCATTTGGTCGATACGAAGTCATACTGCCGTCATGACAATCGACCCTTTAATTCCTAGCTCGATGAATTTGCGAGCGACGATCTGGGCACAGAAATAGGATCCAAACACCTACTTTAGTCAGTACATCTGAGAAGAAAATTCCAAGGTCAGACACTCACGTTCAAATTGAACAGCTGCTCCAGCTCAGGCTGCTCGAACTGGAGAGCCGGTTGAGGTTTGGTCATGCCTGCAATTGGCCACCAGCCCATCGATTCTCCCCGTCTCCTCGACAATCTGAGTGATTGCCTTCTCGACACTCTCTTCTGATGTGACATCCGCCTGTAGACTGTGGAAATTGGGGTACCGCTTTTGCAGAGCCAGTGCCTCCTCTCCCGGCTCCATGAGATCAAGCGAATAGACGTGTTGGGCTGCGTTCGCAAGGCACACTTCCGCAATTCCAAGGCCGATGCCTCGGTTGCCGCCGGTTATCGCGACGACTTTACCGGATAGAGTAATCTGCCAATTGAAATCAGAGGGGGGCATTGTGCTAACATAAGGCGCCGCCGGTGCGCCCGTTGTGGTCTCCTCGTTCGAGTGATTTGCGCTGGCAATAGGCGACATGATGTCCGATCGTGCCCACGGGTAGTGTACAAGAAGCAGAAAGCTCAGTGCTGGTGATACAAGGATGGTCCCGGAATGTGAACCTAGTGACTCCGCCGGGCTTGAAAGCAGATCTCCTTCTTTGATACGGAGTATGCCCCTGGAATCATGTCATAGAACGAGCAAAGACTCCGTCTTCGGCTCGAGGCTCCCAGCAATCAGCCCTTGCCATGTCAGCCGACGGAATGCTTGAGGTTACGTCAACTGGGCCCTTGACCCCGTAGCCCTGGCCCGGCCCAAAATTAGGGCCCGGGAGCAGGGCGGACGAGGAGCCTGATGCCCCCACGATCGCGGATCGACTCCGGCACGGCGGACGCCTCGGCTCGAGGCCGAACCCCCACGATCTCGAGCCCCGCCGGCAAGTGGGAAGAATAATTCAGGAAAAAATCATCTGTTGTGGCGCGAAAACAGCGAAAGCTCTTAGGGCGTGATACTACTTGTTTTGAGCATCAGATACCGAACTTGTCGGTTGGGTATGGTCCAGTCACTTCTTGGGATAGTGGCATTGCTATACGTATATTCCGTACCTCAATCGGATTGGGGATGGCGAGACATGGGCGATCGAGTCCAAATGAGTCTATCGGGATTTCATACATCATATCTTCATACTATTATACATTCGACTATCGGTCCGGGGACAACCGCCTCGACGCTCAGGCAACGCCTGCATCGTCACAGTGTCAAAGCGCACGGCAAAACCCTGGGGGTGGCTCGGCGTGCCCAAAACTGCGCTCATTTCTAGCGTCCTGGGGCGTGATGGGCCTTCCTTTGGTATGACGGCGCGTCTCCATTTGGCATTTGTAGGCGATGTGGGGATGTGGGTTTAGCCGAAAATCGGCCTCAATGATTGTTTGAGGAGATTGCCGAGGGCCAACCCGGCCTTTTAACCCCCGCAAATCCCGCCAGGCCCTCTTTGGCATACTCCGCCTCGAGGGTCTCCCGCAGAGAATAGCTGGGCCAGCACACTAGGCGTTCGAACCTATCGATTAACTGGAGGAGTGCGGCTCGCTCCTGAGGAGTGTGTACACTCATTCCCGCTACGTGAGTCAGTTTATCGCTCTCCGCACGCGTAGGGGAGTGAGCTTACCCCCGAATAAACATTGCAGCGCTGTCATGGCCCCGGCTAGTTCGTCCTCCGCTACGGTCCGCGCAATACCGCAGATGGTGTTCACCGCGATTGTGAGCATTTGCTGTGCTGCTTGGTAGTCTTGGACAAGCCCGGTCGAAGGACGATGAGAGATGACCAGGATCCTAGCGAGACTGTGCACCTGAAGAGCGGCTGCATACGGGGGAGGATGGACCCAGATGGGTGGGAAGACATCCGTATACTGTACAGTGGGGAGGGGGGTGAATTCCACCGGCAAATGATCCTGCCACTCCTGCAGCATACAGAGCAGCTCGTTACCTCTTTCCAGCCGGCGCTGGATGTCTTTGCACGCGGATTCCTCGTGCGAGGCGTAATTGATGCATTGGGCAAGCAGATATGATGCGAAGCAAGCTAGCTCCGGGGCGTTCCGGGAAGAAAGGGGCCGCTGGGGTGTCCAGAAACTGAACAGACGCCGCCGTTGGCGCATGGCAACCCAGGCATCCTGGCGCAACCAGCTCCACCATACCGCTTGGCGGAGGCCACCACAATCGCCGTGGTTGTTCTGAAACCTCTGGATCCAGAACACGCCCTTCAAATGTCGCTCCCAGTCACTGTTCGACCCATCGACCATCTCATAAGTGCTGATCAGCAAGGCGGTGGCTATGAGCTCCCGACTCGATGCATAACTGGGATACTGCATCGCTTTATTCAAATAATTCAGGGTTTCGTAGTAGTATTGGACGGCGAGGTTGGGATCCACCTCGGGAGGTTCGGCGAAACGGCCAGACGACCCAGCGGCGACAAATCCCGCGCCTCGTCCTCGATCTTTCTCCGCATGCCAGATAAACAGGTGGCGGGCCGAGAGAGCCAGAAGGGCTTTCATGAGACCCAGATTCCTTACGGCGAGTTGGGGGACTGTCGATTCGATGTGGTTCCCAGGGTCGGTAAAGTCAAACCAGCAGCTCATATGCCGCACAAAGTGGTCAAAGAACAGATGCTCCAATTCCGTCAGCTCTATCGGGGCCGGAGTTGTCCATGACGAAGGGTGATCGAGGCGAGCCGGCTGTTTGTCGGTGGCTGATGTGGGCAACCGATGCTCGAGCTCTGGATCGCGCTTGAAAGCCGCCGCTTGGAAGCTTTCACATTCCCTGCGGGACCGTGGAAGGAAGTTACTCAGAGAGATCGTTCCTGTAGAATGGTCTTCCCGTCGGTACGAGTCCCCCGGGGCCGGAGACAGGACCAGACTTCGATCTGCGTTGACCGCATCGTTGGCCAGAAGCTCGAACCAGCTGAGAGGCGCCAGTCGCGAAGAGACGGAGGAGTCGGTTGCAGGCGAGGGCGCTAGATCGTGGGTAGATGTCGGAGACGTAAGATGGGTATTCGGAAGAGGTGCGAAGGCCGGGGTCAGGGTGTGGCTTGTCGAGACGCCCGGGGATGCTTCGATGGAGGCGGAGTGCGGCAGAGGGCGTGGGGGCGCGATGGAGGACAGTTCATGGGAGGCGAGGACAGGTTCGACAGCTGGCCCCGAATTGGAGGGTTGGGGCTGAGCTATGGTGGTACCATAGACACAATCGCGTTTACCTTTGGCACACGGACCGCATTGGGGACGAGCCTGCGTTCGGATCAGCACCCGCAGCATACGGCAGATTGGCCGGCAGAACAAACTTCATCGCACTTGACATGACGCTTCTTGCACACCAAGCTTTTTGATAATGCTCATAAATCAGTATAGTCGGTCGGAAGCGAGGCGGAAGAATGGATTCGGAAGGAATATTGTAAGAGAAACTGACCAGCCAGTGGTGGCCCGCAATCCACGGCCTCGGGATTTTCGCGGCCGCCGCATGCCACGCGAAATCCCTTGCGTAGCATCGGCCATGTTGCCCTCACATTATCCGAAAAGCATGAGCGGCAATTTGCATTTGCGCCACTGGGTATACAAAAATAATAAATTAAAAAGCAAACCGGGGGAGTGTGACACAGTGAAAGCTGGAACAACAATTTGGGAGTGGTGGATTGGGGGGGGGGCGGGTGGACAGATCGCGACGAGGTTCAACAATTGCCGACTCAGGCGGGAGTGGAGCAAGCGAGAAAAAGCCGAAGCAGAAATCCCCTCTTTCCGTCAGCCAATGCAGTGGGTGGGATTCCGCAGGGCAAACCCGCGGAAGGACGCAAGGGAGGGAGGAGACTCGTATCGAGGCAGGGTGCATTCATGGGACGAGGAGTGCGTGCATGCATGCATGATGTGATAGCCGTGGTTCTGCCGTGGTTGTGTGGTTGATTTAGCTGGGGCTTCGGAATGCTTGCAATTTAAGCATAAATCTTCGTGGAATCCATCCCAGCTGCTGGGTGACTCGCTAGCGTGACAATGATCATTGTTACTCCCTGAGTCCCTGTCCATAATTCTACTCCCCAACCAGTGACCACAATGACTTGGCGGGCGCAGAATCGAACCCTGCAAATCTTGGCCGCGGCCGAGAAGGGTCGCTATGGTGTCCTGGCGGCCATTGTGTGAGTCGTGCACGAGAACTGTCATGGGCCGAGGGCTCACGATGCATCGAGTCAGATACAATATTGAACACATCACGGCCTTTGTCCGGGCGGCCGAAAACCGCAGATGCCCGTTAATCCTCCAGTTGTTCCCCTCGTCGCGGATACTCCTTATTTGATTCCATCATGGTGGACATGAGTCATTACGAGAGGGAGGAAAACCTCGCCAAGACGAGCACCTTGCGAGCATGGTGTCACGGGCGGGGCATCGCCGTTGAGGCGGAAACCGGGCGCATCGCGGGAGGAGAGGATGGAATGGTTGGGACAGGAGGTCTTGCGGGTAGCCTACACCGCAACACATTCCATTGTCAGTGCATGCTAACTGGTGTGGCAGGCATTCTCACCCAGGCCGAAGACGTAGAACAGTTTCTCGACGCTGGCGTTGATTTTCTGGCCCCCCAGCGTGGGGATTCTGCACGGCAATTCTGGGCCGAGAGGAGCCGAACTAGACATGAATCGGTCGGTCGCTGAAACATGCCAGGTGTTTTGATGGAGGCGTCATGGTGACTTGTGATAGGCTGCGTCAGGTCCATCGAGCATTGCATGGACGGGCGCGACTCGTCCTCCACGGCACCAACGACTTTTCGCCCGGAGTTGCGCCAGGCATCCGTCGAGGCGGGAGTCACCAAGGTCAACGTCAACAAGCTGGTTTTGAAGCCGTGGCTGGAGCATCTTCGCGAGACTGCGAGCAGCAGACCGCTGACACAGCTGATGGGCGAGGGGATTGAGTTGCTGACGGGCGAGATGGAGAAGTGGATGGTTGTGGGTGGGCAGCAGCGGGAAGGCGGCGCACTCAGACACACAATACAAACAAACATCATACGCCGTGGCCTGAGGCCATCGGACTTACTAAGTATGTACGGAGTCCCTTTCGTCTTCCTCAAACCGTCACAAGCAGTGACTTTATTTACATCTGTACCTCCCATCATCCTATATACAAGCCCTGCATCAAGCATCCCTCCTCCCTCCTTCAGTCCGCCCTCTACTACACAACAGGCCAGCCACTCGAAAAGTCGATCGTGTTCCAACCAAACAGCTTCTCATCATCCGCATACCCGATAGTTGTGTCGACGTAGTGGTAGTAGAGCACCGGGCCATGGGTCGGATCGTCGTACACGCCCCTGTGAATGTCAGTGATATTCCTCCAATCCCGCTCCCCACCGCGACTTACTGTCCACCAGGTCCATAGACCGTGCCGTGACTAGCGAGCACAATCGTGCCACCGCTCTCCGTGCAGGAGTTGCCATTCTTGTCCACCTGCGGGGGGGTCAGCTTTCCATCTCGCATCATTATCATCGAAAGTAAAGAGAACGTACAAATCCCCCGGTCGCCGAGCTGGAGCGACAGACCATGATCTTGTACTCCTCGCCCTGGGCCGGACGGGAGGTGTCGTAGCCACAGCAGATGCCCGACGAGAAGAAGAGGTAGTAGTAGCTGCCGTACTTGAACAGATAGGACCCTTCCTCCGAGTGGGTGCCCGTCGCATTGTAGGCGATGTTGTACGAGGCGGACCCGGCCGTCTTGAGGGGGGAGGCCATCTCGACCTGGTAAATGTCGTCCCAGAAGGAGCCAAACTGCAGATAGTAGGAGTCACCGTCGATCAGCAGGTTGCCGTCGATGGCGTTGTAGTCCTTCGACGAAGAGGAGGCGACGCCCACGGAACCATGGTCGGTCCAGGTGTTCAGCTCCATCGTGGTCGAGGAGGCAACCCCAATGGCGGAGTCTTGCGAGCCAAAGGTCGAGACAGAATACAGACAATAGTAGGTTCCATCCACATAACTCAAGTCCGGAGCCTTTTTTTTTTCTCAAATGGTTAGGACTAATTGACTGGGGACCCCCATGGGATGCAACCACTCACCCAGAGGTCGGTGTTTCCGTCGAGGTCGATCTTGGATCCCGCCGGCACCACAGATCCAATGGCGGTCCAGGGACCCTCGATGGAAGAGGCAGAGGCATAGGAAATCTCATTACCCGTCGAGAAGCGGAAGTACAGGCCATCCGACTCTCTGACAATCAGGCCTGGGTCATGGACGTTGCAGGAGCCGGAGCAGGAGCCGGGATCGGCGTAGCCTTGAGCCAGACCTGCCAGCAGCGGCACTGACAGGGCAGTGAGAAGAGAGTTCATGGTGACCGGCTGAAGCTGCTTGCTGCGACGATCGTTGCTTGCTCCATCATATTTCTGGTTTCGGGGAGGTGATTATATAGCTCTGGTAAAGTTACTCGAGTCAGGGGTGCTGGTGCCGCCGGACTGGAGGCTGTCACGGATGTCTCGAGATTGCCAGTGGTGGTGTTGAGACAGTTGGAGCATACGGAGCTGGCTCCGTGATACTTTGGAGGTTTCAAGACGGAGTAGTGGAAATAGAAAAATCCCGGGGGAGTATGCAAGTAGAGTACAAAGTAACTAGTGAATCTGCCGGCACTGTTGCGGCACTGGTGACTACCGAGAGTTTAGCGTCTCGGGTTAATACGAAGTGGCGGTTACAGAACCTCCGCCCTATAACAATAAACTAGCAATTGCCCTGCAGAATGGGGTTTGATTGTATCCAATTCGAGGAATTGTTGACTCGAATGCTTTGGAGAAACGAGTCAAGTACTCCGAGGTACTATTATTGCCAGGGTAGCTCCTCCTCATACAACAATCCGACCAAATCCACCATGTCAGGGGTCCGTGTGGCGGCCATCTTGTCCCGTTCAGGCCGAGGTTCCGTGCAGAGCTGGAGTCAGTGGACATCGATGAAACACTTGGACCACTATTTCTGTCTGGTCAAACTCACCGGTCGGATGTCACATCTTTAAATAACAGGGTTTGCTTGTCAGGACCAGACATTGACACAACGCTTGTGGCAGATAGTGTAGTCCACAAGGATCAATGGGGAGTAGTCCAGAGTGAACATCTCTCGCAGAGAGCGGAAATGAAAGGATTTGTTTTCGATTCCGCGATATCATCAACCTCATACTCAACACTAGAAGACTCCAGTACAGTACTATGCGCCACAAGCGCGCCACTGCAGGTCCTTGCATCAACCCGGGCCCCCACAAATCTGTACTCCACGTGAGGCACGGCTGTCAGCCTGATAGTCACGCGCCAGCCAAAGACTCATCCCACCAAGCCCTTCGTGCCTGCGGGAATTCCGAGATCGACACTTGCTTTGGTTGTTACTGGTGATCCCACCGGGACAAGCATTAAGGGAGGGGGGGAGAAGAGTTCAAGATTGAGTTCCACCAGTGGGATCCAATGGGAGATTTGTTGCAGTATGCGGGAAGGATGTGGGATGTAGCATAGCAGTAGTCGCAGTCTGCTCCGGTGGAGTGCTTACTGCAGGGTGAAAGGTAGCAGACTCAGTCTGAAGATGATGTCTTTTGTCACATTGAATTACCTCTTCCCCACTCACATATAGTATCTCTATACACTATCCATATACTATGTAGGTCCACACTGTATATATAGTGGAAAAGTGAGTCCCTTGCCATAACTAAACTCTTATAATCAATATTGAGAATCATACAAGTTAAGAACTCATTTGAAACTTCTAGAGATCGCTAGATAGGTATATACAACTGCTCACAGCCTTCGTAGATCAGTTTATACTTACCTATTCAGTACTAGTTGATGAACTACTGCTACTCTACCCCCATTGCACTAACTGGTGTATAGGAGATGATGACACGGCTAGGGTAAGAAACATCACAAAAGATCCACCATAACCCTCGTCAACGCCTCATCCTCAGCAGCCGACTCCCCCCCCAACCCCTCCGCCAACACGGCCACCCCCTCCCCACTGCCCTGCACCTGCGGATCGAAGTACAAGCCGCCCGCCATCTCAAAGAAACTCGTCAAATCCTCACAACTGTTGTGGTTCTGACCGTGGTCCCCTGGCGCACTGGAACCATCCGGATGCCCGGCGGTTGAGGCTAATGACCAGGGTATCTGCGTCATATGGGGGGGAAGATGGCCTCCGGTTCCGGCTCCTGCCCCTGCGGCAACTCCTGCTCCAGCGCGATGCGATTGGGTCGGAGGGAAGTGGGCTGGGGGATAGCCCTGCGCGTCCGCGAAGGCTGCTGCCGCTGCCGCGGTCGCACCACCGGGAAGAGACTCCGGGGGACCTGTGCGAGTTCGATCGGCCGAAAGGTATTTGGTCCCGCCCTTGCCGAGATTCAAATTCAGCCTGATGAGCTTCAAACTCCGTATGATCTTCTGCAGACGGCGCGAGGTTCGTGCTCGTGTCGACGACCTCCTCACCATCTCGACCGCCTTATAGAACTCCGGACGACAGACCTGACGGAACCGGGCGGGTGCATGCAACACGGCCAGGAAGAGGGCGGCCAGGGCCGAGAGAAGAAAGTAGTTGAAGGGCTCGGGGCGTTGGTAGTAGATATCGGAGACGCGACTGAAGTAGTCCAGCATGTGGATGGTGCTCTTGGCGGTCTCCACGGCGATGGAGGCGCCGGCGGCGCTGTCGGCGATGCTCTCACTGCTTAACAAATATTGCCGGTAGACGAGAATCCGGAGCTGGTTGGCTTGCAGCGCCAGCAGGACCTGCAGAGTCATCATACTGTCTGCGTGGGTCGAGGAGTCGCCGCCGGCGGCGGCGGCGGCGGCGCGGTGGGAGGGGTCGAAGCGCAGTTCGGCGGGGATAGACTGGATCCATTGCTGAACCTGGAAGTCGAGGTAGGCGCAGTAGTCGGTGGTGGCGGCGCGGGGCCGTGTGCGCCAGCCAACGACCAGACCCCAGATCTTGGAGCTCAGGCGGGCGTAGGAGATCATGCAGGTCAGGTAGGGGGTGGCGGTGCCGGGCTCGGGGAGATTGGTGTCCATGTCTGCGTCTTGGATGGCGAAAGGCAGGCCAGTGCCGAACGACCACTTGCGGTCCAGCACGTAGATGCACCAGAAGAGCCGACTGGCCCAGGTGCGGTGCAGTTCGCCGGGAAAGACGCCGCGGGTCTTAAGCCAGGTCTCCTGGCAGTGCAGCCCTAACTGCATGGATCCGCGCACCGCCAGACCAATGGTTCGCCAGGCGATGACCTCGTCGTCACGGTAGGCATGAAAGATTGACTGGATACCGCGATAACCTTTTCAGCATGCGACACGCCTAGCGAGTCCAGAGCAAAGCAATAATCGCAACACTTACCAGCAAAACTAGAATCAACAACTCTTTCATATCCACCTCCGGCACCTTCATGCGGGTGCCAAACTGATCCTCCACGCGATCGGCCAGCAAGGCTGCCCGCTCGCTGCGTCCATGCGACTCAGCCAACAGCGCAGTAGCAAGGAGAATCTTCAGTACCTCTGCATCTCGCGCAAAGAACCAGTCGTCCTCAGCTGCGCCCACGACCGCAGGAGACTTGGACAGGCCCCCGTCGCGAAAGTAGTCCACCACATACGCCCGCACACTGTCCAGATCCACACAGGGGTAGATCAGCCCCACGGTGTGTTCATACACGGTGACCAGCCGCAACGCCTCCGTCAGCCCGAGACAGTGTAACGGATCGCCATCGCCATCACCAGCGGGAAGAGGACTCGGTGCAGCCGTGGACTCTAACTCCTCGTCTTCATCGTCATCACCATCATCATCATCATCATCATTTCCCTCCTCCTCGCCCTCAGCATCACCCGCGGGCAGAGGTCTCTTCCGCTCTGACCCCACAATTCCAAACTCCGCACTCGTCGGACCGATATAGGTGGGCGATTTGGGCCGGTTCATGATGCGATGCAGGCCCGCACGCGCCGAAGTAGAGGAAATAGTCGAGACGGTCGTGGGGATGTGATTGGCCGGGGTGGTCACTCCAGCACCACCACCACCACCATCAGGCCCCCCATTCTGCCCCTCCAGAACCCTCATTCTAGCAGCCATAGCCCGCATCTCCCTTTGCAGCGCCTCAATCTGCAAATCCACTGTGCGTAACCGTGTCGAAAGGATCCTACACAGGGTCAGCCACGCCATCCACCCGTCAGACATCACGACCCTACCTATCACTGCTAGTCTCCTTCCCCACCCCCGCTTCAGCCCTAAATCGAGGGGTATTCGGAAGCGAAGTGTACCCCGCCGCATGAGCATTCGGCGCATATACGCAACGGACCTGGTCCCGCACGCAGCGCGAACAGACGGTCTCGCCGCTGCATTTTAGTTTGCGGCGTTTGCATTCGTTGCTGTTTCGATTGGTTAGTGTAGGTAGGTATGATGCTGAGTGCACGATGAAAGGGGAGGGAGGTGATCCATCTGCATTGCTCAGTGCACGATGAAAGGGAAGGGAGGTTGTCAAGTCGGGTGAAGACTTGGTGGTATGTGCAGAGTAGTCAGAGTAGCCAGCCAAAAAGAGCCTGAACCACAAGAGAAAAACACATAAGGGAAAAAAAAAAAAAAAAAAACCCACCAAGCAACCTGCGTATATTTAGCCCGTTTCTTGCTCCGAGGAGGTTCCGGGGTGTGTTGCTGCTCTTTGCCTCCTGGTGCTCGCTCTCGCTTAGCATGCTGATACTGATGCTGCTCGGTACTTTCCATGAGGTTTGACAGCAAGAGTTCCGAGGTGAGGCTCAACCTGCAGAGAGGCTCTTGCTTGCGAGACTAGGTGCGTCTTAGGGTGAGGGTGAATTGAATTGGGGAGACCGCAAGACAAGAAAAACTAGTTCGGAAAGGCTTGCGGGAGGCGGTGCGGAATGTTTGTTCCGAGCAAATCCGAGACTACATAAATCGTTAAGCACGCAGTCCGGTGGGCTACTCTATCACTGGCAATCCTATCATAAAATTGCATTTACCATTCACCATGAGATCGTCGCTTGCAGTCCGAGTTCGTAGGTGACAATTTGCATTCAGCCCTGTATATCCCCACTAAATGGCTCTGAGCTGCCAATATCGTTCCTACTAATGTGCCTGAGTATCCAAATTCAAATCCATACACAAATCAATACATATACATTTCATAGTCATAAGTCATCCATAGTCCAGTCTAGATGTGCGCCTTGCGGCAGCACTCCTTATCCACGATCCGCGAGGACACATTGCGGTCCGAGGGCACATCCAGCGACGGGTTGGCCGTGAAGAAGTCCGCCGGGCGGATCATGAGCTGGAAGATCTCCACCGGCCTGATGACTCGTTAGTATGGTGAACACTTGGTACCAATGATTTAGATCCACTTACATCACAGGCCAATCCTCCACGCGAGGGTTGTGAGTAATGCCAAACGTGCTCCAAACCACCACGTCGGTGTCCTTGACCGAGTCGCCTCGCTTGACTGCATCCGAAACACCTTCAATCTCCTCCTGACTCTGCAGCGTGTACCGGCCACCAGCGTACAGCTCGCCATCCCGGTACTTAGTGACCCAGACGTGATGCTGCGCAAACTGCGCACGCCGGGCCTGGACTGAGTTGGGATCCGCCAGCAGGCGCTGGGTCGCCAGAGGAATAAACTTGTATCCCACCGGCTTCTGGCTGATAGGGTTGATCTTGTGGGGGTTGACCATCTTGATCGTCCGATTGAGGTCGGGAGCAGCGTCCAGCCAGCCTGCTCGCTCCAGCGTCTCGTTGGTGACCTTGTAGTAGTTGCCCATGGGGTTGGTGGCCTCGTTCATGGGCACGGGGTGCGATTCCTCGACCTGGACCGAGTTGTTGTTCCCGTCAATCGCCGGATCGATGCGGACACAGAAGATGTGCTGGTGGTTCTGGGCCAACACACCCCCACTGACCACGTTCCCGTAGTCACTGGTCTTGCCCGCATCGATGTTCACCACGTTGAGGATACCGGTGGCGCGCGCCTCCACCGTGATGCCCCCCGACTGATCGAACTTGTAGGCGAAAATGTACTCGTAGTTGGCCAGGGTGATGATGAACTGCACCACCAGCTCACGGTGACGGGTCACCACGGCGCGACCCGTGCGCCAGTTGGAGTGCTTCCAGCCAATGCCATTGTCTTGTTCGTGCAAGCAAATGGCATTCGGGAGCTTCTGCGCCTTGCCATCAGCCCCAGTAATGACCGCATCAAAGTACTTGATCACACCGAGGCAGTCGCATCCAATAGAGAGGTTGTTGGCCATGTTACCACCACCACCGTCGCCAAAGTCAAAGGCCTGTTTGCGGTGGAAGGGGGGTCGGGGATCGGCATATGGCACAGTCTATCGCAGTCAGCACCAACGCATCCTCTGATATCCACCAATAACTTACCATCTCACTGATACTCAGACGGTGCATGACACTGCGACCATCATACCAAACATCATGGATCGTGGCACCTTCCCGGGGGTTGAAGGCGACCCGGAATCGCCACTTCTGCCATTCGACCAACGACTCGTTGGTAATCTTGAAGGAGGGACCTTCGGGCTGCACCACGTTCAGCGGCTTGAGATCCTTGCGCATCCCGCCCGGGACCAGCTCGGGCACGTAGTCCGAATCCTTGCAGTGGCCAATGATGTCCCGCTTGAATGTTTGGTCGGTCAGGCCGTCGCCCTTGCCACCCGTGGCCGGACGGTCGACCCGGATGATCTCCTGGGTCAGCGCATCCATGACCGGGATTAACGGGAGGGGGTAAGAGTAGAAGTTGGAATCGGGGTTGTTGTGGCTCTTGTTGGTCGCAAAGCACAACCCCTGGAAGTAGCGACGGGGCTCGTCGGTGTAATCCAAACCACCATAGGGCCAGGGCTCGATCGTCACCTCAAAGCCAGGAGGGAGATCAAAGTCCTGGAGAGCTTCGCGAAACAGAGGAGATGCAAAGCAACGTTCAACAAGGGTATCGAATTCGCTCCTAATTACACCAAAACGAGATTAGGAATGTGTTTTCGGCGGGAAGAAAGCTTTGAGGGTTCATACAAGGTCAACGAGGCATGGTGTTTCTTGCCCACTACTTGGTGCTTGACCCGCCGGCGCGCGCCCACATCAACGACCGACTCGTTGAAGGAAGGAATGCGGTCGGATCCAATGACATCGTACTGGCACAGGGCCAGACGAGCGGGACGGCGCGAAGTCGGGCTCAAGCGACCGGAGTGTTCAAGGGCGAGGAATTCGAGAAGCTCAGACTTGGGAGGCTCTGATAAGTAGATCTCACGAAAGTCAATGACTGTGTTGGGGTGCTCGGCCAAAATGACATCGCGAGCAATGTTGGTCTCCTCCTCAGAGAGGATAGCTAAAGGATGAGGGGTGAAGACCATGATGTGAGGGTAAGAAGGGTCTCAGGGGGAAAGAAAGAAGACAGAGAATGGAAGGGTGAGAGACGAAAAGAAATGACAGCTCGAAACAAAAGTGAAGATGCGAGGGGGGAAGCTGGAGGGAATTTATGGAGAGTCGAGACAATAAGCTGTAGCTGTGGCTTTCAATGTACTTCTACTCGGCGGTTCTCTTTCCTCATTCGGAACAGCATCGGAATCTCGGAAACGGCGGAATGACCCCCAATTTTCTACCAGTAAAAGTGGGCGAAAGCTCCCCGGGTGCGGTAAACCTACTGCCCAGTATGCCAGTAGGAAGTGGCCGATGTCGCCCGCCCATTAAACGATAAGCCAAGCCAAAGCCGCCAGACGATAAGATACGTTAGACCAAGAGCACCGCACCGCGCGACTTTGTCCCCTTCTGGTAAAGTGGCCAATGGCGCTCTCGGCTGCGATAAGTTATTACCCCTCAGTCAATTGTCAATCCGTCCGACAAATGCAGTCAGTGATAGGTATCTGATTATAAACTATCGTAAGATGTCACATATACAGTGCTATGGTATCAGTTCATATTTACATTCGTCAATGCCATGAGAAATCCCAGATGAAAAAAAAAAATAATGTCCTAACGCCGTTTCTTCTCTTGATAAGACTCTTCCGGCCATTCAGAATTTGCGCGTCGTGCTTGGCTTCACCCACAGCGGCTTCTCACACTGATGCCCATTGCGCCAGTGCTGGATCTTCTCCAGGTCCCATCCCGATGACAGCCGCGTGCTGGCATCATCAAGCAGCTTCTTGGCCCCCAGTCGCACAGTCCGCACGAAAACGCAGTGTCCGGTCGAGTCATACGTGAAACTTAGACAGTCCGGGTGCTCGTGGCACGCAGCCCGACAAGCATCGAAGGAGGCATGACCGGGGTTCTCGGGAGGTTCCTGCCAGCCACCCCAATCGCCGTTGTCCCAGTCGAGGCGCTCATCAAAGGTGCCCAGTTTCAGATAATCGAATAGATCCGCATACAGAAGAGGTTCCTGCCAGACAAAGTGATTTAGTTGAGGGGACCAAAGGGGCGGGAAAGCGCATCACCTACACTGCGATCGCGTTGAGTCTCAAAGTGCATCAACCCAGCCAGATCCGAGATCAAGGTCTTGTGCATACTGATGACGGGCTGGCAATACTGGCTCGCGTCGAACGGAATGCCGTGGAGAGGATGGGGGTTGAACATGGGCCAGAATCCTGAGAGCTCTACGCCTTTCTCATGCAACGCCCAGCCGAGGATCGAATCCCCACAACAATCTGCCTTGACTAACTCCTCGTATTGCTGGCTGAGCGGCGGCTGCGTATATTCTCCGTGGGGCCCGGTCTCTCGCGCCATCAATTTCTTGACTGCAGCCGTTGAAAGCACGAAACCGGAGCCGCCATAGGCGAAATAGGAGATCTCGTCGTGAGCCAGCGGTCGTCCCGGCGCCGGAGATCCCATGTACAAGGGCGCGGAGGGGTCGAATTGGTCGAGGAAGCGGAACATATTGTCCCAGACAACATAGGTGTCGGATTCGATGAAGACAAACCAATCCGCGGTCGGGTTGATCTCATGCGCTCGTTCCACCATGGGCAAGAATTTGAAGCGGTCGAGTCGCCACCCTTGGGAACCCGCCACCGATTTCATTCGGCCATTCTGTAGGGCCTCGTACGCGTCAAAGTCGGACACGTTGGCTCGGAAAGATTCTGGCAGCGTGGCTAGCACGTCGTGCACATGATGGCCTTGAAGCTCTGACTCCCGGTCGGAGACCACAATGAGGTTGGAAATGCAGCGAGTGACGGTGGACAAATGGGCTTTGACGCGATCCAGCGGCTCGGACGCCCCGATCTTCAGCACGATCTGGATGCGCGGGAGCAGATAGGTCGGGAACGAATCGCAGATGTGGTCATCATCGACTTGGTACGGTTGTAAGCGCGCAAAGCGAGTCGTAGTCTCCCACTCCCAGTGATCGGATTCTTTATGATGGAGATCCAGACGGTACAGGGATCGCGGGTCGAAGGGGCCGTTTCCCAACTCCACTTTGAAGATCGAGGCGCCAATGACGAACAGCAGGATCAGGGCGAAGATGTTGGTCGGTTTGCGGGTGAACATGGTCGGGTACGAGCGCCGTCGATGGGCGCTTTCTCGGCCCATGGCGGATTATATGTTGGATGTTCGAGAAAGGCGCGGGGGAGGGAGGTTGGATCAGATACTGTTTCTCGCTTACACCGGGTGAAATGTCAGAAAGACATGGCAGAGCGACGATCGAGCGAACACACGGTGAGAATGACGACACTCGGGAAAGAATGGCGGGGCCAGTGTTTGACGCGAAGCGAAAAGTGATCAACAGGCAAGCCAGCCAGCAGGGTAAGCCAGCAAGCAGGCGATGGGGAAGAGTTTATGTTTTCCCACAGGTTCATAGTGGAGAGCACGAGAGGACCCTGGGTCAGGTAGTGTTAGTGCAGTCAGTTCCACCCGGTAATGAAGGTTAATATCAAGTTATCAACAAAAGAGATCCACCCGGGCTGGAAGTCCGGGAATCGGGAAATCGCGTGGCAAACCAGAGGTGGTGTTTTCTGGTTTTCGACGCTATATTTAGCGGAAGAAAAAAGCACTAGCATCATTTTCTTGCGCGTTGTTGCTGTCTGGTGACCAGTTCCCCCTCCCCCAGTTAGTGTAGTTGAAGCCATGGTGGATGAGAGATAAGTTCAGTGAAGGCACTCTTAACTAGTGGGCAGTGAAGCAAACAGCGAGAGCAAATGGAAAGCGGCAGAAATTCACCGCCAGGCCACACCAAGCAGTGATTGACTGACTAAGATCCACCAGCGGAGCCACTTTGCCTTTTCCTCCACCAATGAAAATCCATCGACAATCTGAAGGAGAGATTGCGACAGCCACAAATGACGAATCCATCACTCCTCGCTTCCCTGGTTGGTTTGGTTTGCTTTGCGGTCACAGGGAGGGAGTCAGTCCCCATGCTGGGGGTCAGCATCATCTGTGACATCCAAGATACCATCATCGTCAACATCATCGTTTTGACCTGAATCTGATATTATTCGATGGCAGAGTGTCTAGCCGCAGTGTCCCACTTCTGCCACGATCAACTGTCTACCCCTAAATGCCTGCCATGGCACCTATCCTTCAGGGGTTGCGATAAGATTACAGGGGAGAGAGACCCTCGAGATCTGGATCCGCATCGAACAGCCCGGCCCTCTGCTGTCACTTCTCAATCGGGATCTGCTCTCCGAACCAAGGGCATATACGGAGTAGTTATTCTTAGATCATTCTTCCCTGGAGAAACTCTCCCCCTTGCCTGCCCACCGAGCCGTGCAAAGTTCTACTCCTGGTGTTGCAGAAGAGTGGAGAATGAAACAGTCCCTGTCTGGAGTATTCAAGCATCGCACACAAAAGTGCGGGACCAGGGTCAAAGCCTACAATGACCTCCAAGTTGTCTTATGATGTAGGAGTGTGTACGGATCCTCTTGGAGGAAATGTATATCCGACCGTCCTGCAGAGGTACACAATCCCGCACTCAGGGCTCATTTAATTTACCCCCTTTTTTTACCTCGCCGATGCCGTCCACTTCCGCCGACTGTAGTTTGGCGCGTCACCCAATCCACGGTGCTTTCTGATACTGTAGTACAGTAGACCTCTAGCCCCCAGTCGGTGATATCCCTATCATAGCCAGGAGTCAGCCCTACACATTCTAACGTGTCGTAAATGGAGAGTATATAGAATCCTCGATTGTGTTTGAACACTTAATCTGGAACTGCACTGAATTGAGAGCGGTACATACCAGTGGCAGTCGTCCTGGATTAACAGCCGGGGGGCAGAATTGGCCCCCACAATGCCGGCCACAGACTATTAGTAAGTAGGCTCATCGTCCTCTCGTGGGATGTGCTGATTGGAGCGAGCTCCCTTTAGACAGCACTTTAGGTGATGTCCCTGTCCACACCTTTGGAGAGCTTCTCGTGGAACTTAAAGCAAAGTATCGAACACTACCACGTGCTGATTACCTTGACTACTTCAAGCAGGCACATTCGATCACAGCCGCTACATTCAGGCCCGCAGTGGAACAACTGTTGCAGGCCTTGGTTGGTTTGGAGAATCTCGGTCCTGCATATATCGCTGGTTTCAAGGAGTATTCGGAAACCGATGAGTACCAGGAGAGATTTCCCGAGTATCAGGCAGCGCGTGATTGGGTGAGACGAAACAAACTGTCAGGGGAAGCGGCCAAGCAACAAGTCCCGTCGCGATACCCACACTATGGAAGTGCACTTCTGACATGCTACAACAGCCAGCATTGGCACCGTGCGCTAAAGACCCTTACCAACAAGTTCTACAAGTAGGAAGATGGTATTGGCGCCCTTAATCGTGCTATCCTAAACCGTGTTCAGAAGTCAAAGAAAAGTAAACATGGCCGCAAGGGGCAGAGAGCCACGATTTCACTTAGCACGGTGGACCTTGAGCAGGCATTGAAGCTTGCCGGCCAGAACTGGTCAATCCCGTCTCCCGAGGAGATTACAGCGGAAAATCTCTTCATTGACCGCGTTCTCGGTACTCTGACCAGTGTACCTGAAAACTCGCAATCGTATGCTGAAACCATGGCCTCAGAGTCCCCAGCTCCTACGCCTCAGCAGTCCAGTCGCTACATCTCCGTTGCTTCCGGGCCGCCCCCTTGGGAGCGCCAGCATACACCGAACAATGCTCGTTCAGAAACTCCGCCCGGGCACCATGCCCGGCATGAGACACCTGCTCCTAGAACCCCGATTGCGACCCGAAGGACTTCCCTTTCTGGCTCGCGGCAGAGCGTGCAGTTTACCCCGGTTAACCAACGCCTCCCGAGCAGCAGCTTTCCACCCTCTCCGACGCCACCATGTGCCACAACCAATACTTATGATCAGCGCGAACCATTGACGTCTCACATGCCACCCGCCCCGTTGAAATCTCGGCACGGTGCCCGGGATGAGACGCTCGTGCCCGCGCGCCCAACCACTCCCGAGAGCAATTCATCCTTAGAGAGTCCAATTACGGCCCCGTCAATGTCTGGACACGGTCCCCGAGACAAGACGCCCCCGCTCGTGAGCTCAGACACAGCCTCGCAAAACAACAAGCGCACAAACGAGGCGCCGACGGCAGGTTCAGAACTTGGGGTGACCGACCAAGAAATCTTGGGAGAGGAAGACCTGCATGGTGAAGAGGAGCCATGTCTATGCCTTACTTCCAGCATATTTGACCAAGCAATACTATCCCAAATTGAAGCAGAGGCCAATAAGAAGCGTCCACTTGGATGGACTACTGAAAGAGCACGGCAGGCCCGAGTGAACTTTCTTAGGAAGCTGGCGAAGCCGCTTACAGAGGCAGAGCAGGATAACAGCCAAATCCGCTCACAGCATCTGGATGAGATCCGCAGAGCCACTGGCCTCTCGGGGCGGGTTACGTATCCAGAGCTTGTTCATCAGCTCGCAGCCCTTGCCAGCAACTGTGACACTGTGGAATCCTGGGATGAATATACCCATCGTAATGCTCAACGCAGCCTGTGGTTCTCCGCACCTGTTTTTGAGCATAATCTGTTCAGCCAGTTTCACTACCAGTCCATTGATGTCCCGCTAAAGATGCCCGTATCAAACGATGGATGGGACTTTTTGATTAGCGACCTTATGAAGCATGTTTCAACTCTGACAGATGACCCGCGATCCCTGCTTGCCTCCTAAGGATATGTGGATATTAATCTCACAAATCCATACTTGCAGACACCCGAAATGCAGCACCTCTTGACCCTCGAGACCCGCATCATTGACCACCATACAACCGCAACCGGGGGTGTACGTTGGGCGATCATGGTGCAGGATATCGGCAGGTACTATCTTGATGTGCTGCTAAGGCCCGATCACCCGCACAACCTCATCGCCTACCCGCAGCCGGCCATTGACACGCGCACCTTGGACGAGGATGAAGCTCCGGCGCCATTCCATGTCCCACTCTCCATGCACCGACCATTTGTCTTCAAGAACAGTCTGACAAGTTTCGTCCCCCTCATGGCAGAAGACAAACAGGGTTGCGATCACTTCCTTCATGGCGCTGGCCGGACGATTCAGGGGTTTGATGATTTCTGTGAGGTGTATGCCCAGTATCTGGACCATCGCGGTGGCGTGCTTCCCTTTCGCTTTGATCACCACATTGATGCGGAGGGGCTTGCTCACGCGCGTCCGGAGGCCTTCTCAATATCCCCTACCCCACTGCCCAGCACATCGCACGTCCGCTTCAAGGTGCCCTGGATGCCTCGGGCCTCTCGAGGTAATGGATCCCGACTCGTCCTACAGCCTACCTTGGTTGTGCCGCGGGATGCGTTGCCCACGGACCGAGACTTTACTGGGACCACCGCCTGTCATACCCGCGTTGATGGTGGTGTCCACTTCGAAGAAGTGCAGCATCACAATACACAAATGACGGCATGCAGCATTGGTCCCTGGGGGGCCTGTTACCCCTTGCGTAAGCTTCCAACTTGGTCAGCATGGCAGTTTGTGCATGGCGTCAATGCACTCTCCGACGCTATTACTGGCCAACGCGACCACCATGCCCTTAAGGTTATCATCATCAAGAAAAAGGCGTTGTACTGGAAACGAGGTCGATTCCACCTTCCCGGCATCTGACACACCAGCATCAATGGCTGGAAACCCTAAGGCAGCGGAGCTGTTAGTGAGGCTACCACCTCCATCTCCCCCTACCGGTTATGATGCGATATTTGATGGCCGAACCTGTGTCCTCAGTGTGGGGAAAGTCCCTGAACAGACAGAAAGGCGAATAGTAAGCAACGCTTGTGCAGACGCGTCACCGGCACTCTTCGAGTCCGGGTCGAACCATAAGGCTAAATCAGGCTCTCATGAAGGATGTTCTCGTATGTAGTGGTTTTTTGTAGCCAGTGCTTGTTCATAAGAACGCTTTATCATCATGTGTTATGAGACCCGCAAAACCAATGCTATGAAATTGAGTGACCTCTCTCACAGAACGCGTAAACGTTTGTCATCCCCTGACTCTACCCAAGACGGCTGTCTCTTTGCGATTTGCTGCCGCCTAATTTGCTGAGATCTCAAAGCAGAGCGGTGAAAGTCGATAATCCCAAGCTTGCAGAGATTGAAATATTTATACGTGAGAAATGGGTGACTCGCAATAAGCAGCGTTTGATCTGGCTTCCACCTGACTTTCGGGCGACAATGTGCAGTTACTAGTGGCAATGCTGTGGTTCTTGGTCATAGATCAGGCGGCTCGACATTTTTGTGGTTAAAATATTGAGTCTCATCCTGTCCTGCATACTACTTTTCAAGTGCTCCTTAACCATCTTCTAAATTACTGTATTTTCTAATCTCTTTGTAAAACAACGGCCTGGGGGCCATGGTCCCTATATAATTTGTGATTTTACCACTTTAAAAATCCAGAACATTCTACATAACCTGTACCAGTTAACGCTGAGCAGAGCTAGACAGGCAATTAGTGGTCCCAGGCTCTTACAACAGCATTATCAACCTCTGCGATGCCAAGGCTGGTTTGCAGATCTGGGCCGGATAGCAATTCATAATTGACCCGCAGGCCGTTAGACCAAGTAATAATCAAAGACTATTAGCGGCCTCCGCAGGCGAACTCGGGTATTACTGATGGGTTAAGTTAATTACTGGATCTACCGTCTTCCCTACCATGTCTTTTTTATCAGATGCCAAGGAGTGTCTTGACTGTACGTAGGTATGGAAGCTAGAATACCCGTCACTTCACCAACGAAGGCAGATGGCTTTCTTGAAAGGCGGTGTTTAGGCTGATCTCGTCAGCGTGATGTATGAATACAGACGCACCCGAAATGTCATTCTACCTTTGATATGGACAGAATGTTTTCCAAACCGTAACCTAAGGATGCCATTAAGCCATTTATGGCTAGTGCCTCAAATACCCGTATTGTAGGAAAAAAAAAAGTTTCGTATTAAGCGTGTAGCAGTAACCAAGATTTCGGTACCAGATACGTCAGATCATCAGAGTGGGTTTGAACACCGCTTTCCTCAATAAACATGTCACCACTCAGAGCTTTGAGTGTTTTCTTGCAAGAAGTTGTCCCATGTATTATGCTCCGACAGATACAGGACTGCCATAAGGATTTCAGAAAATAGGTAAGAATTTCACCCGATTATCCTATATCATTATCACAGAAGAAAGCTGGGATCGGAGTGTTTACCCCTTGACTTGTAGCTAGGTACTCCGGGTTCAGCTGGGGAAAATATGTGGCAAGAGTAAAAACCGAATAGCATCCAAATGGGCATATATAGGACCTACAACCCAGTCCCTCTTTTAGTAAAGAGATTAGAAAATAGAATGAGTAGAAGGCGGTGGATGGAACCCGATTATCAAGACTCGACCGTCACCATACCCAAGAGCGAGGGTACCATTTAGGGTGCTAGAACAGGTAAAGTGGCGATGGTATGGGGGAAGCCATAGAAGCCGTTCACCAGAAAAAAAGACCCAATTGCCATCTATAGCTATCTGGAAATTCGGGCCGTCTGCTGAGAAGGCCACGGATCCAACCGAGCCTGAATGGCCCTCGAGTGTGCGGATCTCCGACCCGGTCTTGGCATCCCAGAGCTTGATCGTCTTACCATGTGAGCCTGACGCCACTGTCAGGCCGTCTGCTGAGAAGGCCACGGATCTAATTGAGTCTGAATGGCCCTCGAGTGTGCAGATCTCCGACCCGGTCTTAGCATCCCAGAGCTTGATCATCTTATCATGTGAGCCTGACGCCACTGTTAGGCCGTCTGCTGAGAAGGCTACAGATCCAACCCAGTCTAAATGGCCCCTGAGTGTGCGGATCTCCGATCCAGTCTTGGCATTCCAAAGCTTAATTGTCTTATCATGTGAGCCTGACGCTACTATTAGACCGTCTGCTGAGAAGGCTACAGATCCAACTGAGCCTAAATGACCCTCAAGTGTGCGGATCTCCAACCCAGTCTTAGTATTCCAGAGCTTGATCATCTTATCATCTGAGCCTGACACCACTGTTAGGCCGTCTGCTGAGAAAGCCACAGATCCAACACAGTGTAAATGGCCCTCGAGTGTGCGGATCTCCAACCCAGTCTTTGCGTCCCAGAGCTTGATTGTCTCATCATATGAGCCTGACGCCACTATCAGGCCGTCTGTTGAGAAGACCACGGATCTAACCAAGTCTGAATGGCCCTTGAGTGTGCGGATCTCTGACCTGGTCTTAGTATCCCAGAGCTTAATCGTCTTATCATATGAGCCTGATACTACTGTCAGGCTGTCTGCTGAGAAGGCCACGGATCCAACCCAGTCTGAATGACCCTCGAGTGTGCGGATCTCCGATCCGGTCTTGGTATCCCAGAGCTTGATCGTCTTATCATGTGAGCCTGACACCACTGTTAGGCCGTCTGCTGAGAAAGCCACGGATCCAACACAGTGTAAATGGCCCTC